ACTCATCGTCTCCCCATCATCTACTCATCGTCTCCCCATCATCTACTCATCGTCTCCCCATCATCTACTCATCGTCTCCCCATCATCTACTCATCATCTCTCCATCATCTTTCCACCGTCTCCCCATCATCTGCTTATCGTCTCCCGTCGTCTCTGCGTCATCTCCACCATATAAACTTCCTCGCAGTCACACCCGTCTCGTCATCGCTTCTCTCAAGTCCCCCCCATCACTTTCCCTCATCTCTTCGTGTCGCCGTCATCCACCTAATTTTCTGCCCCTCTTCCTCTCTATGACTGAACATCCTACCGCAGCCACAGCTACATACTTTGTCATCTCCCTCTCCATATTCTGTACTTCCTTCGCTTTCCCAATACGATCTTCGCATCCCACTTTTATTTGCTGCTATCATCGTCCCTGATCGGTATGTTCTCGACTCCTATTTCATTGGAGCAGCAGCGCCGTCTGTCACACCTTTTCTGATTACGCAACAGGACCGAGACGAGCGATGTCACCAACATTTCCTTCCAAGCCGCTTTCCCTTCCAAGCCGCTTTCCCTTCCCCTTGTGGCCATCTTCTCTTCGCCTACCTCCACGTCGTCGACACACATGAGTCGTAAAAATGACAACGCTTCCGAGAAACACCGCAAGGTCGTTCAAGCAAGCGGGTGGGGAGTAATAATACATTGTATGAAATAAGCAATGCTAGAGGTGGACTGTCATTGAAGGCTGTTACTGGAAAGTGATCTTCCATCTGATACGAGTCTACGGCATTTCCTCGTCAATGCTCTGGCTCTCAGCCAATAGCTGCGTCCTACTTGAAAGTACCTGCTACGCCCGTCCTCGATGGTACAGTGTACACATGACAATCCATGCCACCAAGCGAGCGCAGAGTGTCCAGAAGCCATGGGCTCGGCTCCCTGAAATTCACGGCGTTCATAGGTTTGATTTCAGCATCCGTCGACGCTCAGCGCCGCCAACTTCCACTACAACTCGATAGATGGCCGTATCGCTGTGCCGAGTAGCCATTTAACGGTCCTCCCCAGCTGCTGAGCTCACCCACGTCGTCGCATCCAGCTTTCGCATCCTCGTGACCTGCTTTGGGAAATAAGTCTATGTCTAGACTTTCGACACAGACGATAGGGAGTTCCCAGATTCGGGGACGTCTGTGCCAGATCCAGTGTTCAGACCTCCCCATAATTTCGTATAATCTGTCGACCCGAGCGTCAAGTCTCCTCGTCGGTCGAGTAATTATAGGAAGAGGCACGAGGAGGCTCGAGTAGACCTCTACAGGTTTTTGTCTCTCCTCGTTTCCGCAGTAATGGTAGCGTATGAAAGGACGAGGTAACCTGTGCTTAATGGCACCGATCAGCTACTGAAATACACGTGCTGTTTCGACCGTCTTGCCGCAACCTATGTGGCCAGAGATGACCAGTTGGCGACACGTCAAGGTCTTCGGCCATTCGACGAACGCCGGTCCTCGACTATACCATTTACATCCATTACTGGCTCGAAGTACACGAAGCTCAGAGGCCAAGTTGCTCCTTTGCTTGGCTTTGTCGATACCTAATCGGTTTCCCATCCCATAGACAGAGATGGCACTCTGGCGCCGTCAGTACTGGAGAGCCTGCGATCGCGTGTCTCCTTGAGGGAAATACTCCCTGCAGACACACAGCACATCACGCCAGCGGTTGTTGAGGCTATAGGTTCGTTACTCTCCACCGGTATGGCCAGCCCAAGCCCTAATTTGATATGCTTGGACGGCGCCTGCATCTGCGCGTTCCTCGCCCGACAGCGACCCTCCAACGTATTCTACGTTAGTCGCCTGCAGTCTCGTCAAGAGCATCCCAGCTTCCTCTCGTTTTAAGACCACGCTTTGCGCATCATCCTCGAAACTGGAGAGTGCCTCACAGTACGCGACGCTCGAAATGTCCATCACTGCAATGCTAGCCGCGTTGTCCTTGATTACAGTAACCCTCAGTTCGAACCCGATGCCATTGCTGGCCACGGATGTCTGGAATGGATAGGTGGGCTGGACGCAATGAAGCTGGAGCTAAATGCCCGGTCATTGTACGTGGATGCAGGGGTAGTTCTTCTCCCATAGTTTTAATATCTCAGCAGGGTATTAATGGAACCACAACCCATATCCTGAAAACATCTCGTCGCTCTCTTCACCTGCACTTCATCTCTGATACTGTATGCAGGGGCTGTGACGGCTAATTTGGCCGCGTCCCAGGCGCGTGGCTACATGGTAGTTGTTCTAGGTAGTTTCCTTTCGTGGAAGTGCCCAACGAGGAAAGCGATCCAAATAGCTTAATTAGGTATGTATCAATTCCAGCCGCTTTAGATGTGCTCGGACTCGCCCTTGTCTCACACTTTCGTCCTATTGGCTGGCTTCCTCAGAGGCTGAGAACCACAGTCGAAGCGGCAACGGTTTCGCCAAGATCCAGACTTGCTGTACGGAGTAATCGCGACTCACTCACAGCTCATTCACTGCTTGCTTCCGCAATCTAGCATACTCACAACATCCGGCCATCTCGTGCCAGGCTGTCTCTTTTGCCCCCGACTTGCCCACAATGTCAATGTCAGAAGCCGAGCTGAAGCGCCTAGCCCACGCCGAGTACTGGGATGAACGCTACGCCAAGGTCGGCCCCGAGGAACAAGTCCACGAGTGGTTCCGCTCGTTCAAAGACCTGGCGCCATTTTTCGACCGGCACCTTCTCCAGGTGCGACGGCCCGAGACGCAGCCAAGGATCCTACACCTAGGATCAGGAGACAGTGTAAGTACATATGTCACTCATTTGAGGCTACTTCGTCTCGCACGGTAAGACTTACCACTACCCACAACCCTGGCTTACTTTCCCCCGCGCTAGACCATACCCGAAGACCTCGCGAAAAGGGGGTACAAGAACCAAGTCTGTGTTGACTTTTCTCCCGTCGTGGTCGAAACCATGTCGAAACGACACGCAGGCGTCGGGGGCATCACCTGGCTGCACGGCGATGTCCGGCAGATGGATCAGATCCCGTCCCAGTCGGTCGATGTTGCGTTCGACAAGGGCACGTTGGATGCCATGATTCACGGCAGTCCCTGGAGCCCGCCGGACGACGTTGTGGAGAATACGGGGCGATACGTCCGCGAGGTAAGATTCTCCCTTCCCTGGTCAGACAGCGTGGAGCGCCTGCAGGGAGGGAAAGACAGGAGACAGAGCGCGAACGTAAGCTCACTTATTTGCTTGCTGTCTAGGTCTTTCGGGTCCTCAAATCAAACGGCACGTTCATCTACGTCACGTACCGGCAGCCTCACTTTGTTAAACCGCTTCTCAACTGCGAGGGAGCTACGTGGGACATCCAGGTCGACGTGCTGGGTGGTTCGGAGAGCTCCTTTGACTACCACGGCTTTGTGCTCAAGAAGACTCCGTCATCGCTGGGGAACATCGAGACAGAGAAAGGAGACTCCAGCTGATCATGGGCCTGTTAATCAGCATCAAAATCAAAATCAAAGTCACAGTCTCAGTGGTCAAGGCTCAATCTCTTGCGTCGCTGCTGGAGAGAAGCGCAGGCATATCCGAAAGAGTAGGATCAGCCACCAAGCCAGCCAGTTGTCAATCATGCCTGGTACCGGGACGTGACCGGTGCCAGCACAACACGCAGGTGAAAAAGCCACGTCGGCGACGAGAAGACGAAAGGAAAATCAACGACTGAGTCTTCTTGCTGGTATGGTAGCCAGGAAGCACTCTTGGGCTTGATAACAACCGAACAATTGAGTCAGTTCGTCATCTAGCGCTCCAAATGCATGCATGCGACACGTCCAGAGTCTGGGCTGGGAGCCAGCTTGATACGGCGGAGTGCTCCAAGTGAGTACCTAGGGACTCGACCACGCTCAGGACCATATAACTACAGCTCGACAGTGGTTCGGTCAGTCAGTCATGGCCCGTGGCTTTGCAATAGCCAGTCCTCCATTCACATCGTCAGGGTTGGGATTGGAAAGGAAACCATGTCGGACTCACCCGTCATACTTGAATTCTCCAGGCAGTGCATATGTAGGATAGATGAGATGGCTTTTGACATGGGCTCAGCAGGACGGATATATTGGTCGGGCCAAGTCTCGGTCATGCCGCCATATCATGGGATGTCACGGGAGTGAGTTAAATTGACATGGGACTGAACATATTCCCCAGTTGAGGCTGTGTTTGCGGACTTGAGGCAGTCGCATTGATCCCTATGGAGGTTATTGTTGACTGAATCGATGAAATGAATCGTATTCTTGCTATGAATAGGAGATATCCCATTAGGTACTTTTGTGTCGGATTCATATCACAAGTGTCGAGTACACTTACGGTCTTTGTCGCTGGGCGGTGAGTGAGTCGTTTATGTTATGCCGCTTCCTGATTCATCACCTACATAGCTTGTCCATTCATAGCGCAGGTCATTGTAAACAATGGTTGAATGACCCGGAAGCCGTGGTCATGTCATCGCTGCCTGTGGAGGTGAAGCGCCTCAAAAGGTCCAGGGCGGCGAGTGGCATTTCAACCTAGAGAGTGGCTTCGTAACTTGCTTTCACTTACTCAAGACTCGTAGCAATCTTCTTCCATCCCCTGTGGTGTCGAGCACGATTCTTCTAGCATTATCAAAGCCCTTCTGTCGAGTTACGCTGGTGACTGGACGGCTTCATCTCTCAACGACTCTCCCCAGATTTCTTTGCTCGTGAAGCGATTGCTGCTCTCGACCGCTTGGCCAGATTACACATCACAACGACAAAAAGACAATCGTCTTCTGCCGATACTTAACATGGGGAACAGCGAAAGCGGTGCCAGCCGTACCAGGATTGAAGACCGTAAGCATCGCTCTTACTTCTGTTTTGATTGCTCTCACGCCTGGCTGACACGTTGAGATAGTCCACACAGCTGCCTCGTCTGAGTCTGCACCTTGTAAAGCTCTGCCTGCAAGCACCGCCGAAGCCATGACCGCGCCGGAGACTGAATGCCATGACCCCGTCAAAGGCGAAAAGCAAGAAGGTGACACTTCCCCGAGAGCAAAAGAGGACAACGAAAAGGAATACGCCGACTTCAAAACATGGGCAGACGACTTCTTCGAGCGCGAGTACACGGAGCACCAATGGTCCGCCGGCGCCCACATCTCCTCGTCTCAGATCTCCATCCTCGTCGAGCCCGGTGAAGGAAAATTGCGCGACCTCGAGCCCGACGAAGAACTGCTGTCGGAAAGCGAGGAGAGTGAAGGCGAGCAAGAACCGTTCGTGACGTGGTCCAATCGGACCAGGTTGGACGCGGCAACCTCGTCCAACCTATCGATGCGGGCAATGCAGTGGTGCATGGACAAGGACAAGGAGTACTGGAGCGGCAAGGCGCTCCCTGAACATCGACAGAAGAGCTGCTTGGCCAAGAGGTCGATCGGCGATCGCGTGGAGCGCAGCAGGCGCATCAAGTGGGCGGAGGAGATGGGGAGGAGGTACCCGGGCAGGTACGTACCCTATCCGGGTCGTCTTGTCCGGGCGCCACCTTCGCGGTGCCGTGTCGACAAGGGACGCCGACTGCAGCGCAAGAAGTAGTGCCGGGACGAGGGACGGGTGGTCGACGTGCAACGTACGTACGTCCATACCCGACAGGGTCTTGTACTGTACTGCATACAGGGTCGCCGTGGCAGAGGTGGGCTGGTGCTGTTGTGGTTAGCGTGCAATGTTTGGCTCCGTCAGGGTCAACGCATCAGAGTTCGGTAGACAACGGAGTCCTGGCATAAACAAGTGAAGTGACATCGTGCATCATAAAGGTTAACGCAGCAAGGACGAGCACAAGACGCCGCCGTACATATCGAAAGAAGCTTTCATGGCTACCTTTGCGTGCGGAGCTAGTCGAGGAAAATCAACTCGCCGTCGTTGTTGCTGATCCTCTCATCCAGGCGGACCCAAGCTCGGTTCCATCCCCCGCCACCGGTCCCCAGCTCAGCTTCCAGCACCCGGCCGTCCTCGATCAATCTTACGTTCCGCGCAGACGCACCGAAATTCCCGCCCCGGTGCCAGGCGAAATGTCCATGCGAGTTGGTGAGGCATTGGTTCAGCGAGATGGACGAGAGTTTGTGCTCGCCGTGGACGTTTTCACAGTACGCGATCAGATCGTAATCCCGGTCCAGCGTAATGCTGCTCGAGGAGGCCGAGAAGTTGCCCCGCATCTGGGGTGTGGCCGGGCCGCGATTGCCGTGGTGCTGTTGATATTGATGCGCCCCGTACGCAGCCGTGCCTGCCACGCCTGCGGCCGCGAGGCCATGCTTCTTTTTCTGTTTCTTTTCGTCGTCGGATGAGCTACTGCTGGATGAGGAAGACGACGAGGACGAGTCACGCCGAAGACCGGCCGGTCGCTCAAGCTTCTTCTTTTCCTTCTTGCGCTTCTTCAGCGCATCTTCTGCCATGGACCCGGCGATTGCTCCACCGACGGCGCCGAGAAACCCATGGTGCACTTTATGGCCGCCATATGCTCCTAGCGCACCTCCAGCCACGGCACCCATAAGTCCGCGGTCCTGAGTCACGTTGGGGTCGTTCGGATCAACAAGAGCGCCGGAGTGGCCTGGATAGCCTTGAGCCATGTGCGCTGGTGGAGCATTGACAGGCGGAGTGAAGCTGTCGTATTGGGTTTGCACAGGTGGTGGATTAGGTGAGTAAGCCCGTTGTGCTTGGTCGTTATAGCCATAGTCTTGCGGTACAGATGAGTAGTCCCGCTGGTGGTAAGAAGAATGATCAGGTGGAGGAGAAGCGTACGGATCCGGGTTAGGATGGTAGCCCTGGGGTGGAGGTGCCGCGTAATGATCCGGTTGGTGCTGGTACCCTTCAGGTGGAGGGGAAGTGTACTGGTTTTGATTGTGTGGGTGCTGGCCATACGGGGCCTGATAACCACCCTCGTTTTGGTGGTGTTGCTGGTAGTCCTGGGGTGGTGGGGATCCATAGTCATAGGGCCGGTTCTGGTCGTAGCCCTGACTGTAAGGCTGTTGTCCGTACCCGTGAGGCGGGCCCGAAGGCGGCTGCCATTGTTGGTGGCCGTGCTGCCCAGGGTCGCCGTAGCCTTGCTGCTGCGGGGGGTATTGATTGTTGTAGTAATCTTGACTCGACATCGTGGTAAGATCACACAGACCTTTCAATCCGGGCTTGCTAAACTGCCAAAGCCTGACAGGAAAGCAGGTGGGAAGATCGGGACGATGGAGGGCGCGTCTACTTATAGCCTGTAGAGTTCTATCTCAGAGCACGGAGTACGGAGCAGGCAGCGGTGTTGGGGTCTGACTTGAAGCTGACCTGGGAAGTGGCTGGCGGGCCTTAAGCGACTGCCGAGTTGTAAAGCGAGGAACGGTGTGGCTGACCGATGCCACACAGCCTCACTGCGGCCGCGCTACGATTGGCCAACAGCAAGCTAGTCTTTACAGCCACACTACAAGCTCCTGTGGCTGATGCTTGAATGCGATAACACTGGTGGAACACGTCTGGCGGACAAACGGTTCCATGCAACGAGCGTTGAACAGCCCAGAGTTATCTCGTCGTATCGCCGATGACGGCTCACGATACCTTGATACGAGGCACCTGAGTATTCACGACAATGTCTTTGATCTCCGATGTGTCTTGAAAATGTACAACTAGCTTCTTCGAATCATTTGGATCAGTCAGATCAACCATGAAGATGGACACCAAGATGTCGACAATTCCACCAGCTCGCTTAGCCGGCCCCAGGATTGTATGCGGCCTGTTCTTGTCTTCCCCCACGGCACAATGATTACTCGGGATGATTCCTCCGTCATAGAGCCTATCAACTACCCTCAACGTCGATGGCAGATACATATAGGTGATCAACCCCGGCATTAAGATGGCCGGCTCGCATGTGGATGTATTCTCAGCTTTCGAAGAATGCAGATGGCAGCGGCCAAACACTGTCACTGTGATTGAATCCGTGACTGACTTGGCTATTCTCCGCGAACATCTTCCAGATCGGTCGGAACTCACAAACCTATAGCGACGGTGCTCAGTTCACTTTCAGTACATCTTCGTTGGGCGGGATATCCGACATCCCTTCCCCCTTTCCCCCGTCGGCCCCGTCGGCAACGGCGTCCGCCTCACTTCGGGCATCAGGGATCACACCGCCCACATGGCCCAATTGCGTCTCCACTGGCACACCTCCCTTGATAGTTTGCAGGACCACACAGTATCTCTCGCTTAGCTCAATCAGCTTGTCCACCTTCGATTTGTGTTCTTCGTCAACATCAAGCCGCACAATCAGTCTAATCTTTGTGAATCCCACAGGCACTGCGTTGCCATCCGGGTCCTTGATACCCATTGTGCCCCGGAAATCCAAGTCGCCCTCTGTTGCGATTGTTCCGTTGTTGATTGGGATGCCCAAGCTTGTGGCGACAGCGCGCACCGTGACGCCAAAGCAAGCCACCAAAGATTCCAGCAGCATATCTCCGGAGCACAGTTCACCCGAGGCATCGAAGCCTTCGCCTCCCGCAGCTTGGTGCAGTCCAGCGACCTTCCGTGCGGCCGCGCTGGATGACAGAGAACATGTCAGGCTGGTTGAGGTAGGATCGAGAGTTCCGCTTGAAGAAAGGGTAACGAGAGCGGAGGAGGGATCCGATCGATACTTGTCCTTGAGAGGCTTCTGCTTCGAGCGGAGTGTCTCCGCAGCTCTCGAGGCGGCGTCGGACATGTTCGCGAGTTCGTGAGAGTGCCTGTACTACACGTCGATGATGCTAGAGTGGTCAAAATAGAGTTCGGGATGGAGACAAGAGAGCAGTCTTGTAACCGGTTGAAGGCGCGTCAAATACTTCGCGTAGGGTGCTGCAATTGTCAGTATGTAACACTTTGCTCTGTTTTACCCCTCATCCGCAGACTGTGGAGGTCTGAATCTTCCATCAGGCCGCCGGGAAGAACATGATGCGACATCCCGTCGACCCATGTCAGCCCTGCGCCCAGAAAATGATGAAAGGCTTGCATGAAGGCACAGTTGATCAATCATCGAATTGAGGTCTTGGTGATAGAGAAGATGAAGAAGGGCAACATGAAACTAGCACGTCGAGGACGTCATTCTCAGGCCAGACTCCCTGTTTATCTTCACGTGTTGATAAGACTCCGAGCCGCCTGACTTTCCGCTCGATTCGAGTGTCAGCGTTAAAACTTAGGCATACGGAGTTCGGATCTAATTATCCCAATTGAGGAACGCCGACAACCTTGGTCAATGCACTGGTGGTGGCTCGGTATCAGTATATCTATTGTCGTCACATACAGACAACGACGGCTATAGAGATGCTGATGGATCCGAGATGACGGAGTTTGAAGACAAAGTGGACACAAGCTTCAAGAGAAACTGGATGCTCACGCTGGTGAAGGGCAACATGGCTGATGCGAGCGAAGAGACAACCAGGCCAATTCTGCCTTACCTATTGCCTTACCCCGAGTTCTTCGCGGGGGCATTGCGCCTAACGAGGCTCCCAGGCTCCCAGGGCTCGTCAAGCATGACTTGACCGTTCTATGAGGTACCTTATGCAAGCACCGAAAGTGCCTCTTTTCCTGGTGACGTCATTCAATATGCTGCTATCGGCTCCTACACACTCCCGCCACAGCCTCTCAGGTAAAGAAAGAACATGAGGGTCACTATATATCATAGGAGGCTACAGAAAAAAGACCAAACGTCCTTCACTTCGTTTCCACGATAGGTGCAATGGTCAACATTGTCATCGTCAATCTGTCGCGGGAGGAGAAACGGGATGCGGAAGACAAGCCATTACTATCAAGCTCCTCCAGCCTTGCACGAGGACGAGTACAAGGGGTTCATCCTCAAGAATCCAGACCGAGGTCCAAGTTTACTCACTCTCCCAAGTCTTTCTACAAGTACAATTCTTTTCGTATGAACACGAATAACTCGTACTCGTAGGATTTCGGTCATGGAGAGGGCAAACTTCGGGTTACCATCACCGCGAGTCGCAAGGATGATCGGCCTCGTCGCGCAAACGATGCTGGTATGCAAGTCGATCGCTTGCCTTGCCGGGTTCTCGTCGTTCGGCACCACTCTGATATCCTCGTACTCGCACCAGAATGGTATCCGCTCCGCCCCCAGCAGCATGCAGAAGTTGACGATCGTTCCTCCGTCGCATGGTGGTTCTTGGCTCCCCACCTTCCTTCGACGAGGATAGATGATGAAAGACATGTCGGAGACCCAATCAAAATCCGTGGCTGGCGACTCTAGTGGGATTTAGGGGCCCACTTGGTGCCTCTGACGTCGATGTGCATTTCCATCACCCACAAGCAGCGTTTCACTCCGCACATTCACGACGTTTTGCCTTGTGCGAAATGTGCCATGGCGCAGGGGAGTCAATCGCATTTCCATTCACGATGGACTTGTGATGAAGCTGACCACCCGCTGGGGGCGTTCTACCCCGCGTCTCAGCGTGGCAGGAAGGAGCAGCTACTCCATGCTGGCCAATTACCTGTGTATGAGCGATAAAACGGACAAGCCTTTATGCTTGGACGAGACGGTGGAGCAGCGGTCCGCATTCACGTTGCAATCCATCGCTCGCTCGTTCTGCCAATGCGCAATCCCCGGACCACATTTTGTGGGCTCGTCATATGATGAGCGTGTGAGTGTGAGTATGGGTGTGGCCTGACATTGCAGTAGCTCGGAGGACTTTCATCCATGCAAATCCGTCAAGCTCAGTATATACCTGGCTGATTTGCCTCTTCATATTTTCCGGGTGTCGCCTGTATACCCTCTCTCCATATACAATCGTGTGCCCCTTTGCCACTTCCAGCTTCGTCCGTCAATCCAGCAACTGCGAGTACCTTAAGACTAGATCAGACCACAGACCACACCAAACAGCGTCCATCTGGAGAGTATCGATTTCTCACAATGGACAAATTCGAAAAGCCCAGAGACCACAACGCCTTCCACATCCCGCGGATGCACCGCGCTCAGGGCTCCTCGTCCTCCGAGCCGGCCTCGGACGAAGTGACCTTCACGCACCGCGAACATGAAGGCCGCAACGCGCGCAGCATGGATCCCAACCCGCAGGTCCCGTACCCGTACCACCAAGAGCACGGACCGCCGATTGACAACTACGAGAAAAACCAAGAGGCCGAGGAAGACTACCAGCACCACAAGAACCTGTGGTGGAGTCGGGTGCGGCATCACTTGCGCGACCCGTTCGCCGAGTTCATGGGCACGTTCATCATGATCCTGTTCGGCGACGGCAGCGTCGCCCAGGTGACGCTGAGTGCGAATCCGAATCTGCCGCCCAGCAGCCAGAATAAGGGCGAGTACCAGAGTATTTCTTGGGGGTGAGTCTGTGCCTATCCTAACGCGATGCGCGTGCGGTGTTTCTGCGATACGCACACCTCCATATTCATATACACACCACGCTGACCATTGTCCTTGCCGCTCTCCGACAGATGGGGCATCGGCGTCATGCTCGGCGTGTACGTCGCCGGCTGTGCGGGCGGCCACCTCAACCCGGCCATCACCTTCGTCAACTGCATGTTCCGCAAGTTCCCGTGGTGGAAGTTCCCCATCTACGCGTGCGCCCAGGTCATGGGCTGCTTCTGCGGCGCGGCCGTCATCTACGGCAACTACAAGTCGGCCATTGACGCGTACGAGGGCGGCGCCGGCGTGCGCACGGTGCCCGGCTACTCCGACACCGCCACGGCGGGCGTTTTCAACACGTATCCGCAGCCCTTCTTGACCAAGACGGGCCAGGTCTTCTCCGAGATCATCGCGAGCGCCGTGCTCGTCTTTGTCATTTTTGCGCTGAAGGACGATGCGAATCTCGGGGCCGGGAACATGGTTCCGCTGGGCTTGTTCTTCTTGATCTTCGGCATCGGCGCCACGCTCGGCTGGGAGACCGGCTATGCGATCAATCTGGCCCGAGACTTTGGACCCAGGCTGTTCACTTATTTCGTGGGGTACGGGCACGAGGTGTGGAGTGCCGGCGGCTATTATTTCTGGGTAGGTCGAGATGGTTCATATCAACCTTTCTGCTACTGTACACTGGAGATCCCGGACGTAGGCTGACATTCACACACACACAGGTTCCGATGATATGCCCCTTTATTGGCTGCACGTTCGGCGGCTTCCTGTACGACCTGCTGATTTACACCGGAGAATCGCCCATCAATACGCCGTGGATTGGCATGAAGCGCGTTGTCCGTCCGACCCGCCAGGGCATCAAAGAAGCCATCACTGGCAGGCCAGCAAAGGAGGTCTAAAGTGCCGAGTCGACTTTGCCGTTGAGTCGAGTCGAGTTGTTTGAGCGGGTCCTCGTTTTGTTGTCCGGAGCCGACCGGCATGTATAACAGGTTCTGACCATGTTTATGTCGGTGTTTTTCACGATTGGAAGGGAGCGGTCCCCGTGTCTGCACGCCGAGAGCTGGTTTGAAAAAATCTCAGCCAGCTCGGGGGTTTGTATAACAGGTTTATGACGGGATCACTGTGGAACGATTGATGACAATTTGGCTCTGCTTCAAGCGACACCAGGTTTGCGTTATTGATTGCGAAGCGGCGCGTGAAAAGTTGGAATGTACAAGTTTCTCTGTGGGTGCAGGATTGCCCTTCGATAATGGAAAGGGGCCCCCCTGTCTCTCCACCCATCACACAGTCCCTACGTTTTCTGCTTCTTCTTCTGCGGTTCGTCCTCATCACTGAGATCGGCGTAGATGGTCTTGGGCTGGGTCTTTTTCCAAGCATTCGTGAAGATGGGATCATTCTGCGCCTTGTCCGCATACTTGAGCAGGGCTTCGCGCGGGTCTTCTTCCCTCATCGAGCTGAGCGGGATGCGTTCCTTGATGTGCTTCTCGTCCGGTTGGCTCTTGGCAAACGGCGTCGACGCGGGAATGTGAGGCCTTCGCGGGTCACGCGATTTGCCCGACGCCGTGAGACCGATGGTCGGGTGTCGAGACGCGTATGTACTGCCCTTGATGGCCTCGCTCGCGGTTCCGGGGTTGACGATCGCGTCGCCGGATAGACCTTGCGACATGTCCGTGGTGAGACTCGGATCGTCGTCGATGTGTCGCCGCTTCGGTGGCTTGGACATGACCATCACGGCCCCCTTTGCCGAGATCTTAGGGTTGAAGAGCACATGTGTTTCGGCGTTGGCGCTTCCTGTGATGATCTGGTTGAGTTTGTCGTGCCAAAGCACGCTGATCAGCGCCGATCCTGGCGTGATTGGCGTGACGAGCTCGGGTTTCAAAGTGGCCGGGTTGAGAATGTACAGATCGCCCGTCTCGGAGCCGGTGATGATGGACGACGAGTTTGGAGCGAAAAGGACGTTCGAGGTCGGGTATTGACTCGACGTCGAAATGTGCGAGGTCGTGTTGACGGGCTGTTTGAACTTGCGCGTATCCCACAGCTTGATCGTGTCGTCGCCGCCTCGTGTCACGACCAGGCGGCCATCGGCGCTAATGTCGACGCCACTCGTCCAGGTGTTGCTGGTGTGAGCCTGGTTGATTTCACCACTCGGCCTGGAGTAAGGCCCGTCGCCTCCCCACATGAGCAAAGAGCCGTCGAGAGCGGCCGCGACGAGAAGACTGTTTCCACCCTCGACTTGACTACCCCATGCCACGGCAGTCATGCGACTGCGACCTGCCGAGCCCGCCAGTTTCGATTTGTGCACGATCACGTTCTTCTGCCTGTTGCGCACATTGACGTCCCATATCCTGAGTGTGCTGTCCGTCCCCGCGGTCACACAGAGGTCATAGTTGTGGGGATGCCACGTGCCGCTGGTGATCTCACTGATATGGCCTTTCGTCATGTTCATGTCGCGCAGGTACATGTCGCCCTTGACAAACTCGGTCGTCGTTTCGCCATCTCGAGACAAGATTCTTGCCTGAGGAGTGGCTGAGATGACAAGAACTTGACTGGGTGAGTTGGGGTTGAACTTGGCGACGTGCACGGGATGAGTCTCGGAATTGGCAGAGCCCTTGACGAAGGTAGGGTCGACGGATTTGAAGGCTCGTAGTGTGTTTGGCGCCATCGATGCGAAGTCGTGTAACTTGATGGTGCAGTCCATCGAACCGGTGATCATCCTCGATCCCGACACGTCCAGAGTGATTGTCGTGACCGGGCGATTGTGAGTCTTGAAGACAATCTCGTGCGATACGGGATATTCATCCTCGTCGTCAGAGTCATCACCTGAGTCGTCGTCCTCGTCGTTGTCGGAATCTGCGTCTCCCTTTGAACTTGCCGGTGAATCGGGTTTGCGTCCTGGTAGACCAGGTAATTTCCGCCGGGCAGTTTCAATTTGAGCATCGACATCGAAGTCGCCTCCCGTGGCTCCGAACGAAGTCGGGAGGTAGTCTCTGAGATCTTCTTCATCCATGTCGTAGGTTCAGGTATGAGCTTCCGGTGAATCTATTGCACATGCAGCAAAATCAAGGGCAGTGTTGCCTTGCTGGTGCCCGACTCGGGAGTCCAGATCGTGTGGGGTTCTTTGAACTTCGAGTGCCAAAGTTTCTCCTTTATTGAGCGCAGAAGCCATACAACGCTCAAGGATTGGTATGGTAATCAACTTGATCAGTATGCTACAACTCGGCGTTACGTTCAAATGGTCGAGGGCGACAAGGCAACGAGGCAAGTTTTGATTTGGCGCATTTGACGTCTCTGGCCCGCACTATCTTGTTACGGAGAGCCACAAAATCCAGAGGCGCTATTCCACAATTCACCACGATTCACTCTTGCAATCGGACTGACCTTTTCTTGATGTCCTCCGCCGGAAGTCCTTAGCGTGAGGAGTGTGTCAAAGCTGACATGACTACGTGTTCGCGGCATCAACCCGACCAAGAGTGGAGATAGACATGGAGGAGAGAGGAGATGTCCTAGATGTCCTCGGCTCTTGCGCCGGTGGAGAAGTCCACATCGGCGTGTTGCATTTGACCAGGCACATCCGACAGCGGCTTTGATAAAGGTTTGGTTCCCTTTCGAAAGGTCAAGAGCATCGCCCGGTCTTGATCTACGATACCGCGACGTGCCTCTCAGCACTCTACTCTGAAGATGGACTTCCATAATGTACTCAAGCTTGACCCTGGCGTGTTCGACCCGGCGGCCATATCAGAAGAGACGAAAGCGTTCAATCAGAAGCTGATGGATATCATGAGCCATGGTCCGAAATGGTACGAGGTGAGTATGACTCCGCGGTCTGACTGGCATCTACTGCGTAGTATCACGCTCGCTCATTCCCACTAGGTCGGCGCCAAGCGCTATCGTGAAATGCGTGCCGCTGGAGAGACACCGCTCCCAAAGGCAACATACCTCGACACGGCCGAGGACTTCAATATTCCCAGCCGGGACGCTTCCCGGAGCATCCCTTGCCGTATCCTGCGTCCGCAAAACGGCAAGTCGATAAAAGCCGTGTTTCTCCACATCCACGGCGGGGGCTGGGTCCTTCAGGACCAGAAATCCCAAGATCCGGCTTTACAGGATATCGCGAACGGGACGGGCGCGTTGTGTTTTTCCGTAGGCTATCGACTTGCGCCTGAGGATCCTTTCCCAGCGGGCCCGGAGGATTGCTACGACGCCGCGGAGTGGCTGGTCGACAACGCGGAGGCCAAGTTCGGTGTGCCGTTGGCCTTTGTGGGCGGCGAGTCGGCAGGTGGACATTTGAGCATGCTGGTCGCGTTGCACCTCTTGCAGCATTCGAATCCGAAATATGCCGGTTTCGCATTCAAGGGGTTGTTGTTGCATTTTGGCTGTTATACCATGATTTGGACGCCGCAGGTGTACAACTTTCAGAGATCCCCACCGTTGGTCTTGGATCGGGACCTGATGGATCATTACATCGACGTCTTTTTACCCGGCAAATCGGACACGGAGAAGCGACATCCTTCGATCTCGCCGCTCTTCACGGACCTGGAACCGTTGAGAGGGAGGCTGCCCCCAGCGTTATTCACTTGTGGTACGGATGACTGTCTGTTAGACGACACCATGTTTATGAGCGTGAAGTGGCTGATGGCTGGCGGAGAGGCTGTGGTTAAGATCATCCCAGGCGCACCTCATGGGTATATCATGTTTCCCAGGAGTATGAAGGGCAGTGGAGCCGCTGAGGGAATGAAGGCGGTGGAAGATTTCATGCTATCGAAATTGACATGACGCGCATCCTGCGTGGAACACGCCCACAGACACACCGGTCCGGAAGTCCTGGCCTCCCGAGGAATATCCTGCAGATCAATTTAACGAACGAGATTCCAAGCATGCTTTTGTGTGAGCCTGTGTCTGCTGCGTCTCCAATGTCCCGGAGATGCTCCTCACGGGAGACAGCTGTAGCTTTGCCTCAAGATCACTCGATCATGTCGATATCGTCTCCGCCGACAGGTGCCGCCGCCTGAGCCCCTGGACCAGGACTGTCAGCCGCTTCTCTTCCATTCCCGGCTCCGCCCCAGTAGTCGTCCATCTCAGCATCCAGTTCTTCTGCTGTCTTTCGTGGTCTGCCACCCACCAGACGGTGTCCATCCGAATCCTTGGTCGCACGTTCCCGCCTCTCTCCCGGTCTTCTTCCTCCACGATGGCTTGAGCTGCGGCTGTCACGCTGCCCTGGTATATAGCGATCGATGTTCTCAGGCGCTGGTTTCGTCGTGTCACTCCTTCGTTCTCGCGGTCCTCCACCCCCTCGTCGTGGCCCGCGCCGACTCCCGCGCTCTTCATCCACGTCTTCCATCGGACTCTCGCTGCGTCCCCGTCCACGGCTAGCCGGAGCTTCGATTCTGTCGAACAGACTCCTGGGATTCTCCACTCGGTCAAAGGGGTTATCTCGTCTCGGAAGTGGGATTAATGAGAGCTTGATCGGCTGTCCCTTTGCGTTTGCGCCGTCGAACTCGCGGATCGCGGCTCTGGCATCAGCAACGTGTTCGTAGGTGACAAATGCAACTCCTTCAGAGCGACCAGCACGATCGTAGCGCAATTTGGCGTCCTGGACAGGAGCGATGCGTTGGAAGAGATCCTGTACCAAGTTCAGCATCGCAACAAGCGCTTGCCGAAGAGACACAATCATACCCAGATATCATCCTCGGTCAGGTCGTAATGTAGATTGTCGACTCGGAGTTTAGCAGGAAGGGGTTTTCTGTTCCCATTAGCATAACACAAGACTTTCTCGCAAATTCTCCTACCTGTCGTGCTCGGCGAACCGATCATCCTCTCGACGGTTAGCCCGCTCTCTTGGCCGGTCGTAGCGGCGGCCTGGAGGACAATCATTAGTGCGATGTACAACGTCTTCTTCCCCAGGATCACATACTGTCTGGTTCGTCATCGTATCGGTCGTGGACCCAGTCACTGTGCACCGTTTAGCCTTGTCTTGTGTCTGTTGAGGCGTCAACCCTACTTGTCCAGGTTCGCGCGGTCGTCTCTTGCAGACTACGGAGGAGGAAGATCTGGGTTAGCGGTAATTCAAACTGTCCCTGGCCTGAAGGGCGTCGAAGAGTCGGATCGAAACGATGCGGCGATCAATCGTACTGCCAGGACAGGCGAACGCAGAGGAGAAGGAGGAGCTTCGGACCTGGGCATCGACAGTCAGGCGTTGGGAAATGCGTCTCATCTCAGTAACATCACATTACCTTTCGGACGCCATCGCGAGGCTGATTGTATTCTCGACGGCGTGCAGGCGGAGGTGCTCTGCGCGAGCGAGGTTGCGCTCTCTTCGATGCCATTAGTCTCGACTTGTTGATAGTTGCGAACAGCCACGAACCTGGCGTTCAGCAATTGTCTCATCCAGACTGCGATCCATGGCGTGTATCTCAGTCGGACAAATCAGCACAGTTAGTGCAGGAGTGGCCAATAGTGCAGCCGCAGAACGGTTGTGCTGGTAGAGCGCTCGTCTGGATGTCCATATGTTTGCCCTGAAAGCATCTACATACGGCACCATCAAGCCTGACCTCGTCGCTCAGAACAGCTTAGCGTGGGCGTCCTGGAACAACTATTCACCGCGACCGTCAAATGGTATACAAGTCACGTGAAAGTGCACCTGTGCGACTGTGACTGGGAAGGTTACCCGACACTTGGCCTGACAGCGCCAAGGGGTGTCATCGATCGTAATCCCTTAGGTAAAGTACCGTATTGTTTACGTAGGCCTCTGTAACTATATACTAGTCAGGTCTGCCCCCCCGACCCCGTTGAATTCATCATGTCCTCCGAAAGAGCCACACGACGTGTGCGTGTCGTGGGCATGTCTTATGTTTGAGAATGAACATGTCCACAGCCATCGACTTGAATCAGTGGCACTTGCCCACTGTACCATCACGATCACGCATGCTACAGTACTTTGCTGATTGCATCTCCATTCATGCAAGCTCACGACTTGGAAGCTAGTTAGCCAAGAGCTGTGAGCTACTGTAACCAGATCAAGCGCTGTACATATCGGCCCTCTACCTTCCAGCTCCAGCTCTCTTGAATGTACTACATACGTCTGTGTGGCCCATACGCAACACGTTCCATCCAATCCACAACACAACGCAAGGCACCCTACGAGCTCGGACATCAGACTGAAAGGACCGCTTTACGGTTTTGTGTGCTAGAGAGCCTCGTCGCCTCTTGGGCGTGGTGGATGGAGCTTCGTCTCGAAGCTGTGCCGAATCACAGTAGTTACTATGTACTGTTGTGCAAAGTCTACTCCAGTTGACGTGCAGAAGGCGGGAAACGATGGGGTTTCGCAGGCGAAGGAGTTCTGTTGCATCTCAAAGGACATGTTGTCATGGGTTCTTTGCTCACACTGCACCGGCCTATCTACCTATCTCTCGCTGTAGAAGGAGCAAAGAGAACGATATCCGTCCATCTAGACAGCCTATATGACCTCCGCCGTAGCCGCGTAGTAGTACAACAAGGGAAAGAATGGATCGAGGATTTTCTTTGCATCTAGGCCGCTCATTTGCCTAGCCGAGTCTTTGTGATACAGCGAAATGGAAGTCTGAGTACAGGCCGTCCACCAATGAAGACATATACATTGCCCTCGGCGGCCATCAGAGGCAGTAACATCACCTATTCGACGTCTCTCAGACGCAACTCCCTCCATGCGCGATCTGGCCAATGCATCCCCTAGGCATCTCATTAACAACCTCCGCGTACTAATTACGTCCGGATGGTCGCCCGTGTCAACGGTAGCCTCACTTCTAAATCCGGCGGTCGGGACGGCGGTGCGCAGGCTCCACATAGTAGGAGATGCCGCCGCCGGAGTTCCTCTCGTGCCATTCTCCCACGAGCGGCCGAGCTGGATTCACCAAGTCTTGGTCAACTGCTGGTAATGGTGCGACTGGTGCGGGAGGTGCCTGGAGAGATGGTGGCCGCAGTGCCCACTGCGTAGAGGGGACAAAAGCCACAGGAGTGCGCACCGGCGCGGGGCTAATGGAATTCGTGCGTTGCGTGCCTGACCTGCTCATGCCGGTATATTGTCGGCAAAGCTGGGCGATCCACTCATTGTGCGTCAGGCTGTCAACTTGATGGATGGGAAGCGGGCCCTGCGGATCTGGACTCTTTTGCCACCATGTCGGTTTCAAATTCTCCGGCAGATTCTTGTAGTTCTGCAATTGGTTGCCCAGATTGCAGCGAACTGCGAGGGTCTGGAGGCGCGATCGCAGCTGTAGGGCGATGTTTTGACGATCCGAAGGAATGGGGATCGGTGTCGGGAAGCCTCGCAAGAAATAATCGAGAGGCAGACAGCTATCGACGTAACCCAGGATCACTCTGTCGCTGGCCATGACAGGCTTGAACATGCGGTTACTGGGGAGATCAACGAGCATGCAAGTGTTGAGCAGAAGTTGCTCGCAAGTCTGGTTGTTGATAACATCGATTTCGAACGAACAAGGGTGCTGGCGACCCGTAGTGAAAGGAGGCACATCGATGGTCTCTCTAAATCGGCTCCGCTTCATGTTGTAGCCACTCGGTCCGATCGTCTTCTTTGTAGGATGGGCGTTGATGCGGTTCAAAATGTCCCGCATCTCAACGCGTGGGTCGAGTCGCATCCACAACTCGATCAACATCCCCGAGACGTCGTGATGAACCCATCGTGGCAGATGGCCGAAATATCTGAGCGGAGTTCCATCATTGCCCAGGACAAATTGATTGGTCGCTTCCTCGATGAGATCTGGGACAACCACACCAGCGATCGGATTAGGAGCAGGCTCCATCTGCAAGAGGATTGGATGAAGGTTGCCGTGGGTTGCCATGTGGTAGGTGTGGTGGGTGCCTTGGCCATCCGCAGGTCGTGCAGGTATCGCCTGGCGGACGACCTTTATACCTGCCCTGTAGCCCATGCTGTAGGTTGGAAACACAGGCTGGTTTGGAGGATTTGGTAGGATATTTGTTATAGGAGCGGTCCGGGGGACCACGATGTTCTCAGCATTGAGGGCGAGGTGCCGAGAGAGCTGGGTTTGAACTCGTTGAGATGCCATGTTTCTCGCTGATTCCAAAGATGTGGAAGGGAGGGTGGTCGCCCAGGTTCTTGCCGTCTTCAGCGTGGCAGGAGATTGCTGGCGTTGATATCGAGTGTGAAAGTAAACCGCAAGGAGAGTTTGAAGAAGAGGCTTTTGGGGGGTTGATACTCGCTGTTGAGGCACCCAAAAGCGTACTGGGCTAGAGATCGGGGTCGATGGTAAGCTCAATAGGACGAGAGATTAACCCAGAGATCTGGACTGTCAATCAGGAAGTCGAAGGCGGTTTGGCAAAAGATGACAAGCGTTGGTGTAGCGGTCCGAATAAGAATTTCATGCGGCTCGATCGGAGGTAGATATAGCTGTTCAGAGTGCGACGTCAGGAAGGCAGTGACAGCAGCGGTAGTGGCAGTAGTCGGCTTTGTTGCTGAAGTGAAAACTGACAATGCTTAACACCCCATTCCATTGAGTGCATCCGGGGCCGCCTTGCGCGGGTGAACTGAAAGCCATATTCATCACTGCCTCGCGCAGTGAACTCTTGAGCGTGTTGGTTGATTCCTTCGCTCTGCCTCATCCCTCCTCACCAAAAGGATAGTTGAATTTGAGCAGGCCATTCAACCCGCCTACCCAGCCATCGTCCCCGTCAGCCCCTGCACTGCCTGTTCGCATTATACAAGGGATGCCACCAGTGAAGACACCCGACTCGGTCTGGATCTCTTCCCCTGAAACTCGAAGCTCTGTGCCCACCCCAATACCCTCTGTGCGTCTCATTCCATCAATGCTGACCTCGACCTCGCGACCCCTGTTTTTGTCGCTGAGCTTCAGAGTGATGGGAGTCGTGGACGGAAGAACGAGAGGTCGGAAACTCAAGCTTCGGGCACAGATAGGTGTCAGGAGCAAGGAGCTAACGAGTGGGTGGACAATGCTCCCACCGCTGCTGAGACTGTATGCGGTGCTTCCAGTCGGCGTCGATATGATCATACCGTCAGCAACGGCTTCGGTGAGGAATCTTCCCCCAACGTAGACATCGACAATGGCAAGATGAGGATCTCGACCTCGGTGGAGAATGACTTCATTCATGGCGTACATGTCGTGCAAAAAGTCTCTCTTGCCATCTCCGTTGCTACTCAGTCGATTCCCCTTTGCGTCGAATATGCCGACCTTCAGGCGTTGTCGAACCAAGACTCTTGCGCCTCTTGCTGAACCCATGGATTTCCCGCGCACCGACGACCAGCCTGTGAAATCCCGAGCAGCTTCAGAATTGGCCGCAGGATCACTTTGGATGACAGCGTGACGCTCTGAAGCAGCACCCGACATATAAACTTCCCGAAAGGCTCGCTTGTATTCGGAGAACTTCCACTCGCTCAGGAACCCCAGTGTACCCATGCTGAATGAAAGAACGGGAGGCACCTGGGTGGCTGTCGCGAACAGTGACGATGCGTGCAAAATCGTGCCATCGCCACCAAAGGTGACGACAAGATCGACCTTTTCATGGTATTGGTGTCTCGATTGATCAGACGCTGGCAGCGTAAAGTGTTGCTCGAGTAAGTCACTTCCGAGCTCGTCTGAGACCCGTGGTTCGACCAGAGTGTTCACATTGGGGTAGGTACTTCTCACATGCCTGTTGAACTCGACGAGGGCATCAGCCGTCGAATCTGAGCAGTCCTTCTTGATCAGCAGGATATTACGAGGTGGCTGGGACCATTCAAGACAGAGCAGTTCTCGCGCCGGTGTCTGCTTAAGACGAAAGGAGGTTTGCGGAGGCAGATCATGCAATGGGAGCCTGTTTGAAATTGAGGATGTTGAGAAGTGCGCGCGGTCATGTCCTCCTGTTGACAGTGTTGATTTAAAAGCCATGCCAAGTCGACGTCGTGTGCTGGAGACCGCAACCACAGCAGCTTTGAGTGCAGGTCTGTGAGGCGATCTTATGAGCGCACAGCAGCTCTGATATATGGGGCCCATTGCTGCCATGTTGAGGGTCGGCATGCGACAGACTGAAATAGAAACCTATGTGGTGTGATGTCGCCATTTATCTTGCGATGTGTCAATCCACCGCCATGGGAGAATGTGCAATCACAAACAAGGTGACGAAGATGGTGGTCTAACAATCTAATCTGTACATCATGATGATTGACAGGCCGATGATGGCAGGAGCAACGACAGAGGATGGAATCATGAGTGACGCTGATATTGTCGGGCCTAGCACGTGACTACATTTCTGGTAACATAATCACGTGACACTGGATCAACACTTGCTAGATGCTGTCAAACTCTCACTGAACCGTTGCTCTCTCGTTTGTTCCATCCTCTTCGTCTTCCTTCACGTTCCTCTCCATCACAACCGGCGCATTTGTGCTTGCTTCCAACCAGCAGTTCCGTGGGCTGGCCAAGCAAATCGTGCAATATGGATACTGAGGCAGTGAGACGTTCAAACGAGAAACAAGCTTGACGAACCAGCAGGATGATTCTGCGCTCGCAGTGGAAATGCTTCAATCACCACCCTTCCTGCTCTTTCACATCCTTCGAGCACCCTATCTGCCCACACTGGCGGGAATATGGCCGAAGGGTGTAAGTCTGATGCCATGAGGCAGTGCTAGGTCTTCGCTATACTCTCCTTGAACAGTCCCTCTGTGGTGCAGGACATTGTCATTCACATTTGGCGACAATACTTCAATCGTGCTCGATGCAACATTCCTTCGTGGTATTGCGATGTTCAGTTGTATGTCACAGTGCTCAGAATCCTGTCACAACCATGTTCTTCACTTATGAGGCCATTTTCACCACCACACTTTGCACCACTCTTGGACATGTTGCTATCACGAGGCAGTTATCACGGCTGCAGAGCTCATCACGCAAGATATTGGTTACTTCACTATGACAAATCTCATGTGTATTATCTCATCATTTGCGCAGGACTCTTCCCTTCCATCCTCTCGTGCTACCAGACTTTATCTCAGCGAAACAGACTTTCACCACAGACATCCTGGATAAGAGCTGAACTTGCTGGCTGGAAAGGGAAGAAGCTTCCCCCGAGTCCACCTGATTTCAGTCCAAACATGAAGTGCTCTATCTTCTTGATTATTCTTGCATCCAGCGCTGGCCTCGCACTACCCACTATTCTCGGGATACCTCAAGACGGCAATGACGGCTGCGGCGCGCAGTGTCAAGCAATCAAAGGCGGCTTCGGACGCGGAATATCAAGTCCCACTTGTGCGGGCCTAACGGGGGACTACTGTGCGAACAACTGCGAATGGTAAACGAGCGTGCATCTTGCGATAAATTCATGCTGACTCTGTGGCCTCAGCTCTGCCAGTGGCGTCATGACCTGCAAGAACAATAACGAACTCAAGATTCTCTCAAGCAACACCAAGTGCTCTGATGATGCAGTCACCAACACGTGCATCCAGGGTTTGAAGAATCAGTGGGAATGTTGGTGTCAGAACCTGTTCATACCGGGATGGGGACCAGGGGAGAATGCGGGTGAGACGTGTGGTGCTCTCTTCGGCAGAATCTAGCCTATCTCCATGGCTGAGAAAGACTATTCAGAACGGATAACAGTGCTGATATGGCGCCGCTTGCTCAGGTAGCAGGTCAGTCGCAGGTGGCAAGCAGCATGTGGTTTCAAGGGGTCTTGTAGAGGTTTGCTCTTGGCGCTCCTTAGCACCAGCACTGTCTCACATCGCTGGACGTGGTCCGTGCCTTCACACAGAGCTTAGTATGAGACTGCTTTCTTCTCCGGGTGCAGAAGTTGTACATCTATCATTGGACCGCTTCATCGTGATCTAAGAGCTCAGGCGCCTACCCAGACTGGGCGTCTCGGTCTCATTGCCCGACCTTCGCGAGCTCAATGGAACATGATGCGGCTCAATACCGAGGAATACTCTTCACTGTGAGCTGATTCGCGATGATATGGGCTTCTTGCCTCTCTGTCAAAGAATCTCTCCCTCACTTCTCCAAATATTCGGTCGCCTGACGTGGATGGCAGGCTGCGGATACGGCAGTCTCTTGACCGTTCAAGACAGGAGACCAGGCTGTTCATTCTTACGCCAGACCATATTAGAACAGCCTTGCTCAAGGGCTGATTGATCGTCATTTCGCTGAAGCAACAGTTACGAGATGATGCGATATCATATGCCCGGGTTTCCCCGTCCCACGGCAACTCAATTTACTTCAACGGTCGCGAGTCGCTGGTCCCTGCAACAATGTACGAAATCTGGAGGCGACCTTGGCATCCCAAGTCTAGAGGCCATCAAGACGAGACGAGACGCGGCGCGAAGTGAAGACGGGGAAGATTGTAGATGCGTGATCTTTTGAGGCGTGCAGCGTGCAGGATGGGGACAAGGGAATACTGTATCTCATACTAGCAGGAACTTCGATTCATTTTCAATCATGACATCGATCCAGAAGACTTCGGGGTTATCCTTGTCACCGGCGTCCCACGTTTTGAGCACGAGCTCTTGCACGAGCTCGAGCAAACTGTACGGCAAGATCTCGCGGATCGATTGGAGACGCTTCAGGAGTGTCCTGCGAGCCTCGTAGATGCGGAGCCCGAACATGATGATGGCCATCAAGATGTCCTCGACCTTTGTTCGCGTCAGCATGTCTAGCTGGGCCACGGCACTGTGCAGTCGTTGCAACGTTTCGGTCTGGGCGTTCTGCACGACCGAAGCACTGGTGGCGTCCGACGCACTCGAGTTCAGGAAAGCCGCAGTGAGGTAGCGACACAAGGAGAAAAACAGAAGAGAGTCCTTTGTCCGCGACAAGGCCACCCTCCTGAATGGGTTGTTCATCGAGTCGATCGCTGTCAAGGCCTTGCATACCTGCTGAGAGAAGAAATCCACCTGAACCTGGACGTTGCTGAGGATGGTGTCTGAAGGTTGCCATGACCACTGGGCCAGGGCGAAGCAGGGCTGTCCAGGTGTTGTGATACAATGGCTTCGAGAAGTGGACGCCTGGAAAGTAACATTATCCCAATCTTCGTTCAACAACGCTCGCTCTGCCTCAGCACCGACGACGGCATCGCCAGTATCCAGGTCCTCCGTGATGGACTCTACATGCTGGAGATGGTCGACCCAATCCGTCCCTACACTCTCTTGCTGATCTACTTCTGGAGTAATATCTTCTGAACCGGATGCGGATGGCTTGGCCCTCGCCTTCTTGGAAACAGGAGCACGTCGAATCTGGAGGCCGGACCGCCGTTCATGTTTGGTCGACCACTTCCACCGAGGAGCGTATCCCGGACATTCTAAACTCTTGAGAGCACACTGTCGGCAGGACGGCTTGGTTTCGTCGCATTTCACGGGAGATGTTGTGAGAAGGAATCCGAGCCGGAAGGTATTGGACAACGTCGTGTGCTCGGCGAAGCGAGAGGATGCAAAGAGGCCATATTAGTGCATGTTATCTTGCATACTCAGTATCTAATGTGGGGGACTGGGCGAAGCCTAAGTTACTGGGTTCGACAGCCCGGGCGGTGAAGGACCATGGACGCGTTTTCCACGTGTGGGAGGATCCGAATGCCCAGGACGTTGACTGCCAGGGAAAGGACAAGGACGGCCCAGTAGAGGAGGGTTCCATGCCAGCGCTTGTAGATGTATGAAGGTTCGTTGAGCACAATCAACCCCTGGATCATGGTCCCGGCGAGAAACGGAGCGCTGGCAGCGACCGATTGCCATCCGAACATGGTCACCCAGCCCGCAGCCCAACTCAGAGGACGGGCGATCGAGGAGGGGGAGAGCTCGGCGACGTAATGATATTGTCCGCCTGCAGACGGGATCCTGTGACCTATAAGCCTCATGCCTCAACAACGTGGCCACAACTCACATTGAAGCAGCCTCGGACAACGACAAGGCCATAGCAATGGTTCCTGAATATGCCACTAGTCGACTTGTCAGAGAATATTTGAAAAATAGGGGGAAGCGAGCTCACATATGAAGCCATAAACCAACGCTACGGGACCACCACTAATCAGTCCTGCGGCCATGGTGGAGCAGAAGGCTTCCCACGTCGCCATCAACGAGACACATGCCGCAAGCATTGACATCCAGTTGAAACTTTTGTATAGCTAAGTGGTCGAGTTGTCAGAGACTGCCATTTACTAGGACGTCGCAACATGCCTCTGGTGGAGAGTATTCATCATGGCCGCCGGCAGGGGGCCCTTCTTGTTCCTTCCCATCCTTGCCCGAGTCGTTGCTGGCCGTGTCGATCTCAGAAGTTGGCCCCTCGGTCTCTCCCATACCGATTGCTATCGCGGCTTGGAGAACTAGAGGCTGAGGTAGAGGGTAATCAATCACAGGGCAACTCTGGTGATATACTGGCGGTGATGGTAGGCAATGTTCGTGCGAGCGATGCCCGGCTTTATGTCTACGACGATGTTATCAGCACTCATCTCGGGTTTGCCACCTGGACTGTCCAGACGACCTCTCTCCATGCTCTAAGCCCCGTCCGGAACCCTGTCCCAAAACCCCAGGTTACGGCGTAGGCCACGCTCGGGGGTTCCACATTTCCCGATTCGGCCAAAATGTGCGTGGGGACGGAACAGCTCCGCCAACAGTGCCGCCAGGGGAGGAGGATGCAATCAAGCTCGTCTACCATCCAGGACAGCCAGGCCCGGCTATACGCCTCCTACCCGATACGTACTTGTCTCGGCTTCGGCTGGCGTCAAGAAAGCAGGGGCACCCATGAGTGTGGATAGCTGTTGCGTCCTCATTCTCCCAAGTCGAAAGGACCTTGACTGAGGCTACAATCGGGACCCAGGAACAAAAGGCGATACGGTTGAGTTGGCCGTGACTCTGCAGCGGCGCAGGGCTTCCAAAATGTCGTGATGCTAGGGACCACCTTTGTGGATTCCCACCTTTATGGATTCTAGGAACTCATGACAGCCATGTCCGGTCCCGGGTTTCTTCGGGTCAATTACGGGCACAGCCGTGGTCGAGGTGTAAAACCACAACAGGGTCGCTAGCGATCCTTAATCAAGCTGATCATGTGTGGAATGCCTTGCCCGGGTTGCTGAGCCGGTGTCCATGTCCAGACTGGTCCTCCCCCTTTGGTCTCGAAAAATCCGTGTATACATTGCGACCGCCCCATCATCTGGATTCCGACGCCAGTGGACAGGGAAACGGGCGGTAATCATCCCAGAGACAAATCTCATTGTCGCACACATATCGTCTAAGCCGAGTTGTACTGGTCATGTCTTCGGAGAAAGCCAGCATTCGACGATAACCTTTCAGGAACGCCGGGTCCTGGAAGAAGAGAACACCTGCGCAGGCCCTTCGCGACTGCGAGCCACGGTCCTGGACACGATTGGTGGCAGAATGAACAAAAGCTACACGTTGACAATAAATGCGTCGGTGCAGTCAGGAGAACGTCACGAATATAGGTTCGGCGCCATCAACGACCTTCAGGATGCGGAGCCCTGTCGTGAAGCTTCGTCTCTTGGGCAGAAAATGCCAGCGGCATCCAAGTTTATGAATCTGACCACAAGCCATACGCAATAGTACTCCGTCTTGCCTCAGTTTGATGTCGATAGGCCATCTACCCGACAGCGAGGGAGAGAAAGCGAGCGTCCTGTCCTTGGCCCCAGTGTCTATGCCCTCATCACGGTATGCTGCCGCCAGCAAGTGCCGTCCACTGCATATACGTACATAAGTCCTTCCACGCATTTCGCACTCTGTAAATCACCCCCTCTTCGAGCCATCTCCTTCCTTCCCCAGCGCGTCCCTCCACTGCCTCGCCATCTCCATCCCCTGCGCCAACCCTCCCACCCTCGCATCAATAGCATACCCCTCGCCATCCAGCCTGTTCAACTCCTGCCACAGCCTGTCCAACGGCAGGGTGAACGACTCGATGAACTCGCCCTCCTCCAACTCGGGCTTGGGATCCCGATTGCGCGGATCCGACAAGTCGACGTCCACGAAAATCATCTTGGTGTTGGTGTTGCAAAACCCCGGGTCGTTCCACATGACGAAGCCCTCCGCCGCGGCTGTAGCGTCGTCGGGGATGGTGCCCACGTACCCGGTTTCCTCTCTCAATTCGCGAATTGCGGCCTCGGCGGGCGTTTCCCCCTCGTCGACCAATCCCGACGGCGACTCGATCGTCACTTTGCCCAGCGCGGGGCGGAACTGTTTCTGCAGGAGCAGGCGGGGGCCTGAATTTGAGGGTGAAGCTGAGTCTGAGGTTTCTTTCCCCTTCCCCGTAGGGCTGGGGTCCCTCAGCACGGCGACCACGCCGACTGCGTCGGTCTCGCTGTTGGCTGGTCTGGTCTGACGCTCTGCGGATTCCCATACCCGCTGTTTCCCCTGTGGGTCGAGGTATTGGATTTTTTTGAGTGTGATCCACTTTGCAGAGGATACGTCCTGGAAGGTATGGGGTTTAGCAAGTTATACCAGCGTGAGATATGCAGGAGAGTGCAGGGTGTAGGTAGATCTAGGGTAAGAATGTGCCCGAGGGTATATCTTGAAAATATAACTTTCAAAAGCAAGCTCAAGAGAAGAGCTCAAGAGAAGAGCTCAAGAGACAAGCTCGAGGGACAAACGCTCGTAAGATCCAACCGTCAAACCACAACTACACAACCAACAAAATAATCACATACCATTGTCTCCATGGAGAGATTCTTCGCCATATGAGGCGCGTAAGTGGACATCTTATCACCCGCCATGTTGGCCGCTCTCGTGATTCGGAGCTGTAGTCTGGCACCCCGCCAGAGGAGGAGGGAGGATGAAGAGCGTACGGTCAACATGTGGTGCCCATGTTCATGTCGTGCCAGAACGCGAAACTCGGTTGAAATCGAGGGGAGGCCAACAGCAATAGAAACAGCAACAGCAAGAGGAATTCTGCAGATCAGGGACACGAAAAGCAACAGGAATAGAGCAAGTCTTGTGGTCTTTCACTTTCTGCTCAACCGAGAAATGCTCGTTGTATCATCGGCGTGAAAGGGCTGTCGAAGTCCTGCGATTTGGAACCTTAAAGTGAACGATGAATGAACAGCATGACGTCGGTGACGTGCTAAAGTGACGAGCCACGCGAGCTTACTCTATTCAGTCTGGAACAAAAACCCGCGCCTCAGATTGGCGCATTCGGGGACGGATACATACATAGTACGAGTAAGGAGTACGAGTACCTAGGGCAGTGAAGGGCCGATGAAGATTCGGTGACGCGACGTGGGCTCAAAGACGCAGTGCTGGATAGCCACTCGCCCTCTGTCACCACTGTCTTCTAACTGCCGTAGCTAGGTACCGAGTACTTCTGAGTAGTACGCGGCACAAGTAGGCTTCTGTGTTGTGCTACAGTTCATTCCATCCGATGTTTGATTACCGCAATGGGAAGAGCTGTAAGGAGTAACAAGTGCCCATCACTCAATCCCAACCTCATCATCAGATCCTCACCGATCTATAACTTTATTTTCTATCCTTCATCTGGTCATGCAGATGGCAATAGACCGGGCGTCGTCACGATGCCTACCAAACTAGACCCCGATTGATCCAGATCTAATTGACGCCAGCCACGGTCATCCCCGTGACCATAGCGACGCCGTGTGCACTACGCTGAATGCTCGATGCTACCGTCGATAAATCCCCGTCCCCCAGCAAATGCGCAGTATGGCCAACCCCCACGCCATGCCGATCGAATCCTTGACCACGTTCAACTTACTGCCCACCACTTCTCTCCACCCGACCGGCACCTCCGCCACAGGGATGCCGGCACTCTCGGCCAGCATGAGCATCTCGACGTCAAAGATCCACCCCTCCATGTGCATGTGCGGGATGATGAAGGGCAACGTCGGCCGCGAGAACAGCTTGAACCCGCACTGCGTGTCCTTGATGCGCGCCGTCGCCGGCGGCGTGAGCAGCCAGAGGAGGAGATGGAACGCGTGCATCAGAAAGTTGCGCAGCCGGGAGCGCTTGACCACGGCCTCGGACCCGACGAGATGAGCGCGCGACCCGACCGCGATGCCTCGCCCCTTGGCGTCCTCGATCCCACGGCACGCCGCCAGCAGCTTGGTGAGGTCCGAGAACTTGGACGCGCCGTCCGCGTCCGCGAACAGCACGTACTGCCCGCGCGCGTGGCGCATGCCGTGCGTCACGGCCCCGCCTTTGCCGCGGTTTTCTTCTAGCGAGACCATGCGGATCGAGCCTGGCGGGATCTTCACCCCCTGTGGGGAGCGGTGCGTCCAGGGGCCCGAGTCACGCCGTGGGTGGGGAGGCAGGATATGCGCGCGGGCAAACGTCTGCGCGGTGAGCAGCGTGTGGTCTGTACTGCCGTCGTCGATGAGCAGGATTTCCCACCCGGCGAGGTGTGCCGAGTTTGAATTTGAGGCGACGCCGTTGGCCTGCTTCCTGTGTCGCGCGCCGGCTGCGTCAATGTCTGCTTTGGCAGGAGAGTGTTCGGGTATGTCCTGCATGGCCGTCGAGCTTGACGAGTCGCGGCCCCCACCGTACTCGATTTGTAGAAAATTCACAGCCTCCTCCAACATGCCTGATAGTCTGTCTTCTTCGTTGAACGCCGGGATAACCAGCGTGAGAAACACCTCCGCCGGCTCGGGCTCAAAGTCCTTCTCCATGTCCATGGTCCGGTCTGGCCGGTCTTGCCTCGCCCTGTAATATCGTCGTAGGAGGTCGTCGTACCAGCAGGGTAGAGGCTCCGGGTCCGTGACATCCCCCGTCTTATCCACCGTTGTGTACGTCTTCTCTGAGGGGCGGGGCTTTCGCGGTTCGGGCACGAAAAAGTACATGAACAGCCAGACCTGTGCGGACACTGTACGTCAGCCAACATTGCTTTCTGCTCCATGAGTGTCAGGGAAGACAAGGCTTGAGGCCCGCAGCCCGCAGCCCGCAGCCCGCAGCCCGCAACGTACCACTAACACAACCGCAAAGGCAGCCCAGATCAAAATGAAAGGCACCATGCGCCAGTTCAACCACTCGTCGTCGCGGAAGATGTTCATAAAATGCCCGCCCATGCCGATCGGGCGGTCCAGCCCAGAGGAAGCCATGGGCGGTACGGCCTCGTTGACCATGAAGGAGGGCGGGGAAGAGGAGGCAAACAAAGGAAGGAAAGTGGTCGCAAGGACCGCGCAATATCTGTCAACGGGGTATCAGGGCCATGCGAAGGGAATGCAGGCGGCCTGGGTGGGCACTGATGCCACCTGCGAAGACAGACGTGACAGTTGTTCACAAAATGTAAAAGTTGGAGTCGGTCCGCGAATCGGCGTCAGCTTCCGCCAGGGGAAGAGGCGGGGACATGCCGCTGAGGGATGAGCGAACGGCATGAAGGAGCTGTTACTATAATGATGTTACGGAGCTTGATTACAGTCATGACATTGTAGCCTTTGGAGTATTGTGTCGTCAGGGACACGACAACAGGAGAACTCTTTGCGGTAGGTCCTCCCATCTCCGTTAACCCTTCATATCTTATAAGCACCTGTTCCACACTCCATCACCGGGACGAGAAGGAAGTCGACCCAGTCACCTTGGTCCACGCACTCTCCAGCTTACTCTCAATCAACTCATTCACGGGTTCGGCACCGACGTCACTAACGCCAATTCCATCCGAAGCCTTCAGTCCTCCCTCGTCATGATTCGGCTGACCGACGTCCAGACTGTGGTCTATATTGCTCGCGTAGATGACCGCCGCAAAAGCCTCGAGCTCTTTCACTTCTGCCTCTGCAGTTGATACATATTCGTTAGGTGGGTTATTGCCGTTACCGATGGCGTGTGCCTGGCGCGTGATGACGGCCAGTATATTGGCGAGTTTGACACGCGGCTCGCCTGGCACGACGGTGACGGCCGAGTCAAGTTCTTGGATGCGCGGATGTGGTGCGCTGGAAATTGACGATGAGGGCGAGTGTGGCCGCTGTTGTGGGTATGACTGTTCGATAACTCGAGCGTCGATGAGGTGTGAGAACATCGACCCTAGTAGCAGGGTGTGAATTCTCGTAAAAGTAGGCGAGTCGATCAGATCGGCCGTCTCGTCCAGCAACTGACGCAACGGTCCTGTGGATGTGTCGATGTGGATTGAGACGTGCCTACTTTCGTCGTGCTCCTGGTGCAGTGACTCTGAACCTGGTGAGGTAGCAGGCGGAGTGATCACGCCAGACTCAATCAAGACGGCCTCCTCCTCTTCCTTTGGTGGCAGCACATATGGCAGCCACCTCGTAGCATACCTCTCCTGCTCCGAACTGCCCTCGACCTTCTTCCGCACCTCGAGAACCAGATCACTCAGTCTAGCTGCAGTGATTCCCTCACTGGGCGAAATCCCTCCAAATACCTCTTCGACTGCTTGCCTGACTTTCGCCAGGATCTGGGCATACCCTTTGTGCAGCAAAAACCATGAAAAGGTCAGATATCTTCGGTTCGTCTCGAAGTCGTTCCCAAACCCGGCTCCTGCGCTCCCATCATCATGATCTTCCAGGGAGATAGAGTTCGCTCTGCCCGGTGGTGGGGGCTGGGCTAGCGAAATGACCGAGGATAGGTAGTTCAGCCGGCCAAGGAGATTCAACTGTATTCTTGTGAGTATCGTAAGTAACGACAGGCTGTAGATCAGCGTAAATGCCCTTGTGAGCGAAGTCACCTTCAACTCATTCCAGAGCTGGGCCTTGGTTCGCCGGGGACCCGTCGACTGGCTTCCGTTGAGCGGAAACTGACTGGTATGCAGAAAGCTTCCCGTCTGAAAGCTGGACATGCTTGCGGTGTCGCCATCAAGCATGGACGAGGCTTCGGACTTCCCTTCTCCTGCGGCACGTGCCAATCTTTCGGCTTTCTTCTGTTGCAGTTCATGAGTCAATTGCTCGACGGGGAGATCCTCGACGATATTGTCGGTGAGAGTGGGCAGCAGGGCAAGGACTGTGATGGTACAATCGGTCTGGTTCTGCTCGAATCGCCGTCGGATACTAAGGATATGGAATCAGCGCATGTCAGGGATTGAGGATACCTTACGCCATACTTCTCCTTCGCGATCCTGTCCATCTGCATGCGCTCTCGCGCCTCATTGACCTTCCCAATGACATATTGAGCGGCCAAGTATCCTGCGCCAGCGATTCCCGCGCCGATGGCTATCCCGGTGCGATGCCGCCGCAACCAGCGACGTGTGGCTGATATCATTTTGACCAGCAGGGATGAAGTGTACCGTATCTCAGGTACAGGGTGTCGACGGATAGGACATGATCGCCAGCGATGCAGCAAGCGACAGGGAGCTCAGGACAGGCGTGTCAATAAGAAGCAGATGCGCCGAGGCGAACGGACAGATTGAGACACGACTGGTGTTGACCTGATCACATTTGTCGAATTGATCGGTAGAAGAACCTGTGGCTGGTGCCTCGGCTTCAAGGCTGGAAGGATCAGATCATGGCGAGAGCTTGTTGGGGGGCACAGCGGGAACCATCTTCTTAACCAATAAGCGCGTTCTAGGTAAGCTCACAACTACGTAACACACGGTAGGGGCACTGGTGGCACTTTTGTTAGGGGCCCTTTTTTACCCGGAGATGTGCCTGCCTTCGCTAGCCGGGGATGACCTCTCCTGCCCGGTAGACCCCACCATGGAAGGAACATGAATGTGAGTTTTCAGCGGACCTCGTTGTGACTCCCTTTATGAGTAGTATTATCAGTGCGAGCAGTTACCAGCGCATACGGCGCATCCGTTGAAGTCTGCCGACGACCATGTCTTGAACTGACAGCTCTTACAAGGCGCCAGTTCCTGGCTGCCACGCATTTCGCTCTTCCCGCGCAATTGTGTACATACACACACAACCCAGCCCCGCTATTGTACCCAGGGATTCCAGGCCACAGCATATTTTTTGGCGCAAACGTCGCAGCCTGTCACCATGGACCAAGGCCCTCGCGAGTACATCCTCGAAGTCTTCGCAGACCAGACTTTTGTCAGGGACATAGTCAAAGGTGCGCCGTGCGGGCTCGCTGCTCTTCAAGGGTACCAAGCTACACAGAGAAACAAACCTGACAGGCCTCCATGAGCAGGAGTCCTGCATACAATCTTCTTCCACCGCTACTTCCCGCCCATCCGACCATCCCTATACACGCCTACAGCATCTTCGCATTCCTCGCACGCGCACACCTCGTCACACTCGCAACACTCGCTCCCCATCACTCTTCCCTCCATCCTCGACCCGCCCGAAATCTCCACAGCAATAGACTCGCACACCAACCTCCTCATATCCCAGCTCACGCCCCAGTCCTCGACGGGCCCATCCAGCTTATCAGCCGCGTCAGGCGGCTCGAGAGGCGAGATTGTGGTGAGATTCTACGACCGAAAGAGGAGAAGGACAGGCATTACAACAGGATGGCTAGGCAGGTTAGGGGGAGGAGGGCAGACGGAGGAGGAAGTTTGCTGGGAGGAGTGGTGCGTGCAGGTCATCGTGGCGAGACCTAGGAGTGAAGCTGGTGAGACTATCCTTTTCGCATTGTCTACCCTCCTGCACCACTGCCATGTTGTGTCATTGGAAATGCTCACCCACGCGATGATATAGACCGAATCAAGGTCCGCCGCGCCATGGAGTCGTCTCTACAGAAGACGGCCATGAAAATCGTCGCCATTGTGAACCGGGATAAGGACCATATCCCCCCAATCACCACCAGTGATCAAAACCCCTTCCCATACAGGATATACGTCAATCCTAAGCAGCAGGAGAGTGCTGAGAGGGGGTTTGTGGGGGGTTGGAGTTGAAGCTCGTTGCCATCGCTCATTTGTACGAGGCATTCTGCTGGCCTTGCAGTTGGAATACGAGCGGGATTCTCTCACGAATAGAAAGATATAGAGCAAAAGCGTTGTATTGAATTCATTGCGCATGGCCATGACTGCGCAACTACTTCTGCTGTTGATTGCTGCCACTAATTCCACTCGCGCCCAAATCGATATTCCGTCGTCGCTGCCGCTTCAAGACACGCAAGATCAACCGGTCTATTGAGAAAAGCCGTATGAAAACTCTCCGCACGCCCTCTTCATCATCCATGGGCAGCTCTGCACCTACTTTGTCGTCGGGGTGTCTTCACCAATGTCATGTCCCCTCATCGCATATCTTGTCGTCTGGTGATATCATCTTGTTGTCGTCTCGTCATTGATCGCATCAAGAGTCCGCGATCTCTTTCACCTCCTGCACAAAGCTAGACAACGACTGTTTGAGTCGTTTACTGGCTTTTCAAAGCGGCGTCGGCCTTGTTGCGGACATCGCCGGATGTGGTGCCTTGGCCTTGGAAGAAACGCGAGAAGATTGGGTGGAGGACGGATCGGAAGACAATCTGGGCGCCGTTGGTCACGGGCAGGGCCATCCACAAGATCAGGATGAATTTAAAGACGTAGTAGAATGCTGATACGACCATTAGAGTGAACGTTGAATGATCATTCAGGTGGTGCGACTTACGGAACCAGTAGACAGCGTTGATGATGCTCTCAAAAACGGTGAGGAAGGCGTAGACAACCCAGTACTGTGGCCGACGTCAGTTTTTTTGGCATTGGAGAAGTACCGGCCTAACATACCGTCAACCATTGAGTGTCGTCAACCTTGTTACTGCTGAACAGCGCCTCGAGGGAGTAGTATCCGGGAATAATGAAGCCGGCAAAGTTGACGAGAAATTCGCCTCCAATGTTGAAGAAGACGAGGAAGAAGTACAGACCAACGAGGCCGAGGAAGACGTAGACCTTGGGGACGTTGGTCTGTTTCTCGAAATTGTTGAGGACAGGATACTTGCTAAGCTGCAGACACCAGGAGTCAGCTCAGTCATCTGCGACAACGCAGTCTGCGATGAGATGGAGAGACGATGGACGGTGACGTGCTGAATGTAACAATGGGAATCCGGGTGCCTGGGTTGACATGTGCTCACATACCTCCTTATCGATCTGAGAGATTTGGTGTTGGGCTTTGTCTTGGAACGACATCTTGACAGCGGTCAGGTAATAATCCTCGAGGGAATATAGATTGTTATCGATGAGCAGGAGAGACTGGATGTGGATGGAAGCTTGCGAAGTCGCAATATGCAAAGTGCAAACCAAATGTGCGATGGACGAACAGATGAAGGAGATGACGTTGGGTTTTGTTGGAGTTTGGAGTGGGCGGCTGCTCCAGCTCTGAGGCACAAGGAAGGAGCACCTGTCCACATCGCCTGATGGGCTGTGATGGTCCGGTGCTCATCAGTCGGTGACGGTCTCGCAAGTCACCACTTGACTCGACCCCACGCGGCCCACTAGTCTCCACTTGAAAAGGGTGAAAGGCGCGTTCTCGTCCTCCGTAGTGCATTCCAGCCGCCATGCTCCGCCGTGTTCTCTGTTGTTTTCCGGTCGTTACCTAGTCAACATCTCGGATTCGACTCGACATACACAAACCACAAGCCACTGGCATCTCAGCCTCGACAGCCACCACGCGAACTGATCCGACGCTGTGAAGACGGGTCGTCATCGAGCAGTGCATCTTCACTGGCACCGTGACGCGAGTTACTCAATCCCGCAATCGCTCGCGGAGTCACGGACACGCCCGCACCCTTCGACAGAGCCCGTCGACCTCTGTGTGCGCTCAGATGCTGTGTTGTGATCGCTCGAACTCTAAAGCCCACCTCTTCTGCTGCGAGCCTACTCGGACACTTCCAAGACGCGCACCTCTCCTTCACGCAACCACTCCAAGGGGATCAAGTACAAAGAGATATTTGTTCTCGTCCTGACGGTGGACTTATCGCAGAAGAGGCCGACATGGCGCAGTCGCCAACCCAGTCTGTGGAGGAGACTCCAGACCAGAATGATCCCGCTTTGAGCAATGCCCAACTCTTGCAACAAGAGAAGCCGCGCCCAAAGTCTCGAGCGTCTACGAGCAGCTTACAATCCGTGGGTGTTGGCACTGCTTTTCAACCCGCGCATCAGCCGCATACGCTGCCACCTAGACAACAACAACCGGACGATCCGAATATACCTCTCGATCAAAACGCTTTCTTCATGCAACATGGCGCTCATGCAGCTGGTGGCATCTATGGTCCCAGTCCAGACGAGATGATGATGCATTATCAACATGCCCATATTCATCAACAGCCGATAGATCCGGCCACGGGAATGCCACATGAGATGCGTCCAATGTCACAACAAGCATTCCAAGAGATGCAACAATATCCGATGCAATACCCCCATGGCGTACCCCAGTATTCCATCGGCCATCAACACATGCATCACATCCGCCATCACTCGGAACAGTTTGAAGGATCCCCAGCGCCTGAAGACTCCAACAATGAGAACGGTGGTGCCAAGCGAAGAAAAGGCGCTGCCTCGAGTGTTGCCAACGACCAAGAATTGCGGCGGCTTCTGGCTCAATATCAGGGCAAGACATTGAAAGAGGTTGCGGCCGAAGTCCAGAGGAACGAAGGCGCTGGAGGAAAATCTGAAAAGGCCAAACAGGTCTTCGCGATGCTTTGGTAAGACCCTCACGCCGGCCACTTGGATTATCACTCACATTCCCAGGCTCCAAGAAAGCTGTCAGAGATCTGCAAACTCAGTCCGCCGCGATCGTGTTTTTACGAGATACACGGAGCGCTGCGGCAATGAGCGTGTCCCAACTCTCAACCCGGCATCTTTTGGAAAGCTCGTGCGCATCATCTTTCCCAATGTGCAAACCAGAAGACTCGGCGTCCGAGGCGAATCAAAATACCACTACGTTGATCTCTCATTGGTAATGGACGATGATGACCGGCCATATGCCCCTCCTATCGAGAGACCTGGGACGTCGAGCGGCAATCAAGATGAACGGCGTGCTTCAAACGTGGATGCCACCAAGGTTTTCAAGTCTCATATCTCTCCCTCCCTGGACCGACCTATGTCAAGGGCGACCATGGAGACTGCTGACTTTCCTGCTCCCAGTGCCGCGTTCTTGTCCAAGGAAGCGGACACTGCGGCGGAAGATGAGTCGAGCGCACAAGATGCACCGTCTGAGAGGCTGGATTGCAAGTATATTGACACTCCTACCATCCGATTCCCCGTCAAGACAATGCCTGGAAACGTCGTTGCTGCGCTACCATCAATTCGGCGACATCTGCCAGGGAGCATGGCATCTTACCTTGGAATGCCAACCCCCAACTCCCTGTCGCTGCCGGCGACTTCATCGCAAGACACACCGATTGACTTCCCGGACATACATCCTTACCTCGAAGGTGAGATCTACGATGCAGCCATTGCCCGAGCATTGTTCCATCTATACCGCTCATACTGCATTGATGTGATCGATGCGTTCCGAAAATGCAAGGAGAAGCCATTCTTCAACCACCACTCGGCTTTCAATGGCAAGATGACGGTGCCAGTCTCCAAAGTGTTCTCGATGCCATGTTTAGCCCCTTGGATCCAAGAGTGCGACATGCGAATGTATAAGCAGATTGTCCGGTTTATTGCTCCGTTGGCCCTACAGAACGTCCCTGATGTTGTGTGGAATGTCTTTGACCGGATCGGGACGAAATTGGTCGGTCACCTCATATCAGCGTTCGAAGAGAAATGCCCCGTGCATGTCATCGTCGCAAAGATAGTCCCCGCGCAACGTTTTGTGAACGTGTTGAAGAAGCTGAAGGGCGCAAATACGGCGACCCTACAGTTCAGTCGGATGCTCGAAGACCCACAACAAAGAACTCAGATGTGGCTGGATCTGATGTCCATCGTGGACCCTGACCAGCTGCTGGAGGACAGTATGCCGGCGCCGGAAAGCATCGAGAAGGTCCGTGGCATGCTCAAGCACGACATGCGGCCTCTTGTGGATCCCGTGGACGAACCCTTGGTCCACGCGGCCGAAGATGACCCAACGAGCGCATACGCCACTCTGCTCAACGATGACTCAGTCGCCACCGTGGGAATCTTGCTGCCCGAGGTCACCGACGATCCAATGTCGTTGCTGGAGCGATGGGTCAACTGGCTGGAGCGACTGCCTCAATTGTATGGCGGTCATCACCCGCAATGTATGATCAATTGGCATACACGACTATGGAAAAGCATCATGACGCAGATGGGACGAGGCGTAGCCCACAGCTACCAGTCGTGGTGGTTCGTCGAGTCGTTTACCACGCAGATGCTAGACTGGATGACACAGATGGAAGGGCTCATGCTGGATTCCCACAGTCAAACCATCGCAGACGAACGGGAGCAAGACAAGTGTAGACAAGCACAGTCGCTGCCTGACGAGCCTTTTCGTGGGACGAAAAGAAAGCGGACAGAAGGAGAGGCCGGGTTCAGCCCGAGCGCTCAAATGGAACAAGATTCACGCGCATCGAAGAGGCCGGTGACCGCTCCCAAGAGCTCGCCCACTCTCCCATCGACGCGGGTGATGGACGACGCGGCCACTGCGATCGATGACGATGCAACAGACGCTGATCTTGACGAATTGAGACATGGCGGCCCTTTAGATCTCCCTAGTTTCCACACCGGTCTGACTAGCCCCGTGAAAGGGCGAGGACCCGGAAACCACGACGACAGCGGAATTGGTCTCGGGCTTGACGTCGACGTCGACGTCGATGCCGAGAAGGAAGCCAGGAGGTTCAACAAGAAGGACTGGTTCCTTAGCAGCGATCCGGCAGACTCAGGAATCGCGCTGGGGGTAATGGCTCAATGAGCGTGACGCAGAGCACAGACAGCGGTGGAATACTAATAATGCACGGTTACATGTTTTGATCCGGGATGGAAGTTGGGAGACGAATGTGAATGAGGCCACACGACGAGACGAACGGGCAGCGGACGGTAGGGCCGATGGAAAGGGTCGGAAGTGACTGAGGGTTCGACTTTGACTTCGACGATGGGTCGACTCCGTTCAGAGCATATTGTCGTTGGGTCCATGGCTGGCCGGATGTGATGGTATTTTCTTTTCTCTTCCTGTTCGATACCCCAGATTTGGATGACGGGCTGGAGTGTCTTTGTTGTCCATGAGACTTGCTGGCGGGCTGTACAGCGTCAGATATATTCGAGCCTGGTTTTGAGTTGGTTTACAAATTGCGCCAGTTGATTGTTACCGCTTGGAAAACACCTGCAAGGAGGCAGCATTTCTGTGCACCATACACACCTCATGGACGTCTGTCATCAGTTAGGGTCCTGTGTAGTGTAGTGCAGGCGATATTCGCCCCTGCAAAGGAACGTGGCGGACTCTTTATAGCTGGACATGTTCTTGTGCGTCGAATCCATATGCCCGTCGAAATGTAGAATACCCTTCGTTGGACCAGATTCGAGACCAGTACCTGTGCTTAAGCATCTTGCTGCGCACCAGCGCGTCTCCCAGGGCGATCGCATAGCCCAGCCTGAAACCATAAGGTGTGGAGGCGAGCTGAGCAAGATACAGTCCATACAGTCTAGTGGCGTCGGCGAGGTGGTGGAGTCACTGGTCACTTTTCCTACATGAAGCTTACAGACACAGCAACCCCAAGCTTTTGGCGCGTCGTGCCTCGAACCGATATATCTGCATATACATAACATTGTGATCTGGTCACCGGTGCCAAATCCATCCTCTTCAATCTCTGGATCGTGAACAGGCGTCTCGCTCGGCGCCAGACATGGCCAAACGATCCGCTAAGCCCGGCCATGAATCCAAGGACAGAAGACAAACCGCGACAGAGACATCGATCCCCGACACGCAGCAACGTTTGCCAAAGACACTCGAGAGGCCCCGGTCTATCTTCGCGACCCTGGGTGATTCAAGAGTGCGCACAGCCCTGCAACTGGTGCTTCTCGCAGCACTGTATGCCCCCGTGTCACAGCTGAACTTGTCCCCCGTCTACGGGGAGATTCCTTCTCGGCACTATCATCCATATGGACTCACCGCGTCCTTCCTGGCTGCGTACTTGCTTCGGGGCCATCTACCTCGGCGAGTCTCTCGTGTTATCACCCCGTTTTGCTTCTGGGTGCCGACCATACAGTTTCTCCTATTCCGATTCAGCTCCACGCTGGGAAACCCACTGGGCCCCGTGGTTACAGAGAGCCTGACTTGCTTCCCGGTGGTGACGATGTCCATCTACGTTGCCATGCAATCCTTCGACAGCGTGATCGGCAGATCCGACTCGAGTCTCGGTGAGGCGGCGCCGTCGATGGGCTTGTTCGTGCTTTTCAGCATCTTGCACCACGCTGGCAAGGGATTCGTCTCGTCCGCCGTCGGACCTGGTTTCCTGAGGTCGCGTATCGGGATGCATTTGATCGTGGCGTCGTTGTACGGCATGGTCTTGCCCAGCAGTGTCCTCTGGCCCTCGCTCCCAGCTGTGGCTTTCACCATGGTAGCGAATCCCCACTGTGGCCTTTCGCGGACGACCCAAGTGCTGAACAACACACTAGCACTGCATCACTACACCCTTCTGGAGCGGAAGGAGTCCATCACGGGATACATCTCCGTACTGGAGGACAACGAGAAGGGATTCCGTGTGATGCGATGCGACCATAGCCTGTTGGGCGGCGAATGGCAGATGCCGCCACCCAAGAAGGGCGGCGTCGACCGAAGAGTCGGCGAGCCCATCTACTCCGTCTTTGTGATGCTCGAGGCTGTCCGTCTCGCAGAGCCCGCGCCGAGGAGCCCTCGGAAGACCGCCTTGAACGTCGGGCTCGGGGTAGGGACGGCCCCGTCGGCATTGATCCAACATGGCGTCGACACCACAGTCATGGAGCTCGACCCGGTTGTGCACGAATTCGCGCTCAAGTACTTCAACTTCCCCCACAACCACAGCCATTACATCGGCGATGCCGTCCACGCCGTAACCACGGCGAACGCGTCCGAAGCAGATTCCTACGACTACATCATCCACGACGTCTTCACGGGCGGCGCCGAGCCCGTGGAGCTCTTCACCCCCGAGTTCCTGGCCGGGCTGCACATGTTGTTGAAGCCAGATGGAGTCATCGCCATCAACTACGCAGGAGACCTGGCGATGCCGGCGTCGTCCCTGATCTACCGGACCGTCACATCCGTGTTTCCCTCGTGCCGAGTCTTTAGGGAAGACGAGGCACCCGCGCCGGGGGTCAGGCCCGACGATTTCACAAACATGGTCTTCTTCTGTCGGAAGCAGGATATCCCCGTCAGGTTCCGTAAACCCGTGGCAGCGGACTTCCTGGGTAGTGGTGCGAGACGGGCGTTTCTGCTTCCCAAACACGAAATCATGCCCGAGGAGTTTGTCCGCGAGGGTGGAATACTGAAGCATGGACACACCAAGGAGCTAGAGAAGTGGCAGGCTCAGAGCGCGATCGGGCATTGGCGGGTCATGCGGACAGTTCTCCCGGATGCTGTCTGGGAGAACTGGTGACGCGGTGGACAGAAGGAGATTTGTTTGGGAACAGCGCAATGTCATGTTGAGGTGGTTTGTAATGCTGTATCGACGCCAGCGACGACCTACGAGAATCAGAATCGGTATTGTAAGTTAAAGGATGTGGCTGCTACTGCTGCTGCCGCTGCTGCTACAGTACTATCCCGACTGAGTCGACCATCACCGACGCCACAGTCTTTGAAACAACAGCTCGAGGCCCGTGGCGTGCGCTTCGCCATCAATGGTTATGTCGTGGAGCGGGCCACTTCTGCGCGATCCGCTGATACTTGGGCGCGCAGTTCAACACCATGCCCTCGCTCAGCTGGCCCGTCTCGCGGCGGAAGATATCCTGCCACGGAGTCTGACTCTCCGGAACGGCATACCCGCCCTTGGCGTCCAGCTCTTCACGACGCCTGCTCAGCTCGTCGTCCGAAACCAGCAGTTTGACCTGCCGCTTGTTGAGATCGACTCTCACCTTGTCGCCGTCTCGAAGGAGTGCCAGGTTCCCACCCGCTGCTGCCTCGGGGCTCGCGTTCAGGATCGACGGAGACCCGGACGTGCCTGATTGGCGACCGTCGCCGATACAGGGTAATGAAGTGACGCCCTGCTTGATGACATGGCCTGGGGCGTGCATGTTGACGACTTCGGCGGCGCCACTGCGACAGTCACGTTAGTTTTTGTGCAGGACCGCGCCACAGTCAGTATAACAACTCACGGATATCCCAACGGCCCCGCGCCGCGCATGACGAGAATGGTCCTCCTGTCGACGTTTGTCTTGGGATCGTCGATCCTGTTGATGAAATCCTCCCGCCCGTCAAACACGACGGCCTTGCACTCAAAGGCATTCCGATCGTTCGGGTCGTCGAGAAACTCGGCGCGAAAGTCGTCGGAAATGACCGACGTCTTCATGATGGCCGAGTCGAACAGATTGCCCTTCATGTGCAAAAACCCGGCGCTCGGCTTCAGCGGATCGCCGTAACTCCTGATGGTGCTGCGGTCCCAGGAGAACTGGCCGGCCACGTTCTCGGCCACGGTCCTGCCATTACACGTCAGGGCGTGCTCGTGCAGTTTCCCCTGCTGCAGCAACTCGGCCATGACGGCCGGCAGCCCGCCGGCCTTGTAGTACTCCTCGCACAGCATCTCGCCCGCGGGCTGGACGTTGAGCAACAACGGCACGTCAAACCCGGTGGTGTCCCAGTCGTCCAGGTCCAGGGCGACGCCGACGTGCTTGGCGATGGCGTTCAGGTGGATCGGCGCGTTGGTACTGCCGCCGATGGCGCTGTTGACGACGATGGCGTTCTCAAACGCCCGCCGCGTCAGGATGTCGCTGGGCTTGCGGTCCGCGCGGACCATGTCGACGATCTGCCTGCCCGTGCGGAACGCGCACTGGGCCCGCTCGCGGTACGGCGCCGGGATGGCCGCACTGCCCGGCAACGCCATGCCCAGGGCCTCGGCCAGGGCGTTCATGGTCGACGCCGTGCCCATGGTGTTGCAGTGGCCCGCGCTGGGCGTGCCCGCGGCGATCATGTCGACCATGGTGTCGTCGTCGATGTGGCCCGCGGCGTGCAGGTCGCGCGCCTTCCACAGGATCGTGCCGGAGCCGATGCGGTCGGCTGTGCCGTGCAGCCGCCCGTTCAGCATGGGTCCCACGTTCAGGCAGATGGCGGGCACGTCGACGGTCGCCGCGGCCATCAGCATCGCCGGCGTCGTCTTGTCGCAACCCGTCAGCAGCACCACCCCGTCCAGCGGGTACGCGTGCAAGATCTCCACCAGGCCCAGGTACAGCAGGTTGCGGTCCAGCGTGGCCGTCGGGCGACGCACCGACTCCTGGATCGGGTGCGTCGGGAACTCGAACACGATGCCGCCCGCGGAGCGAATGCCCTCACGCACCCGCTTCGCCAACTCCAGATGGTACCGGTTGCAGGGTGCAATGTCGCTGCCGGACTGGGCGATGCCGATGATCGGTTTCCCGCTGTTGAGCTCGCCCACCGTGAGCCCGTAGTTGAGGAACCGGTCCGTGTACAGCGCCATCATCTCCGGGTCGGCCGGGTTGTTGAACCAGTGGGCGGAGCGGAATTTGCGTGCTGGCGGCTTCGACTCACCGTCTTCCTCGCCATTCACCTTGGTCGAACTTCCAGTCAATCCCGCGGTCGCGAGCTGTCGTTCCAGGTCGGCGGTCCGTTGGCGCAGAGACGCCACCTCGGCCTTGTAGTCTTCGATGTCCGGGACGTGGTTTGCCGCATGGTGTGCGTCGTGGCTGTCGCACGTCGAGCACGACTGTTCAGGTTGGCAGCTCATGTCGGTGGTCGGCGTTTGATGGAAAGTGACTCTGACTCTGATATGATACTGATATTGATGTTGGCACTGGCACTGGCACTGGCACTGTCACACGCACTCGCACTGGCTGTGTTACCGATCTCAGGTGTAACTGTAATCTAGAGAACCTATACCTGTACCTTACGTATAAGTACATACATCTCTCTCCCACATCGACCTGGCATTTATTTTGGACGTACCCACCAAACTTGTCTACTTGGCAGAAACCCAGTCACTGACATACTGTAGGCAAAAGAGCAATCGCACAACAGCCAAGGCATGGTTGACACGGTACCCTCGGCATCGTCGCCCGATCCCACGCGGCGTAATTAACTCGTATCCAGTCTCGTTGCGGCCTTTGTTTCTGACCCTGCATGAGAGGCTCCCCAGTGGGTGTCGGCAACTGTCGGTTATTGTTTCTGATGCCCCCGGTGTGCGGAGAAAGATTGAGCTCTGTGTGGCTCTGTGTCCCCCCGACATTGTCTGTTCGGCGGCCTTTTCGCCGAATAGATCAGATGCACTTGCTCCACTCGATATCGGTTCACCTCAGGTCAAGATGCGGGCGACTAATTGGACGGGATGAAAAGTCATCTTTGTTTTGATTTGGTATAGTAGAACAATCATCTATTGCTTTGGCTTGTTATAGAAGAACACTCAAACGCTAGATCATGCGTACGCAACTATTCCGTACAGAGAATGCTAACTATTAGTACGAGTTGATGAAATCAAGACCTTTTCCAAGATGCCTCCAATTGGCATGGCTGGAAGCAACAAGACGCCGTGGCTTGTGCTTAATGAACCCATCTCAACAACGCCTTGCAAGGTCATCTCATCGGCAAGGGGTATCGTGTAGGTTGTGTTGTACAAACTCAATTGGATCGTCCGTCATTTTCTGGATCCCGTCGCCTGAAATGCTCGCCGTATCGTCAACGCCAAGTTCCAGCCCGTCTTCCGAATCCAAGTAAACCAACTCCGCCCAGACTCTCCAGTGAATCGATGCAATGTGGGCCAGTCGCCTGGCTATATCTTCTATTTCGGGCAGCAGTCGCCATCGACATGCTTGTGCTCGGACCTGTTGCCAGTGTTTCTGGGCATGGGATATCTCCAGTGTCGTCATGTTTTGGAATTTGGTTGCGTGTGCATGTGCTTCCTGCTCAACCGCACGGACTAGCTGTCGGGCGCGGTGTTGGTGCTGATGCTCGTATTCAAACATCCGCTTCAAGAGCTGTGCAGTCTTCGCAACCGTCGTAGAAGGAATTGGCACAGCCGGCCCCAGGCGGACGAGTGATGCGGCGCGGCTGAGCTCAACCGCAATGGCTTCTGTGTGTTGGAGCCAGATCTGCGAAACTTCTTCCGGGTTGCCGTCGGTAATGTCCATGATTCTGTTTCGCAGAAGACAATGCATCTCGGTGACCTGTCTCTCCAACATGCTCTGGCTCTCGGGCCCGGAGAGCTCACGGACCAGCTGGTCGAAGAGTAAAAGACACATGTCCAGGTGGACAAAGTCCTGGATGTCCCCGCGTATCTCCTTCAGACGCTTTTGGTCATAAGCAAGGGTTGCTGGAAGCTTTGGATCCGGCCAGAGACAAAGCTCCAGCATACCGTGCACCAGAACAGCTAGAGGCAGCGATCTCGGAGTCTGGCGGTCGACATGGCACTGTTGGTGCTTTGCAACCGCAAGGTCGTACCACTTCCGCGACGCCTGTGCTTCGAGATTACCGCGGCCGATCCTGGATCTGAAGAACTCTTGCTGAAAGGCGACGGTATCGTCGATCAAGAGATAACGAAAGCTTCTGATCTGATGGTTAGCAACATCGAGCTTCATAGCCTCGAGGATCTGGAAGAGCGTTTCGATCCCGGCGACGAGGGTTGGAACGTCTCCAGTCTCGGCGCCTTGCCTGATCTTTTCAGCCATCTCATGAGCCGAGACATCGCGCATCGGTGCACAGTGGCTGGTGAGGAGACCATCGAGCCATCGAGCCAGACGAGCAATGTCTAGAAGACCATGAGACACCTCTTGCAACAGTAGAGATACGTCAAGATACTGACTGATCTGGTCTTGGTCCTTCTCAGGCACCAGGATGACGAGCAGTTCTTGTAATTTTTGGAACAAGGCCGGCAGCCTCCGTCGAAACGAAGGCGACGTCCCCTCAAGGACGCATTTATCCGATCTGAGAGAACGTCTCTTATCACATTCTGCACACGAGACCAACAAGCTATGCTGATAGACTATTCTCAGCTCCGTCTCGAGACTAAGCCAATACCGCCTTGCATCCCTCTTCTTCTGTTCGCCCTTGCCACCAGAGATGGGGGTGAAGTGGAGGTCATGGTCGTAGTTGATGTCGATGCGCAGGGTAACGTTCGATTGAATGTAGGTGAGCTCCAGCTCTCCCAGAGATTCCTTGGTGACCGGAGGGTGAGGACTGGCATTGAGCAGCGCGTCGGCTTCGGCTTCGCTGATGCAGGGAGGTATCGCCGTCAGGTTCTCAGTGTCTTCCGCCCCAGCACAACGATGACCGCTGGGTGGTGGGGTGGACTCTTTGTACGGTCCTGGCCTGACCTGCTGGGGCGTCGCGTCACGCGTCTCCGACAACGAATGATAGCCGGAATCGCAGGATCGTGAGTCGTTATGACGGTCCTCCTGGAGAACCCATTTAGGCGAGGTGCATCCAGCAGGTCTGGGCATGTTTGATTTCGAGGTGTAGGAGGCGGTGGCGGACAAGGAGCGGTCAGCGGAGAGCTGCTCAGCCTTGGTGGCTGGACCTGAGTATTTCGTGTTTCTGAGCCCCTTCGAGGAGCCATCTGGGAGGTTGTCTGCATCTTTGCCCATTTCTATATCGCCTGTCTCCTTCCATTCCCCTGTGTCCTTCATCCAAATGTGTCCAGGCCACAGGCCTACATTCCTATTGGCGCATTTCTCTGAAAGTTTGCTCGCTTCGCGGACCAGGGCAATAGTGGAACGACTGGAGGAGGGATCCCCTTGGGCAGGGAGAGAAAGGTCTATGCTGCAGCGGTAGCCTTCGGACGTCACACTTGTGGAGCGGAAGCTCTGGGTGTGACAAACGGGTCGGCCGGATAGAGACGGGAGAGTGGTGTGCGCCCCTTCGTGTGTTGGGCGATCGGCGACCGAGTTCTTATTAGTATGCGCTCAATGAGATCGAGCCGTCAAGGTTGAGAACGAATGGACGCCCTCGTAGGAGCGTGGGGAACAAGAATGGAATTGGGTAGCACTCGCGCTGCTTCGGAAGCTGAGATGGGGGTTGGACACGGTTGCGATCTCCCGAAAACAAACGAGAGACACGAGAGAGTGTGGCGTGTGGTGCGCGGTGTGTGAAGTCTTGGATCCTGCCTTGGTGGTGCGATAACGAGCGACTCGAAACCTAAGCAGCGTAGCAAGACAGCACCACTTTTGGTTCGTGGCAAGGAAAATAATGCGGTGACAGATGCTTGCCAGTCTTCACTCTCACCTCATTCTTGTCCTGACTTCGGTCCAGGGTCCGTCACCCCTGCCTCATTTCGTATTGGGCGTGGCAGCCGGCACTTTAACTTACCGTGCACCCGTGGCTGCAAAGCCCGGCGGAACAGGAGGCTCTTTGCGTGAGTCCATGGCAGTCAACGACAATATCACAAAGAGACGTTTAATCTTGGAGTCAGGCGAATGTGAAGCGCCAGCTCACAGCAGCCCATTGACCAACGGCTACGTGACCTGCGAGGTTGAAGTGGGCCTGTCTCTCCACGCTGTCGTGGTTTTGTCGGCACACCACATTGGTGCTCAAGGAGACTCCAAGCACTTGTTCACGGCGTTTACCAATGGCAGGCAGCCATGGCCATGGGGAAGCAGTCCGTCGTTTCGCCACCGACCAGGCACAAGGCCACGAGGCCACAAATCACGGCCTGTCTCACAGCAGATCACTGCGTTATCCTGCAGAAAACAGCTAACTCTGTGACAATCAGGCTCTCGTCCTGCGATCCTCCTGTCAGTCCAAAGCTTCGCCGAGCGCGCATATATCTACAGTGTCATCCTGTCATCCTGTTCAAAATGAGGCGGATCTCTTCTCTGACCGCAGGCCATCCGTATAACAGAAAAGATCTGCACCTACACAATATAGTCCAACTACCTCTCTGACACGAATGCTATGGACTCTGGGTCCATCTGCGACACCAGCGTGGACAATGACGGTCTCTCCACAACTTACGCCCCGGCTGCTGTGCATTTGTCCGACAGGCCGCCCTTTCTTGGGTGGTACTGAATGCATCAATCCCCTTCTGGAATTTCGGCGTGGAATCTAGAATGGTGGCAAGGCCTACGGTTCGGAATTTGCAGCAGTCCGGTGACTGATCAGTTGCACCGAAAGCGTCCCTTCTAGCGGACCCGAGTGAGCGAGGACATCGAGCATCAGCATCCCCGTGGGGGTCGTTACGAGCACCAGTCACTCTCCTCGGAAGAAGAAACTCTATGTCGTGTCAGCGGTAGCTGGATCGTACTTGTTGACAATTTGCTACTTGTCAGCGGACATCGAACAGGTTTCTTTTTCCTTGGCTGCGATCGCAAAATCTCGTGATCATATGAGCGAGGCCTGCGACCAGGACGCCAATACGCTCCTCTCCATGCACATGACGGGCGCGACAGGAGAGTCGACCATTGCAATTGAGATTTGAGACTCTATCAAGGACACGAAAGCGCCAGAGCATGGTGCCTCAGGTTGGATATCTTATCGGTGCCGGAGTGGTGATGTTGTTGATCTTGGTACCCGACGTGGGAGCTAACAGCCTCACTGTGTCCAATAAGTGACAAGTCCGGTTGAATCAACGTGAACAAAGTCCCTCCTATCACTGGATGGCAAAGCACACAGCATTTTGTGACCCGAAAAGCTTGGTGTCCAGGCAATGATTTCGCAACCTCGGTGACGCAGCGACGGGCGTCATCCTTTCTCTGTCCTTGCACTACAGATAGGACATTCCAGCTGCACAGGATAGCTTCAGCTTCGGGCATTATGATTCTGACTAACTACTCGTCTTGGATCTTGACCACAACCTTCTTCGACCCTCCAGCGCCAGCCAATTGGTGATGATATGCCTTGACCGCATCGTCGAAGCCTCCGTTGCCGATCACTTCATACTCTGTCGGCAAGAGTTTGCCCGCCTCGATCAGACCGGTGATGACAGGAATGTACGTCGCAACCTTCCTGTTCAATTCCGTGGCTTCTGGTCGCCCAACAGTTCCCAGAGCAACAGGGTAGGTCTTGCCACCTTCAAAGTCACCTATACCGCTCCAGTCGTTTGTGGTAGCGAAAAACTTCTCGGTGCTCTTGCTTGCTTTGAACAACTCTTTGGCGAGAACAGGATCGTCCCCAGCGACCGCGTCGTAGATACGGGCAACGTCGCCGCCGGTGATGCCCAGCACAGCTTTGACTTGATCCTCTAAGGGTTGCTTGTAGTCGAACGGTACGGCGCCGATTTCTTTGACAACAGCAGCAGATTTGCTCGAGCAGGAGGCGACCACTTTGTAACCGCTCGCTTTAGCGAGCTGAATTGCCGCTTTTCCGACATTGCTGGCGCCTCCCAAGATGACGATCCATTCTTCTTTGGATGCTGGAAGATTTTTCGGATCAGGCAAGGTGAGCTTGAGGCCGTCGAACAACCCAAGACATGCTGTCTCGCTTGCCACCCCCAACGTCGCGGCCTCGAGCAGAGAAATATTGTCTGGCTTCCGAAGAGTCACTGCGGCGTCGAACAGGAAGTATTCTTGGGCGCCGGTGTATCCCAGCATTCCTACCCTGGTACAGCCGAACACCTGATCGCCGGATGTGAAACCGTACTTGGAAGTCGCCTCACTTCCCGCCTCGACTACAATGCCGGCGGCATCAACGCCAAGTCCTAGCGGCCAACTGACCACAAGAATGCCATATGCGGCCACGAAATGGTCACTAAAGCATGGTTAGCCTCCGGTTGAGATCCCTCGCAGTCGGTCTAATAATCAACCAAGACGGTGCTCCGGAAGCCGGGACCATTCTCACGTCAACAAATACCCTGTGCCGATATACCGGCGCCGGTCTTGCGCGCAAACGACTTCTAGCTGAAAGGCAGTGTCGAAGAGACAAGAACATTAGGAGAAAGGCATTTTTCACTTACACAGGGTTCATTGCAGTCCAGATAGATTTTACCAGCAGCTGATCCGGTCCCGGCGACGGCTTTTCCAGGTCATCAACGACCTTTGGTTCGGCTCCCTGTTTCTCAAAAATAACGCCCTTCATCGTGTAATCTTCTAATGAGATACTGAGGAGATATGGAGGAAGACAAAGATGGTTGCGAAGTTGTCGCAGTCCGAAGATGACATCAACCGCCAACTTTGAGGCTGCCTTATACCTCGAGAGCGAGGGAGAAGGCTGAAGACCGCAACAGGCAGCACAGGAATACGTACAAGAACTTTTGCGACGATATCGAGCTAGACCTGCTGAGGTAAACAGGATCAGACATCCTAGTGGACTGGTTGGCAGTCCTGGTTTAGCAGGAAGGTGTAACTCGCGGCGCAAAAGGCCTATATCTCGTGTATACGACGGGTGCAGCACACAAGAAGCGAGCAAAACCCAGGTGTGATAGGCCGACGAAGGAAGGACCTGCCGTGCCTGGTATGACGTCGCAGCAGTTGCAGACTTGGTTCAACAGCTGTCAAGACTTAGCAATGGGACACGGGACATCTAAGAGGCTCGTATCCTGGGAATACGAAGAGGGGCTCAGGAAACCTCGTATGGTTAGGGTCTGGTTTGAGGACAGTCAGCTTGGTGCAAGCTTGCAGTACTTGCCCGATGTATCATTTAGGAATACAATACAATAGAAGTCGCATGCGTGCTCACCAGAGTGATCCAGTACGGAAGATTCAGGCAGCCGACAGAAGTACGTGGTGTCGTAAGGTGCGAGGTGAAATCGAGTTGACTCGAGCGTGAATTTGCGCAGATTGGTGTTAAAATGCGCCGTACCTGGTACGGTCGACCATCTGTGTCTGAAGTGACTTCTCGGTGAGCGATAGGCGAGAAGCGACAGCGAAGTGGAGCTCGAGCTTTAGAAAGTCCGTCGCCAACTCGCTCCTCAACAATCGCGGCCTCAATACTTTACTGTGTACAGACAAACAGACAGCAGGTCAGCTCGCCGCGCAACAGCGCACTCGCCCGTCAATACTCTGTCTTGATCTCTTCACAGTCAGAGCCGATTGATAGATCTCGCTGGCTCTTCTGTAGCATTCCTCTTGCCATGGCTGGCCGACAGTCAGTCCGACTGCTCGCTCGCCAGCTCACATCCTCGCAATGCACCCTTTCACAATCTCAACACCATGCTCGACGAGCATTCTCCTCGACGCCTTCCGCCCTTGCGGCCCATAACTTCATGATGCCCGCCATGTCCCCAACCATGACAGAAGGCAATATTTCCAGCTGGAAAGTCAAGGAAGGCGACTCCTTTTCCGCAGGGGACATCCTGCTAGAAATCGAGACGGACAAGGCGTCCATGGACGTGGAAGCTCAAGAGGATGGCGTCGTGGCCAAGATTTTCCAGGGAGATGGCTCAAAATCAGTCCAAGTCGGCACGAGGATAGCCGTGCTCGCGGATGCAGGAGACGACGTCTCGAGCCTCGAGATCCCGGCCGATGATTCCAAACCCGTCCAGTCACAGTCCGAGAACATCAAGGGCGGAGACGATGCGAAGTACGAAAGCTCCGGCGCGGAGAAGAACACACCGGGCACACCGCAGGACCCCAGGCCTGCGAAGGACAAACCCAAGACGAGCCCCCAGGGACCGGGCGCAAATCCGAAATATCCTCTCTACCCGTCAGTGATTGCACTCATCCACGAGAACCACATCCCCGACGCCGACGTGGCCAAGATCGCCGCCACAGGGCCGAACGGCCGACTGCTGAAGGGCGACGTCCTTGCATACCTAGGCACGATCGCCTCAGACTATTCGGCCGAACAATCCAAGCGCATCGAACACATGGGCCACCTCGACCTCAGCAACATCAAAGTCCTACCCGCGACGCCCGAGAACAAGCCAGCCCCTTCAGAAGACACCACACGAGGCAAAGCCGCGGCGGCAGCCGAGGTGGCGCCCGTGACGAGCGTATCCCTCACGATCTCCCTCTCCGAGGTACTCAAGGTCCAAAAACGCGTCAAAGACACACTGGGCGTGACTGTGCCGATTTCCACGTTCCTCGCCCGCGCCGTCGACCTGGCCAACGACGACCTGCCCAACCCGAAGAACGCAAAGCCCTCGGCCGACGACCTCTTCAACGCCGTGCTCGGCCTGACCGCCATCCCCACGACCTCACGAGGGACATACCTCCCGCAAATCGACGCCTTCCCTACCCTCCCGCCGCCGAGTGCGCGTCAAGCCACCAAGCCATCGTCCCGCTCCCCGCGACTGGGCACCAGTGCGGCCAAGAAGATCGACATCCTCGACATTTTGTCTGGCAAGGTGACGCCGCCGCGACGAGCAGCGGCTCCACTTTCCACGGCGGCCTCGAACCCCGGCCGTACCTTGACCACCACCTCGGAAGGTGCGCTCAATGTCTTCAGCCTGACGGTGCCCAAGGGCGAGGAGAAGCGAGCCCGCACCTTCCTGGAACGGATGAAGACCGTGCTGCAGGTCGAGCCGGGCAAGTTGGTGCTCTGAACACCCATTTACTTAGTGGGTACGTACGTACCGTGTACTGTAGGAAAAGTGGGCAGGCATGCATGCGGGAGGGACGAGATTCGAGCCGAGTGCGTCCCCGTCTTCGTCATCCAGCCAGCCAGCCAGCCTCTGACACCACTGAACCTACAAGTAGCTACTCCGTACAGCCGTGTGAGAGTGTAGCCGTGTAGTTCCGGGGGGTTTCTTCCACAGGCTTTGATAGACTTTGACTCTGCCTTCTTGTACCAAAATCCATTGGAGCGTGCGCAGGAAGCGGACCACCCCCTCCCCCTTGGGGAATCTCTAAGTACCTTCGTACTTCGTATACTACTGTAGTTCCGTCATGAGGATTCCAAGTGCGAATACGGAGGACGGAGTAGGGGGGCTATTCTGCCATCTGATCCACTTCTCCAGCTACTGTATAGGCGTCATTAGTATTGTTCTCCGGCCTCTCTCAGAGGAGTTGGTAGGCCAACAAACATGGGTCTTCACAAATTGATCAGACAGATATATGGTGGTCAAGGTCACTTTTTTTGGATTTTCCGCCTTGCTTTCTCGCTGGAGACAGCGCGCTTGGAACGCTACGTGAATTGCCAGGACGATACCGATTGCGCTTGAGCATAGTAGACGCCGACCAAGCATCAAGATCCGTGGAGCCCTCATGCCAAACAACAACCTGGAGCGCCACGCTTGCAAGAAAAGAACAGGAGGACCAATTCTCACTTCAGTCCAATCCCAACCCAATATCCTGTCAGTACCCGCACCCCTCCCGCCATCAGCTCATAGCACATTCATGATAGTCCTGGAAATCGCACACTCGCTGCTTCTGATTTTCCATTCCGAGACGACGCTTGCGCTTGCTAATTAAACCACAATCAAAGCAGAGAGCACCACATCAGTCGTAGAAATAGCTGGAGGTCGTTCAACCGTATAAGAGTCATTGCTGTACAGGTCTGGTTGTATGTCAACGGTAAAGTCGTGATATGTCTGGGTCGTTCGGGGCATGCTCGATTTCGTCCAGACGTCAAGAATTAAGCCTGTGGGTGGAGGTATCACCGGATAGCACCCCAATCACCCAACCTGCCCGCGATGCCATCGCTGTTCCGACCTTCATTGCCCTTCTTGCCAAACACCCTCCAGAATCGAAGTGTTTCGTCACCCGCTCCCGTCACAACAGTAGTACCGTCAGGACTGGTGCTCAGGTAGAGAACACGGAACGTATGCCCGGTAAGACTGACGACCTGCTCCATCTTGGGATATTTCCACACCACGATCTGATTCTGGCTGTATCCGTGCGTACTGACGATCTCGTCGCTGTTCTTGCTCCAGGCTAGGTTGCAGACCTGACTCCCAGTGTCGACCTCCTTGATGAGCGAACCGTTGGCGGTGTTCCAGAATTTGATTGACCGATCTGCGGTACCTCCGCCGGAAGCGAGTAAATGATGCTGATGGGGACTCCAAGCGATTGCCTTGACTGCTGCAACGTGGTTCGAGAATCGATAGAGCGGTGTCTCCGACAGTTTGTCCCAGATACAAAGCTTGTTGTCATTCCCGCCTGAGGCAAGTTGGCCATCTTCGGTGTTCCAGCGCAGACCACAGACTTCTTGTTTATGCCCCGCCAGTCGTCGCAGGTATTGGTCCGGACTCCGCACATCCCGATGATATATCAGTCGATCTCTGGAGCCGGACGTCAAGATATGGTCATTCCAAGCGAGTGCCCCAACTCGGGCTGAGTGACCCGTCATCGTGCGCAGCCTCCGGGACTTCTCGGCATCATAAATCTGAACAAAGCCTTTGTGCGTGCCTATGGCAAGATGAGATCCCCGCTGTATCCACGCGACGGATGTCACCAGATCATTGTCAGGGAGCTTGCACAGTTGTGTGACTTTACCAGTGGTACTGTTCCACAAATAGACACACGAGCCGAGTCCTACACCAAGAATATTGGCCGAACCCCAATCTACAAGATTCAGGTAGAAATCGTCCGCCAACTCAGGCGCGTCCAAGACCTTGTAAGGGACTTTGGCGATGGGTCGAGGTTGTTTCCGAGGCGTCTGAAGAATCGACTGAGACGAGTAATTGATGGGTGATATTGAATATAGATCGGATCTTGCGTTCAGATTGATGATGCCAGGATGCTTTGCATTCCGGGATGAAGGAGTTGGATGACCCGAGCCAATGACTTTCTGGGGAGACTTGTACGTGAACATGTTCTTGTGAGGAGTGGTGGGGGTGATCGAAGCGGGTGGCATGGCCGATAATGACGGTTGACCCGGAGGAGTCTGCCGGCGGCCGAACAGCTCGTCTGGAGAAAGAGACCGGTAGTCTTGCGGTACCGAGTCGCCCATCAACTCGTTGCGCAGGACCTTTGAGTATGTCCTATTCGCCTCTTCGGTCCGTTGAAAATGCAGTTCTCCGTGAGGGGTTTTCTTTTTCGACCTCGAGGGAGTCGCAGGTGAGCCATCATCGTGTAATAAGCTGTAGGTCGCCTGCAAGTCCTGGCCGTCTCTGTTGGGGATGAACCTGGGGTACCAATCAGTTTCACATCACTCCACCCTCAACTTCTCACCAACTCACCGATCGCCGTAGATGCGCTGTCTTTTCCTGCTAGGACTTCGGCCTGGGGTTCTGTCTCTCTGTCTTCCAGCGTTCTCAATCTCTCTTAATCTTCGATTCAGGGCGTCGGCCTCCATGGCCTCTGTAGCTCGCTGCGCGGCGGACATGCCTTCCTCGGGCCCTGCAAAGCGCTTGGTCGAAATCGTGGGAGGGGTCTTTGAGCCGACGGGCGTAGGTAACGTAGGGGTCTGGGGACGCTCTGAGGTTTCCACTGCCAAGGCAGCTGAAAAGTCGTTATCCATGGTGACAAAGTAGTGAGGGGGCGCCGAGGATTAAAAGGATGTGTTGTCACTTTCGCCAGAGGATGTTGTTGTGGTCAGTCGCCAAGGTGACGTGAAGGTGAAGGTGAAGGTGAGGCAGTGATGAGAGTGAAGTCGTTTGAGCTCCAGCAACGCCGTGCCAGGTCGAGTGCAGTGTTGTGAGAGCTGGTGGTCTCTGCAACCGCGACCTGTTTGTCGCCCTGACCCACTCAAGTCGCAAAGTCGTGATCCGCTAAGTGACTAGATTCCAAGCATGATGACGAAAATTCCTCAGTAGGACTACACAGATGGCGGATGTCGTAGATGGCAATGTATGTCTGGGCAATGGGGCAGTTGTGGTGTTGATGCGCGGGTGGTGAATTGAAAGTCATTCAATCGACGCCGTTCAGGGTCGCAACTTCTGCGGGTGTCAAGAGCCACCAAGTAACTCCCCCGTAGAGCCTGGTGACCCGCCTAACCCGATCCGGGCTGTTGTGGGCCCTGCCGCATTCACGCAGACTTGGGCTTTCGCAGTGCTACAGATGTTGAAATGTGCGAGACTGTCTGAAGCTCTGCCGGGCTTTCAAGCGGACATTACTACTGTCGCCTGCCACAAAGTCTCTGGTCATTGTCAATGTTTGTCCTGGTGAAAGGCTCAGCGTGACACAGCTAGCTCCATGCAGCCCATGGAAATCATAACAAAAACACTTTACGCGGCCGCAACAATGACCTGGCAAGCTCCCACAACAATCCGCGTCTCTTTGTTTTGGGCGGCAAGGAGTCACCATCATTGTCCTCCTGGTGACTCTGGCCCGCAATGTGGCAGTCTCAGACGGGTCCCCAGCGTGCGACCTTACTGTCAAGGGGGCTTACAAGGCTGTTTGAGATGTGGTCGTGGACAGACAGTGATTCGATGAGATGCGTGTTTCATGGCGAAGCCTAAGCGATTGGTGTGCAGCTGCAAGGCTCGTGGTGTAATCAACCGGACGCTGTAACTGGTGCGAGCTCGATCCACAGACGGATCGGAATTCGGTCCTCCCCCAGACTTCCAAGGCTTAGGTGTGTGTCTATTTTGATACGTAGATCATAGAGACTAGATCATGGAGACTAGATCATGAGAGACATCTAGACCCTAGACTCCCTCGACAGGCACACGACAACAATAGATTTGATCTCCTCCGACGACTGCACATGCTCCAGCGCCTCCTGCTCCCGAAGACTCTGTTTGCTACCAAGCCCTATTCCACCATGGCCCCCGTACAGATCAAAGCTGCGGCACACGACTTCCTCGACTTTGTCAATGCTTCACCAACACCCTTCCACGCTGTCAAGTCCATCAAAGAGCGGCTGACGTCGGTGGGATTCAAGCAGATCAGCGTCAGTCAGCTCAACCATGCTCTCCCCCTTCAGCCACCCCACTCACGTTGATATTAGGAGAAAACTTCGTGGTCGTCAACCCTCGTCCCCGGCGGCAAATACTTCCTCACTCGAAATGGGTCGACGATTGTAGCATTTGCCATAGGCAAGAAATGGAAGCCCGGCAATCCGATCTCGATGGTCGGGGCGCACACGGATTCACCCTGTCTGCGCATCAAGCCCGTGAGCAAGAAGCAAGGAGACGGCTTTCTACAAGTCGGTGTGGAAACATACGGCGGCGGCCTCTGGCATACCTGGTTCGATCGCGACCTCGGCATCGCAGGAAGAGTCATGGTCCGGGGCGACGATGGCAACGTGGTCCAAAAGCTAGTGCACATCAAGAAGCCTATCCTCCGCATCCCGACGCTGGCCATCCACCTCGACCGACAAGAGAAGTTCGAGTTCAACAAGGAGACGCAGCTCTTCCCCATCGCTGGCCTCGTGGCTGCAGAGCTCAAGCGCCAGGATGAAAAGCAGAGCAAAAACGGGTCTGCCGTGGCAGAAGAAGAACAAAACAAGCCGTTCTCACCCCTCAAGGCCATCACGACCCGGCACCACCCTCACATTGTTGAACTCATTGCTGCAGATGCAGGCGTCTCTGCAGAAGAGGTCGTCGACTTTGAGGTCGTGCTCTACGACACGCAGAAGGCCTGCCTAGGAGGCCTCAGCGACGACTTCATCTTCTCCGCCCGGCTGGACAACCTGAACCAGACATACTGCGCGACCATGGGCTTGATCGAGTCACTGAAGCCGCAATCCGCGCTCGACGACGAATCCTCGATCCGGCTGATCGCGTGTTTCGACCACGAAGAGATTGGCAGCATGACGGCCCAGGGGGCGTTTTCCATGATGTTGCCGGCCATCATCCGGCGACTGTCCGTCCTGCCGGTGGGAGATGGCTCAGAGGAGTCGTACGACCATGCCGCGGATCCCGAACTGTCGACCGCCTACGAACAGACGCTATCCAGCTCTTTCCTCCTCTCGGCAGACATGGCTCACTCGGTCAACCCGAACTACGGCGGCAAGTACGAATCCGACCACCGACCGGAGATGAACCAGGGGCCCGTCATCAAGGTCAACGCCAATGCCAGATACGCCACCAATTCTCCAGGGATCGTGCTCCTCCAGGAAATTGCACGCAAGGCGGCAAAGTTGAGCGACGCCGACCCCGACGGCGTGCCGTTGCAGCTTTTCGTCGTGCGCAACGATTCCAGCTGCGGCAGCACCATCGGGCCCATGTTGTCTGCCCATCTCGGTGCCCGTACTCTTGACCTGGGCAACCCGCAGCTCTCGATGCACAGTTGTCGCGAGACCGGCGGCGCCGACGACGTGCACCATGCGATCAGACTATTCAGCAGTTTCTTCCAGCATTACTCTGCCTTGGAGAAGACGATCCTGGTGGATTAAGCGATCTTAGCGATCTCAGCGCTCTCGGGTGAGGAGAGGGCGATTCTAGTTGATTGAGTGGGAGAGCGACTCAACCAGCATCCTATTTCGTCGCGCAGGCACGACACCGATACACTGCGGAGACTAGCATGGATATTCCACAGCCCCGATGTCCTGTGTCAGTCGTCTATCATCCTCTCCGACACCACTGACAGCACTCGGGATAATATCTAGCAGGGAGATACGGATCTCCCTGATGATCCGACCATTTTCACGCAACGCCAGCAGATCGATCCACGGACGCTGAGTCCTAATTGCTACCAAGGCTTGTTCGCGGGTTCCCTTTGGGCGCAGACGTTTCAATAGCAAGAGCGCTGAGGGAACGCGTAGGATCCTAGTCCAGGCCATGCGAACAATGTACTTTGTCTGATGGCAGCTTAGACGCCTGTAGACGAACACGTAGACCCTCTTCATTGGAACGATGGGGTCTTATGTTCCCAGCGCAACGTCAAACAGAATGCCTTATGCCTTCACTTGACCGACGTCGGGACAGGTCTGCAGATCGGCCCACGTTACGAACTCGAGGCTGAGTGTCGGGATCCTACGCACAAGTACGGAGTAGTGATATTGTAAACTTCGACCAATTCACGTGGCCTGCCTTGCCTTGATTCACATTTCACATTTGATATTTATACTCCGTTCTCTGCAAGGACTAACCGATAACGACACGACACGACACTTTAGAACCGTAACCGACTATGACCATACAAATACACATATAAACTGTACTCCGTACAGTGGCGTGCTTGGTGTCCGCTGTTCGCTGCTCATCAATTTTATAAATCACCATGCCCGACCAGATCCAATAGTCCCCAGCCATGCCGCCGGGCTTTTTACTATATGCACCGCTCAACGACGTCCCCTGACTTCACGACGCCCACCACCACCAGCACCACTGTTGCTGCTCCACCTCGAGATCTTCACGTTGACCTTGGCTTTCGTGGTCTTCTGCATCGACGACCGAGACAACGGCGGCAATGGTTCCGCCTCGGTCAATTCGCACAGCTTATCAATATCCTCGTCGCGGAGGCCGTCGTCCAAGAGCCCGCCGGAGTAGAACGAACGACTCGTCCATTTCGCGCGCACGCGCTGCGCATGGTTCGGGTGGACGTGGAACCACTCCTTGTGGCTCCTCCCACAGCCCGTGCAGGACGGTTCCAGCAGACGGTATTCCTTCAATTCGGCGTGGATCAGCGCCTCGACGCGATGTAAGTGGCAGATCCGCACCCGGGCGGCGGATTCTTCGGTTTTGTGCTCCGCGAGGTCGAAGCGACATTGCCGTTTCCAGTCCGCGAGCCGCTTCTCCACGTTCGTGGAGTAGCCGATCTTGACGTACCCCATGTTCGGCGGGTGCCAGTAGATGTAGATAAAGCCCGTGCGGTGCATGTCGGCCGGAGTCAGCGGCATCGGGAGAATCTGTCGGATCAGTTGCTCAGGGGTGAGGTCCTTGTTCTTCCCGAAGGGTATATATTTCACGAATCGGTGGTTCAGGTGAGTCGACACATGGGCCGTCTTGGAGCGGACCATTACCTGTGCAGGTGCGGCACTCTCAGGTTTCCTCGTGCCAGTAGTGGCTTGACTAGGTCCCGCCCTCGACGCTGCCGTGGCTGCTTTCGGGCGCGCCTGGTGACGGGCCACATGATCCCCCTCGGCGGTGGCCCTGGAGAAGTCAAACGTTGAGCGGCGCGTGCCTTGCACACGGTCGACGTCTCCCTGTGCTGGTGGTTCTGCGGCGTTGCCCCGTGGTGGTGGAAGGCTTACTAAAGCCGAGCTCCAGAGTTTGAACACGGCTTCAACGCTGTTTGCAATGGCTGTGTTTCGGTGTGCGTTAGATGTGACCATCTCCTGCGGCTTCCAGGAGTAGGAGGACAGCTCGTCCAAACGAGCAAGAGATTGCGTCCTATGCCATCGCTTACACATGACACTTTCGATCTGTGGTGCCATGTGCTTCGCGAAGGCTGCAAAATCAAACGAGCGTTGGAGCGATAAGAGGGCCTCGGACAATTCGGCGACAAAATCCCCCTTTGACGTCCGAGTAGTCGAGTTTTGGCATCTTGAGCCTGCTTGCGTCGTTGCAATACATCTCCGGCGATCGGCCTGGAATCTTTCTACTGCTTCGAAAGGCAGGATCTTGGACAGTTTCGCGTTTAATTCCCATGCGACAGAGAGAGTTAGGGGTTTTTTCCTGGACGAGCACGGAGACGGTGTCGTTGTGGAGTTGATAGCAGGGGGTTCGGCCTTGGATGTAGCGACAACCGTCCCCTCGGATGAAACCAAAGCATTCTCTGTCTTGATGCTATTCGCAACAGCAGGGATTCTGCCAGCAGCAGCATGTGTGCCAATGGTACCATCGCAGGACTGGGTTGAGCTCGGCCGTGGGCCTGAGGCTGGTAGAGCTGTTCTTAAAGGCTTCACTTCCTCCGCTTCGGATTTGAGAATAGAGCCAGGAGCAACAGGTGCATTGCCGCTTGGAGGAGATGGTCGTCGCCAAGAAGGGACGGACAGAGACGCGTTCGAAAGCTCGGTTTGGAATAGGCGTCTGCTTGGACTGGTCTCGCTCAACTGTTTCGATAAGATCTGCTTCGGCACATCCGAGTCGAGCTGGGAGAGGTCGAGCACATGGATATCATGTCTCTCGAGATCAGTATTACGAACTGCAAGAGGAGAATGCGGCGAAAGTACACCGTCGTCGAGCTCGGGGTGATGACCCGGGGTCTGAGGATCCTCTGTGGCTGGCGGGGTTTCAACCCATTCCAGCTCGGGTGTAGCTGGCGAGGGCGTGTACGAGGCATGGTCCAAGTTGACGAGTGAAATGAGCGGGTGGGTAGAGGTCTGCTGAGAGGCAGGCCTCCGTCTGTGAGGAGTCAAGATACGTCTGCCGTGCACAGATGTCATGGTGGGCGTGGAAGGGACAACGCAGACCAAGCCAGCTCTGCGGGCAACTGAGCTTTGCCCTCCATTTTGTACTTTTGCAGAAGAGGCTGGTTGAGGTATTATCGCCGTCCACCGAGTACGCCTTGCATGGTTGAGTGCTTTTTAGCGCAGGCATCTTGCAAGGCCCAAGTTCCAGCCATGCCAGGCCCCAGTCGATGCAAAGCCACTTCCACTAGGGAGGAAAGTCACCGACAGCTCGCTGCCGTCTGACCCGACTTGGTCTGCAGGGGCAATGTCTGTTCGAGACCTGCAGGGTGACCGGTGATTGTGTCTGGAAGTCATCCTGTGGAAACTTACTGCGCTTCACGAGGTCAGTGCATTCGGTCAGTGTAAGGCGCATGCAAAGCCCCATATCCAGGCTGTTTTCAGAAAGAATCCCCCTTACAAACCGTGTCCAAGATGCCAGTCAGATAGAATCACCCCTTACAAACCTCGTCCAAGACGCCAATGCCAGGCGGCTTCGACGACGGCAGAGGACCAAAGCGGAGAGGCCTACATGATATGTCCACGCTTATCCCACACACGAGAGCCAGATTCCAGCCATTCACCCAGTCCGTTGGAAGCGAGTCGCGTGGGCTCTTCAAGCTTCGAGGATGTGGCGGGCGCGTCACGCGCAATCGCCGGCCCAGGGCTACTGGACCGACTCGAGGGCAGATGAGGCGAGGGTGAAACTGGGCGTCGAGCCGTCACCGTGTGCCCGGAGTACATACCAGGGTACATCAAGCCACCGAGTATGAAGACCCGACGAAAAATGTAACGCCACCGCTTCGGGAAAGTTCAAGTCTTCCCAGATGAGTATAGCAGATTGGAAGCGCTTGCCAGGCGGCAAAGAGTTTCGGCCCCAGATATGAGACAAACCTCTTCGATCTGGAGACGAGCACGGAGTAGTTCGGGGTAGACAGACTGAGCCTAGCGACGTCAACTCCGGTACACCGGCACAACGAACCGAGCTGGCTGAGATAATTGAGCTGCGTATGGAGGTACACACCACGCGGTACGGAGATACATACGGAGTACTCGTACTTCACACATGGTCAGGCTGATTGATGAGTGAATGAAGAACGAATGAATGAGGCGGCTGTGAGGATGCCACCACCGATGCGGGGCGACTGCGCTGCTTCTCCAACAACAGACTGAATCGACTGTGATTGACTACTGACTGACTGACTGACTGAATGAATTGAAAAATAAATAATAATTCGAAGAAACCCTCAAGACCAGTCCGCGCCCACTGCACAAACGTCGTCGCTCCCTTTCTGCCGAGTGTTCGCTCCCCCGAGTCATGTCAACGCCCGAATATCTGACAGGCAACAAGGAGGCCATCTCTGGGTTCCTCGATAAGTTCGACGTCCGTGCTTGTCACTCTCGATACGGGGGATGAGCGAACCCACGTTGACTTGTTTGGTGCCCGCATAGGTCTTCCTGTTCGATTGCGATGGCGTGCTTTGGTCCGGAGATCATCTCTTCCCGGGCACGGTGCCGACGCTCGAGATGCTGCGCAACCAAGGCAAGCAGGTGGTGTTCGTGACCAACAACTCGACCAAATCGAGGCAAGACTACAGGAAGAAGCTCGAGAGCATGGGCATCCCCGCCACGGTCGAGGAAGTCTTTGGATCATCGTACTCGGCCGCCATCTACATCTCGAGGATACTCCCACAATCACACCCGGAGCTCAAGAAGCGGAACAAGGTCTTTGTCGTGGGCGAGGCGGGGATCGAGACGGAGCTGGACTCCGAAGGCGTACCGCACCTGGGAGGCACAGATCCCGCGTACAGGCGCGACATCACGCCGGAGGACTACAAGCTGTTGGCGGCAGGCGATCCGAAAGCATTAGACCCGGACGTCGGGGTCGTCTTGGTGGGCCTGGATTTCCACTTCAACTATCTCAAGATGTGCTACGCCTTTCACTACATCAAGCGGGGAGCGCTCTTCCTGGCCACCAACATGGATTCGACGCTGCCGTCGGCGGGCGCATTGTTCCCCGGCGCGGGTTCGATATCAGCGCCCCTGATCGAAATGCTGGGTGGTCAGCGGCCCACGGCGTTCGGTAAGCCCAACCAGGCCATGATGGATGCCATTGAGGGTAAGTTCAAGTTCGACCGCAGCAGGGCGTGTATGGTGGGCGATCGCGCAAACACGGATATCAGGTTTGGATTGGAGGGTAAGTTGGGAGGAACGTTAGGCGTCTTGACAGGTGTAGCGACCAAGGAGGATTTTCTGGAAGGCGACGCACGACCCGCGTATTATGTCGACCAGTTGGGCGACCTCGCTGTGGAAAGCTGAGCGATCATTTGGGTTATACGGCATGATGAACTCGCATAGCAAAGACATGTCTGGCCCGTTTAGAGGGCGAAGAAATAGACCTCCGAAACAATAGATGTAGAAATGTTCCCGCCCATTCAATACTCCGGTTGTTCGTGCCGGCGCGCTCCTCTCAAAGCTCACAGTAGAGCTGGCCGACCCGCGTCAATCTCTTCCCGTCTGTCTCGACCGGGCCTCCCTCTTCTGTAAAGTTATTCCCTCTGCCAACCCAGGCCCCGACATCCTTGTTCCCAAAGTAAGCGTACCTCTCGATCCACGCGCAACCGTCAAGCCAAGGAATTGCCTCCCTCATGAAAGCCTCGACCCCCTCTGCGGTGGCCTCGCCGTTGCCCATCGTCGAGCACGCGAACTCGTTGACCCAGACCGGCAGCCTGTACGTGCCGTGCATGTCCTCCAGGAACGCCCGCATGTCTCGGAAGTGCGGCCCATACCAGTGCACGACCAGGAAGTCGATCTCGTCGTCGCCCTGCAGCTGCGCCAGGAACGCGTCCAACCACGGCTTACTCCTGCCCACGTCGCTGCTCATGCCGGGACTTCCGAGCCTCAAGCCCAATTTCCGCTTGACGGGCACGACGACGTCGCGCCACAACCGCACGGCCTCTTCGACACCCAAATTCGCCTGGTCGGGGATCTCGGGCTCATTGAACCCCAGCAGCGCACTGGTCTTGATGCCGCGGTTTTGCACAATGTCCGTCAAGAAGGGATCCAGCTGTTCGCGGGCATTGCTCGCGGTTCGGACACAAGGGACCCATTCAACCCCCGCGGGCACAGCATCGGGGATCCAGCACTCCCAGTTGAAGAGCCACGAGATTCGCCCGGCCGCGGCGTGCGGCCCATACAGCTTAAAGTGCGAGCTGGGTTGGTCCCAGGGCCAACCGAGACCGCGCTTACCGCTCGGAGAACTGATCCCGGATGATGTTACAACTGTGTTGGACGAGAGCGACTTGGGCTTGGGCGGCGGCGGTGGGGGTGGAGGTCCGGCCTTCTTCTGCATCTTGCCAGCACACCCTCTACTCCTGGTGCTCTAAGAGGAATGGGAGGAAAGAACGAGGCTACCACGGAGACCGTACAGTAGAATAGATGGCAGACCTCCGCCAAAAACTATCGTAACAATAAACATGCGTAGATCGGGCTGATTGCTGGATGACGACACTATAAGGGGAGCGACTGCGGCAATCAGTCCAGTCTACTCGCGTTCCTCCATGTCGCTCCTCGGCTGCCGCATCGTGAGTTAGAAGCGACAATCCTTCTGTAATAGACCGACTCCTCAAACGAATGACCTCCCAGAAGGTAGCCGCCGCTCACGTCTTGACGACTAGGCTGTGACCCTAAGCGCGAGGACCCACGAGAAACGTGAAGCCGCTCTACATACGTGGTATGCAAGCGCTTTGCTCTTCGCCCACTGACTTGATTTCACGTCTCAAGCCTATGCCAGGTACGCAGCGAAGTACTGGACGCAACTGGCCGACCTGCGGCGCAGAGACGCAGAGACCGTGGACGAGGTCAACGCAACGCTGCTACCCTTAACTTCGGAGAATTGTAAATACAGTATTAGACTCGGTGATCCGAGTCGTCGCTACCGCTTCAGTAGAACATAGGAGATGTAATGTGTACAAGTCAGACCGCCAGCCCCAAATCGGCCGAATCTGGCCTGTCCATTTGAACCATACATGGAACCGAAAGCCATTATCACACAACGCCTTGCTAAAACCGCTCAGATGCTTCGTGCCCTCAGGAACGCCGTTGCCGATGCCAATGCCGGAGTAGGAGAGGTAACTCAATTCTTGGCGAGTCAAAGATGCCAGCTATGACTCTCTTTCCGCTGTCGTCTTTACCCTCACAGCAGGGTGTCAAGGCTGCTTTGCGGTAGGTGGCGCCGTGCCTTCCCCATCAGTATTCGGCCTCGCCTGGCTTTCGTCCTCTCCGACGACTCTGACTTGAGGATCGGGAATCTGCACATCTAGGCATAGATACCCCGTCCGTCGGAGTGGGATAATCTTGACCCCGTCCCGCGCTCCCACAGTATGATTCCAATCTTCCAGCCACTCTTCCAGTCCAGTCAGCGCCCCCTTGAGGCCCCAAGGTCGGAAATCCTCCCAGAACCAGCCGGTGAGCACGCCCAGGATTCCATCGAACCAATTCCATGCGCTGAACGGGTCGTACGCTTGACATAATGTCTGATTGATATGCTCTATCACATACCGAAACTCGGCCTCCTGCATCAGCGGGTCCAGGATCTCAGGGTAGATGTTCGAGAACGTGGGCGCCAGGTCACCTGCGACCATCCAGTCTCTTCGAACGCGGATTATCCGCGTGGCCGTGTATTCTCTGCTGCTGAGCGGGACGTGCGGATTTACGTGAGGGAAGCACGGGTGGGACGGGCCCCAGGCGAGTTCTTCTGCGACGCCTCCATCGTCTTCACCGTCTTCCGTGCCATCATGGCGGGAGAGACCTCGTTCTGCGTCGGATTGCGAGGCACCGGTGGTGGGTGGGTGCGTAGGGTCTGTGTACGTCCTGCCGCCGAGGAAACCGGCCGAGTGTATCGACGCTGCAGATTGAGCGCGTTTCAGTGATTTGTGGGAAGTGATCCGACGAGGAGGCTGGAGTGGTTGATCGAGAGGGTTGACGCCGTAACTCTGTGCTAGCACAGAGGAGCCTTGTTGCGTTGCTATATTTTCGGCATTGTATTTCGAGGTCGGTATCGTCTGTGTTTTCTCCGGCTGTCTGATGCCATTAGTCGAAGAGTCTTGCTTTTCTAGGTCAACCATCAGTCCAGCGGTGCCTCCCCAAGCAGAGGATTCTGGAGGGTGTGCAGTGCCGCGTTGTTCGAGGTTCGAGGGAAGTGCGATGCTGGTACGGTCGCCGGTGGGAGTCAGATGGGGGCTGTGCTCGACTATGGGATCTGTAGGCGAGTGCTGCCGCGAGCGGCGTTGCTCTGGCAAGGTGAGCAAGGTATTGACTTCGCCGACGCCCCGCAAGTCCGTGTCAAGCTGAGGTATATGCTTTGGTCGTTCTGGCTGTACCCTCACGGGGGTCGGTCGAGGGACGTAATTAATAGGATTGAGCACGCGAGACGTGGCTGAGCGGGTGTCTGGCGGAAGGACCTTTTTCTGGTATTGGCGCGGCAGCAGTGCTTCCAAGAAGGATCTCCGGTATGAGTTGCGCGATTCGGCAGGTGCTGGTGCTCGTGCTGCTGTTGGTGGAGGAGGCAATGGTTTCGAGATGTAAAGGTGGGTATCGGGGGTCAACTCGCGTGCATCTCTGACGGGTTGTTTTTCAAGCGCCCGCGGTGATAAATGGCCGCCGTTGAGGTCTGAGGGATCCGTGGTGGCAATAGTGCAGGCAAGGGCAATGGTCGCCGCGGTGTTGGCGGAAGCTGCCTCGTGGGTGCGGACGTAGACGAAGACGTGGACGTGGACGTGGACGTGGACGTGGATGGGTGGAAAGGGGAGATTGAGATTGGTGCCGGTACCTCGAAGTCTGCCTGCGGTTGGTGGGCGCCTAGACGGTTATGCAGGAACAAGCGCTGCTGCAAACTCTCGGGGTCTGGCTTCTGCTCGTGCTGCTGGCGCATCCTGCCATGCAACGTGAATTCTAGGTAAGCTACAACTGAGCACTCGTCGAGAGGTGTTGAGGGCGAGTTCGAAAACGACCGAATCGTCTTTGCGCACTCTTGCCTTCGCTTCTCTTGGGGCCCAACTCGGGCTGACTCGACTATTCCGTATCCTGTGCCCTATTATATTGGCCTGTGTACCACCATCCGTTCGGAACCAACTTCCCTCACTTCCCTGCCGTTTGGCGAGGTTTGAGCCACTTCGCACCAATTGGCCTTAGCGACCGTCGCCAACCCTTTCTTCTATTGATCTGCTAGACGATACCCATCGCCCCGAAAGTCCCCTACCACCACTCCGAATACGGCCAAAGGCTTGCAACGCCTGTGCATTTCTTCATCTCGAAAGTCGCTAGCCCGGATGTATTACATGGATGCGCAGATCATGGCTGCCCAATCCGTCCCAAAGCAGCTCGCCTGATTCCGGACTGCTGGTACGGGTAACGGGGTGCCCACACTGGGGCGGCTGAGGGTTCTTTAGCTTCCGCAACGGTGATGGGCGCTTTCGGGCATCACTCTTGGAAAAGGGGAACGATGCGCGAAAATGAGTATGCCCGTTGTTGGAAGTTCGCCTGTGCCTTTCTGCATTTCAAATGCCTTAACGCCGTGCCGTGTGTCAAGGACTGTGCCAGGGCCCGGATAGCTGTATTCCGAGGCAATACTGTGGTTTTCTCTAGGCCGCCATGCAGGAGTTTCAAGTCCGTGGAAAGCAGTTAATCTCTTTTACAATTATGTCATAATCATTCTGAGTGTCAGTTCAGGAGAAACCTTCCGCAAGTCCAAGCCTGGGTTTACGGCACTTCGGCAAAGCCTCATCTTCCCCGTCGTTGTTAGCCTCGTCTTACCCGCCAAAGCCACCATTGGTTGCCCTGCAAGCGGGTCAGTCTGCATGAACCATTGCTCCTCGCGGTGCATACAAAATCCGCCATCTGATCTCGCTTCTCGAGCATGAAGGCTCCACAGCAGTTGGTCCAAGGCGCGCGGCCTGAACATCCTGGCTGCTGATCCGCCGTGTTCATGCCCAGACCATGTTCAAGATGCTCGCCGTCCCCACGCCCAGAACTAGGCTCAACCTCGAAGGTGAGCAGAGGCGACTCAGGTCATTCGACGACGACTGGGCAGGAGGAGCCGTTGCGCTAGTAGGAGGCGCGAGCGACGTCGGTGAAGAGCTCTCTGTAGGAGATGTTGGGCTCTCTTGCGTGGCGATTGAGCCTGTCGTTGATCCCAGTATTTCTGAGCTTGCAGGAGTACTTGAAAGTATGGGCGTCGACACGGCCGGTAGGCTTGATTGCGTCGGTATGCCGACTGTGCTGAACAATGGGTTTGACGTTGCTATGGACGCAGTAGCTTCAGGTCCGATGGTCACAGGCACGCTGATGATGGCGCAGAGCTCAGCGACGGCAGAGAATGTGACTGTGTTTAGTAAGTATGGGCGTGAGACAACAAGGTAAATTTTAAAACCTACTCTCCTGCTCAGTGGCATTGCAGGTGGTCATGGTGCAATTGTTCATCCGTTCGATGTACATGTTGTTGGCACAAAGGCATGACCATTCACTATCCATACGCTTAGTTCTGGGCCAGAGTACAAATAGAACCATATTACCTTTGCGAACAACTTGTGCCATTGACATTCGCAATGCAACTAAGCTTCTTGGTACTTAGCCTCGTGATTGCAATCTAAGGAACCTGTCGAAATCTCACCGCGCAGTCACCGACATCCTGGGCCCATGACCGGGAGGCAAACGCGAGCCAGCAGAAGATGGAGACGAGGACGTTGGGAAATGCTTTAGCCATGGCGTACAAGTAGGATCAAATTTAGGGTTGGGAAGGGTAAGATGAAATGGTTGATAAAGTGGTCGTGCGACTGATCAACTTGTAGTTGACTGGAAATCCGAAATTCGCAGACACTTCATCGCAGGCAGGAACAAAGTGCCAGCAAACAGGCAACCACCATTCGTGGCAGGTTCGGCTGGGCAGGTGCTCCCGTGGTCACCAGTGCAGGCAGATTCTCAACTTGGCGATGTTTTAGCGTTTAGACAATAAACAATTGTTTCCACGGCAAATCTGACAGTACAAAGTTTACATGTCCATCACCCATATCGCGGTTCTAACGTTGTGGTTTGATCTCGCGGGTGAGCGCGGCACCGGTGGGTCCCTGGCTACACTTCGGATGAGTCCAACAAATGACGTCAATCTATTTGTTCACTGCGCGTTCTTAGGTTCCATTCCAATGACTGCACCAATTGTCGTCGACAGAATGCTGAACTCGCCTGCAAGATACAGTGCTACAATCAAATGTAAAACGTGCTGCGCGATAGAAAGTCAAATGTCGCTAATAGCCGTACATCTTCTGGGCAAGCCGCTCGCGATATTCATTGCCAGCCAAATCGTCTCCATCATATGCTATAGGTATGCCGGCTAGAAGGGTATAATTTACTTCCCCTTCCTTGACCATGGACAGCGTACATGCGTCTACTATATAAGGGAGCATATTTCCACCCAACCCCCCGAAAACCAGCGTTTGCTGCCATGGTGCTCGCGGCGTAAGATAAAATGCGCCACGAGGTATGTACATTGAGACATCAAGACGTTGCATGGAAAAGCCTCCCAGGAACCCGCCCACGAGCAGGATGGACCAGAGACACGGCACCCGACCCCTCCAGCCATTATATCGTGAAACCCCTTCCGCACCATGGCCGTGCCAGCGATTCACTAAACATGGAACCATGGGAGGGAGAGAGGCACGGGTGGTAATTGGTATCCACGCTTTCGCCTTGCGCCTCGCGACCAACGAAGTCTGATACTACCACATACCGGAGACGAGCCTCCTAACGAGCAAATCATCGCGCAATTCAGGTGGACTTCACGACCGAATGACTGCAAAATGTGTGTTATGTACCACTATGTACGAAGACCGTGCCGGAATCGTCATTTTATAGCTCCTGAATTGAGTCCCGTGTACGGAGTAAGTACCCATACATGGGCAGCCTGTTGCGTCTCGAACACTTTGTGGCAGTGTTACAGTACCCTGGCCAGGATGCTTCTTTCTGTCATCAGAGCACCGACGAAGGGAAACGGCGAGAACTATCATCCCCACTTGTTGCACGGAGATCATGCCCGATCAGTCAGGTCAGGACATCGGGCTCGAGGGGAACTCCAGATTTTTTGGGACAAGTTATGGAGTACAACAATACAGTGAGCAGGGAAGGAAATGAGAAAGACCTCTCATGTTTCATGCAACTTTTTCACTTTTTTCCGTTGCGAAAATCGCGCTACCGTGATACAGGACAGGGTAGGGTAGATGGAGGGCATATCACCCAGGGCTAATAGCAATACATTTTTGGATGAAACTGGGAGATATGTAGCTAGATAGGTTGTCTGTCCAGTGATAAACCGCCATTGTTCGTCAACTTCATGCCACAGCTCATCCCAGTATACTCATGTGGTGGAGCCGTACCCGTTCCCATGCAAAAGGTATCATCAATCAAAGCGCTCAAAGCAAAACTCGTACAAGATCCGTGGTCGATCGTGGACCTCGGTTACAAGGCGACGATGGTGGCAAGAATGGCTGCCACGAGCGCGCCGCAAGCGCCAAGACCGCGTAGAGAAGGTGCCGCGCTGTCCGGGTCGGCGCCGGTCGTGGCAGCAGCAAGGGCTTGAATACCAAAGGTCGTGCCGGTGATGACTTGAGTTGAGCCGTCGGTCGTGACAGTGGTCGTGATGGTGGCAGGGATGGGAGTGTTGGTGGTCGTGCTGCAGCCAGACCAGGTACCGGTCCACGAGGAGAAGGGACCCCACCCGGCGGTCCAGGTGGTCCACGAGTCGCAGTCAACGTCGCTGGCTTTGGTGCCCCAAGGACCCCATCCACCACCAGGACCGCCAGGGAAACCGCCAGGACCGCCGCCGCGACCACCCCAGGCGCCTGGGCCGCCCCACGGGCCTTGGCCACCCCAGCCGCTAGGGGCAGAGGGCAGACCGGTAGAGCAGGCGGAGATCCAGCTGGACCATTGATCCGAGTTCCAGCCGCCGCCGGGCCCAAAGCCTGGGCCGGCGGTGATCTGAGAAGGCCAGGCCGAGCCACCAGAGGTAGCGCTGAAGGTGGCTTCTTGCGAGTGGGTGACCGGGCTGCCAGCGTTGGCGCAAAGCTGTGCAACAGCACCGTAGATGGCTGTCGGAAGTGTTAGCTCTCTGGTCTTTCCCTGCCATCCCGAGGCACTATTGTAACTCACCCTCTTGATCGGTGGTGTTGGTGCAAGATGTGGCGACGCAGGTGTTCAGTTGGGAAATGGCGGTCTGGTTGGAGCAGAGGCAGTCCCAGCCGGTGGACGACGAGCACGAGGAGCCATCCCAGCTTCCCATGCAGTCAGACCACGTGCACGACGGAAGCCAGGCCAGGGCGGATGTGGTAAAGAAGGCGGCTGCCAGGGGCACGGCCGCTGCGAAGGACTTCATACTGGCGGTGGCCTAATGTACGAATTGGATGTCTCTTTCGTCGAAGGGGCGATACCGATTAAAACGGTCTGATGTCGGTCGTGGAGGTAGTGAGTCTTGGGTCGAGTCGCTGAACGAAGTGCAAGGACAGGACGAGGAGGCAAGGGCGGGCAAGATATAGAAATCCTTTGTCGGCCCCAGGATCAGGCAGGACGTGCGGTCGTTTGTCACCGCAGTCGGACTCTGGGAGACTGGCGGGCGCAGGCTGGGGGTGGAGTGCACAGCCTTACCGCATGGTTAGAGGCCATTGCTTGTGAGTCCGAGATTAGCATCGGCTAGCACCAGATTCGGTTGCGAATGGCTGGATTAACGAGCAGCCTAAACCCGTCGTGGTTAGCATCTGTTTAGCTCGAGGGTCGGAGGTCGGAGGGACGACGCGTCATGCAAGCCACAAGGGGAATTTCTACGGCAGATTTACCAAGCGTCAACGCAAAAGATTCGTTTGGCAAGGCACAAAAGCATTGGGTTAGTCCTATCACAGTTTAGTGCGGGGCCTTCTAGGTGCTTTCTCAGGCCCCGAAAGGAGTGGCTGGGCTCGCCTGATCGATTGGCTTTGTCACTCCGACGGGCGAACCTGACCCCAATCGGGGCTAACTTTCCTCAAGGGCCGGCCTTACATCCGTCCTGATTCGTGGCTATTTTTGCGGACCTGGGGAAACCGTAAAGTGCGGTCCTGAAAATCTGCGCTTCAGCCTCAGGTCCTCGTGTCAACGAGCTTGCGGGTTTTACTGTTCCTCAAATGCCTGACTGACGGCCGCACCATGCTCATAGGACTACTCCGTGCCATCGACTTATTTCTCGTAATTCTGGCTGTTGGCCTTGCTTCAGCCTCAGCTCTTGTTAGAGATTTCCGTTGCACAGCTCACGGGCGAATGCGGGCAACAGCCATCTGCGTGTCCTACACACTTCCCTCGGACTTTCTCCAGTTTTTTTCCTCGTCAGATGATTCATAGGGCACCAACGGTATGGAGCTGATTGTCGTCAATCGTCACGGAGTCACCAGAAGGATTGTTGGCGATGACGTGGATGCTCGGATAGAGAGAGATGAGCTCTGCTTCAGACCGGTGGTTCGGATGCTAAGGCCCGACTCCCGAGAGCCGAACCCAGTACCACAGGACTGTGTACTCGTACGAGTACGAGGAGGGGTGGTGACAGCGGCGGAGCTCATTCGCAGATTGGCGGATCTAGCAGACTGGGCACCTTTCGCCAAGCCGTCACACTCATCACCCCTTCATCTCGCCGCGTGTCATCGTCCGCTCCATCCACCAAGACACTCCGGAGGGACATTCTCCTGATCGTCGGGCCTCAGCGAACGGCCCTTTTCGGTAATCGCCAATTCTTTCACGTCGGCACTTCGAACAATTCGGGCTTCATATTGATCCTGCACAATTTCGCGAGACAGCCGCTCAACTGCAGGAAAGATTGCACCCCCTCGAGAATGCGCATATGAGTGAAGCCAATTTCTTTAATGAACTCGAGTTTCGAATGCTCCGAAAGCGTCGGTATCGTCTTGGTCACCCGAAACATAGTGCTGATGATGTCGTGTGAGGAGTACCCAAGATCCCTAGTAGGTTTGCACCGGACCGATTAGTGACGCGTCCCACATTTTCGGACACTTCCCAGCCCGTGATGAATGCGGCTTACCATAACTCCTTGAGCGAGTCAACAGCGCTGTCGATCTTCCCTTCCCAGCATGCCTTGATCATCGCTTGAACTTTGACGGGGTGCGGACTGTCGACAACTCGGAATACGTTGTCTCCGCTGACGAATCCGAATCCTGCCCACGTACTCTGCAGGTTATTGATGGCTTGCCGCATGTCGCCCTCGGCACTGAACACGAGAGCGGCGAGGCCGTCTTCGCTGTGTTCGACCTTCTCTGCCTCGATTATCTGCATCAAGCGTTGCACGACTTGCGCGTCCGTCAGGCGTGAATATCGCAGGATGGCGCATCTCGATTGCAGAGGTTCGATAATCTTATTGGATTGATTACAGGCAAAGGCGAAGCGAGTCGTGTTCGAATAAATCTCCATGGTCCTTCGCAGAGCTTGTTGCGCTCCGGCAGTCATGCTTGATGCCCTCGTTAGTTTGCGCACGCACGGAGTGGTCGCCTGCCCGCATACCTGTCTGCTTCATCCAAGATCACCAGTTTGTGTCGGCCCGGCGGCAGCGTCACCTTCTTCTGGGCAAATCCTTTGATCCTGTTCCGCACAACGTCGATACCTCTTTCGTCGCTAGCATTCAACTCGAGGACAGCCTCCTTGTATGCATCACCGAGTAGAGTACGCGCAAGGCATAGGATCGAAGTCGTCTTGCCAATACCCGGCATTCCAGAGATAATGACATGAGGCATGTTCCCATCTTTAGCGATGATTTTGAGTCGTTCGATTGTCTCTGAGTTGCCCACGACATCATCGAGGTAGACAGGCCTGTATTTCTCTACCCTAGACATGGATTAGTGGCGGGCACCTGCTTTGGGGTGGGGTGAACAACCATGGCAGTTCGTAGTCGGGCGCTGGACCGTTGGCATTCGCATGGAGAGCCTTTCTTGCCCCAGCAGAGGATGATTCGGGCTGGCCTGACATTGTCCAGGCCGTTGCAGATGGATTGGTAGAAGGCAGCAATCGATGGACAGGAATTCTTCGGTGGGCTCAATTGCAAAGCGCAGGCGCGTCCGACGCGTCAAGATGGAATATTGATTTTACGGTGGACCACACTTGGCAGGATACTCCACCCTATTCAGGCACATTACTCCGTACTAGGCACCTAATTACTCAATAGCAACAGCTTGGGCTCGAAGTCTATCACGCAGACTCCTTCCGCAATTCCCCATGTAGGGGGCAAAGGCCTCGGCGGAAGCATAAACGGTGCGTCCAGTTCCTACCATATCGGATCCAAGTGATGGTCGATACCCGTCTCTTGCTCGGGTTCTCCACGCTCAAGGTAAAGAAGCTGCTGGCGAGTTCGCGCTCACTTCGGAGAACAACTGCCGAAGCGAGGAAACGTCATTAAAAATCAGGTCAGAGTTTGGTCTCGAGTATGATTTCTCTCTCCAAGAGTGTCTGCAGGCGATATACAACGACTCCTGCGCCAGTAGTAAACTGCATCAGTTATATCAGACGTTGAGCGTGTCTATCATCAACAGCAATGCTTGTACTCACCGGCACAAGCGGGAATCTGGGCTCCCGCGTCCTCGACACCCTTTTGCGCCAAAAGCTCATCCCACCATCCGAGTTGATCATCTCGACAAGCAATCCCAAGAAAGTCTCAGCTGCTGCCAAGGAAGCCGGCATTGAGATACGCGAGGGCGATTTCACATCTCCAGACTCGCTGTCGTCCTCGTTCAAGGGAGCAGATGCTCTTTTCTTGGTCTCATACCCCTCACCGAGCGTCGACAGATGGCTTCATCACAAAGCCGCCATCGACGCTGCCAAAGCGGCTGGAGTGAAGACCATCATCTACTCGAGTCTGATGTTCGGCGGAAAGACAGGCATGGACAGCATAGCCGGTGTCCAACAGGCGCACATCAAGACCGTCGAGTATCTCACCAAAACGGGGCTGCAGTATGTGATTGTGAGAGAGGGGATTTACGCGGAAAGCTGGTGGCTGTACGCGGGCTTCCAACCACGGACGTTTAAGAAAGGCGACACCAGTGACATCACGTTTGTCATTCCCAACGACGGTCCTGTGTCGTGGGTCACCTGGGACGACCTAGGGGAAGCCACTGCCAAGATCCTGCAGAACTACGAGAGATATCTTGGCCAAACCCTGAATCTCACAGGGCCCAGAGCCACCAGCATCAGTGATGTCGCAAAGATAGTGGAGAAACATACTGGTCGTACGGTCAAGGTCAACATCGTAGGCAGACAGGAGGCTGAACGATATCACAAGGAGAACAAGAGTGTTCCGGAAAGCAACTTCTGGGTCATCGAGAGCTGGGCGGGTTGGCATGATGGAATTGCGAATGGAGAGACGGCAACAGTTGACCCCTTGATCGAAGCCCTTCTGGGAAGAGCGCCTCGAGGGATCGAGGAGATAGCTGACCGTCTATTCACTCCTGAATGAGAGTTGTCTGGTTGCAGGAGTGGTAGCGCTGGAGTTTAGAGGACGAGGCTTCAGTACAGGATACTTAGGCGGAAATACAAGCAGATAAGTTGCCCTATCCTCGAGGAGATAGAGCCCAGATGATACAAAGTCCACGCCGGTCACTGAAGCCGAGTCATATGCGCCTTTTCCCCACCCATCGTTGCCCCAGTGCAGGTTGACTTGTCGCTCTTGCTGCTCACTTTACCCAGTATGGCTGTAGCCCGTGTCTCGGAGGGAGGCGTCCTGGGTGATGGGTCCATGATATTGACGAATGGCCAACCGACAGGCAGAGCAATAGAGTAACAAGGATGCGTGTGCTGCGGAACAAGGCTGACTGACCTTGTTCCTCTTCTTCCACCACTCCCTCTCCTTAGAAGGAGATTGACTCAGCGCCGCCCATACGGTCACGCACCCACCACGCCTCCTCCGTCATGGGCAAAGATCCCACAGCCTTGCGCCTTGCAGAACTAGTGAAGTCAAATCCTTGCCCTGGCCGTACACAGGACAGGACGGCTTTCACATGCACAGCAGCTATTGGATGCACTGCCACACCGTTCAGGTACATACCCCCAGTACAGCACTGTGGTACTCGTACTCGTACTGCTCATGTCCCAGCTCAGGTACCCGTTGCCCCTCCGGATGTGACCGGCTGACTGGGGACCGCCCACGCCCGCGCGACCAGCAAGCTTTTCGCATGCTGAGACAAATCTTGACGGTCTTTTCCGAGTCAGTGCCCCGGTTGCGAAACTGCTGTCCTAACACGTCGGTGTGGGAAGCCAGTGTTATTGGGCGGTTCGCGTACATGCACGAAAGAGGCATTTCTGATATGCAACCACCCAGTATGCCTTGCGGAGGGGCGTCGTAATCCTCTCTCCCTTCCACGCCCTTTGCGCGCCTCTGATGGTCTCCACCGCCCCGTTGCTTGCCACGGGTGCGAGAACGTGCCGAACGGTGCATTGGGACTTGTACACAGTCACATTACGGAGTACAGTATCTGTGGGCACACTACCGCGTCGTGTGTACTCGTACGCTGTCAAGTCTGTGCTTATGTATATTGCGCCCGCGCCCCTTCCCTCTCATGTGAGTATTTTGCTCTGCCCTTTTGAAGCATTCGTCGTCTGCGCACACCGATTCACTGTCCCTGTGGTGGAAGTGTCCACATACCCCGGGCGTCGAGCATTTCTACGTACCGTGAACTCTACTGCTGCCGTTACCGTCACTATAACTGTGTTGTCCTGTCAGACAGACACAGACACAGACACAGACACTCAGTCTATCAGTCAGTCCCTCCGTCCGTCCGTCACGATGGGCCTCTCGGACGGCCTCGTCGTCTTCCTCTGCATCCTCGTTGCGGGGATCGTGGTCGCCGGCGCCGCGGCGATGCATCGAGTCTACGCGAGCCGCGAATTCACCGCCGAACTGCCGCAGCCCTCGGACGACCAAGCGCAGTATATGCGGAGCGTGCGTGCGAGGAAGTGGCCTCTTTTCCATTATGAGGCGCGTCAAGTCGCGCCGTCGACGAACACCTCTGCCGTGTGAATGACGATGAGAGTCTCAAGCCAGAAGCGTGGAGGCCGAACATCCGCAAGTCGACTTCCGACGTCTGCTTACTACGGAAGCGGACATCTAGGATCGTTAGTCGTACTGCGAGGGCGACGGTTTGGATTGATGCTGGAACAAGCTACCCGTCCGAGGCTCCGGCAGGAGTATTTATGGATGGCAGAATCGTGTCGTAAAGGACCATTTTCGTTCAAGAACCTGCCGCACAGGGTAGGCACACGACGCCCATGTCATCCTGATCTACCGACGGTATGAGGAAATACAGCCACCGGTTTCTGATTATGGAGGATTGGCTTGTCTCCCGTCCCAAAGCAAGGGAGTGAATACTTTTTCACCACGAAGCAAGAGGAGGCATTTCTATCGCAGCAAGAAGAAGGCATTTCTATCGCAGCAAGATAACTGAGGTCCCTCCCACCCCAGTGCAAGATGTGGAAGCCAGCGACCACGAGTGCGAATGCGAGTAATAGAACCAGCATGCCATGGCTCGGTCCTACCAATTTGACGCAATGCAGCACAGTACGGGACAACACAAACGCAACACATTGAGCGAAACAACATTTACGTCCTCAACGGCAGGAAGGATACGCGGGATGCAAAAGAAATCCATCTTCCGCCATCTCATCACACATTGACAATTGGCCACGCCTACCGGGCATACCACCTCACGACGCTCATCCCGGACCATCCCTTTCAATATCTGTACAGCCCGTCAAAAAGAATCTGTACAGCCCGTCAAAAAGAATCTGTTAAAGCTGTGTGGTGTGCTGCTTTGGTGCGCCGCGCCCGTGTTGGCGGGGTACTCGTACTCGTACCGAGGACAGCTACAGATCAGGAACAGAGTACTCCGTACTATAGTACAGATTCCAGCGCTGCAAACATTACAGGTCAAGGCCCATCAAGTCCCTGTTTGCCCATTCTCACTGTTGGCTAAGGGAAGGGGACAGGACGGGGGACGGCGGGCGAGGATGGTCACTCAAAGTTGCACTGTTCGCTCTGCTTGCTTGCTACGGTACTCGCTCTGCTTGCTTGCTACGGTACTCGCACTGCTTGCTTGCTCCTTGCACTGCTTACCACGGTACGCGCACTGCTCGTTCCACGCACATGCTGTCCCGGCACGGCCGTGTACGTCAGGGAACCACGATGCCATAAGTGATGCCTCTTGCTCGATTGATACGTAGACTTTACTGGTCGCATCGAAATGGAAGTCAACCTGGTCGGGTCCTCAGAGTCAGTGAGTCAGTCAGTGCGTGAGCGCCCGCTACGTGGGGGGGATTCCATGCCAGCGAGACCCGGGTCGAGGTTTACAGGGGCTCGCTGATTCGGGGGTATATTATTAGATGTCCTGGTTGATCCTGCAAGAAAAACAAGCACAGTCGTCTGCTTGCTTGATCAGGGGGGGAAATATGCAGCTAGTGTGTAGACATCTGGACCTGGGAATCCCGCTGTGTTACTCTCATCTACCCTATGTCGCGCACTCGACAATACTAAATACCCTCACCCCGTCCGTTCACAAGGTATCGAAGTAATAAGTCCCGTCCATCGTGTGTGATTGTCCGCCTTGCTGGGTCCATTCCATTGCGTGCGCGTCGCTCCATATGTTTCCCTGCCCCTGTGGGATGAACCACGGTTCCTCACGCACTTCCGCCATGGGTACTGCTGCTCCAGCATTGCCGACTCCAGCAGCAGAGTTTCCGTCCTCTTCGAAAATCATTCCCGCAGTGGCCTCTTTGGTTGGCAGGCCGCTTCCATCCTCCCAAATCGTTTCATGTTCAACGACACGATGGCTTTCATCGTCATTTCCAATGTCATCCTCATCTTCGATAGTAAGAACGTTCTCTTGTCCTCGAGGGTAAAAACGTGCCTCCTCATCGCCCGAGACGTGCACTTCCATTGTCTGCTCTTCAAGGATCATTCCAAGCCCCTCTGCAGCAATGGCAGCCATGCAATCTCCAGCTCCATGCGATCGCAGCCTCATGGTCAGTAGTTTCGTCAACGAATCACCTGCTGCTCCCAACCGACCTTGTCGCAATTCCACAATAGCCTGCGCCAGGAGGAACCTTGAATGTAGTTCGTCCCGCCAGCCGGAAGGCCCGCCGTGGTGCAGGGTCGAAGGCCTTCATCGATCAGGTTCTGGGCTGCTTCAAAGTTTCCGAGCTCCGTATGACACTGGACGAGATCGATCTTGGCCTGCGGTAGGAATAAGAGATTGTCCTCGGTCGTACCCATACTGTATTTCCACAACCTAATCTGAAAGAGGTCTTTGGCACTCTGGAGAGCGGCGTGCCAATCTGCAAGAGCGACATTAGCTTCCGCCATGACAGAACGCAGGTGACAGGTCTCGCTGTGCTGCTCCCCAAAATGACGGGCTAGGATGCCATTCCCCGCCATCAAGAGTCGGTGTGACAATTCGATTGAAGCGCTGAATGATGGACTGGCTGCCTGTAGGGCCATGAGCAGGGAACGGCCTTGAACATGCAACTTGGCCGTTACCCTCATGATGGCGCGACTGAGCGCTGTTCCCCAATTTGGAACGTTTCCTTGTCCCATTTTGCTGCATTGGACCACCATAATTAGCAACGTCGCCATTAAAGGCAGACGCTGAATCTTGGCAAGTTTTGGGCATGGTCTCGATCATATCAAGCCGAGCAGATTCAATGGTGACCTGTGAACGGCGGTACTCCATGGCTGCTAGAAGGTTCACAAGCTTCTCCCTAAACTCGCTCAGTGTGGTAATTTGCTCTCGACTGGTGCCGAGATTCTCGTCACGAGGGAAGGTTTCGGCATAGCTCTGGAATACACTCTGGCGTAATGGAGTGCCTGGTCTTGCAGCCTGAGGGAGCCAGGGGAATTGAGTAGGCGAATACTGGTTGGTGGAGTGGTTACGAGCCACCGCGTGCTGTTCTTCTGGGTGAGATCAGGGTTCGAACATTCCACGAAAGTGGACCTGACGGTTTCTTCAACAGCATGCTTCGTTTCGCCCCCAGAAGCATCCTCGTCAGGACATGGGCTTGGAGTGCGATACGTAACGCCACCAGGCGTGTCGGGGACTGGAGAGAAATCCGCTGGATTAGGCCGCCTGCGCTTCCAATACTGTCCAACATCATGTCGACTGCGTTTCTGACCGCGAATCGAGAAGACTGTGTCCTTCCCCTGCCGTTCTTGGAGCTTTTGAAAGGCAAATACCATGTCAGATTGCTGGGAAACGACTAGTCAGTCTTATGGGTATACGATGCACAGGTAGCACTTACCTTGTTCCGCTTGTCAAGTCCCCATTTTCTGATATATGTCTTGTAGTGGCATGCCCTCAGATCCAGGTCAGTCGCGTAAGGCTGGGCGCAGATCGGGTATACACCTACTCAGCTCGAAATCCCTGTGCCTTCATGATATCCACGATGTCGGAAAGCTTGCGGCCTTCATCACGATAGAGCGCCGTAAAGGTGGGCCGGATCTCCTCCTCCCATTCCTTTCGAGTATGGGGATGATTTCTTTTGCGCGGTTCCATTGCTGCTGCCCTTTCTCATGGGAGTACTCACAGGTGTCAGAGTCAGAAGGCTTTGGGAAGGGGAGGCCTCAAGTTCTAAGACGGCGGCTTCGCTGTGAGCAAGACCCTACAAAGGGTCGATCGGGTACCCATGACGGCGGGTCACAAAAGTTGTTGTATGTAGCGAGGTGACCGAGTCCTCAGCCTCAGCTACTGTCGACAAAGGTTGTTACGGAGGTCGCCACCGCTGACGCTAATGCATGGCTGCATACGAGCGACCAGGGTTCGTAGGTGCATGCATGGCAATTACACAATATGAGTGGCCTGCTCTCCGCCAATGCTGTAGTTGGAATGCACAGCCATGCCATGTAGGGGATCGAATACGCCCGGCAGCAAAACTCTCGGTATCGACTGCGGCTTGTCTGCCAGGATATTTCGAAGCAAGGAGATGAGGCAAGCACGCAACGACCGTTCTGTGGGAATGGGTCTTCGCTTCCATCTTTTGGCCGAAAGACGCTGCCTTGGATTTATCCAGTCTCCTCAGACCCGGCACTTGCTCAGTAGGGGCATCAATCAGGCTACTCGGTCGGAAGAGCCCTTTCCGTCATGCAGAGAGCTGGTCGACAGGGCTGTTCTTCCCTGCTGACCTAGAAACAGGCAAACTGCACCTGCATACCTCGTCCACACTCCACGACGGTGACAAAGGACGCCTGAACCGAAGAGAACGTGCGTCTTCGATGTCTGCGCCCGCAGAGGCACTAGTACCGAGGCTCTGCTGAGCACTTCCTCGTCCTGACTCTCGAACGGCTCGTAGCTCATGTCGAGTGTCTCCTCATGCAGAAGGAGCTCGACTGGCATACAGACCGAATGTCCGGCCAAGTAGACCGTGCTCCTAGGCCCTCAGTAGATGCAGTGTCCTGTCCTTGCTTCCTCACCCTCAAGCTCAACCGCCTCGTCCTGGTGTCTGCGCCTTGTCCTCCTCCTTGTGCCTACGCTCGACCATCTCCCGCAGCTCTCTCTCCTCCTCCCAGGCCCTCTCACTCCTTGCCAACGCTCTCCTTCTCCGCCTCACTCCTTCATTGAACTCTCCGACGGCCCTCTCCGCGAAGATACATCCTCCTAGCGTCATGGCAGATATCTGGATGAAGACCTTGAATTGTATGGTAAGGCCGCGGTAGAGGGGCGTGTACCGGTTAAGCAGAAAGTGGCTGGCGAAGGAGATGATGCCGAAGCGTAACGCGCCCTGGGCAAAGCCAGAGGCTGCAATGGGAGTGAGGGCTTGGGGCGGGGCGATATCCGTTATGTGCGAGGGGGGCGGCATTGTGGTGGATGGGTGTTACAGTTCACGCGGAGCTGGAAGGAAATTCGCTTGAGTGCAGGCCGGATAGGTAAATGACAGCTTGTTCAATGTTCGACAGTGCATGAGGCCCAAAGAGGTACCTAGGTGTATGTAGTCAATCAGCTCCGACTACCTCGTCGTGATCGTTGCTGAAGCTCATCTCCATGTCACGTTCTTCACGGGATCATGACGTCGACGTCGCGGGCGTCAAGAGTCGAGACCGGCAAAACTTCGGGTCGAAATTATGGAAAAGTTCACCGACGAGCCAACCTCGGCCGCGTCGAGTCCTGACTCTCAGTCACCCACTGTCACTTTTGACAGTTGCCTCATCCCTAATCTAAAGGCACCGAGCCGGTTCTAAACATGGCGCCAATGAAAACGGCTACCAAGAAGAACCCCAAAGCCCGCAAATCCGCCACGGCAGGCCCCTCAAAATCCAAGTCCAAGGTCGCGAAACGGCCACCGCCAAAACAAATCAAGACCAAACCTGGCGTGCACTCGGGCGCCGCCTCCTCGTCGGGCAAGCCCTCCAAGCGCAAAGAAAAGACTTACTCGGCCAAAGATCTCGACCTCCCCGCCCTGAACATGATCACCCCCGTTACCGCACCGGAGAATCCGACGAATCTAGCCCGTCGCGGCGGGACTGGCAAGAAGAAGAACAAAATCTTCATCGACGACGAGGAATCGATGAGGACGATCTTGGCAATGGTGACGGCCGAGAAAGAGGGGCAGATTGAGAGCAAACTGGCGAGGGCACGGCAGTTGGAGGAGGTCCGAGAGGCCAGACGGGCTGAGATGGAGAGGCGGAAGGAGGGCAAGAAAGAAGAATTAGAGGGAGTCAAGAAAGAGTTAAAGAAGGGCAAGAAGCGGAGAGACAGGAACGCTGGTGACGCTGAAGGAGTTAAAATGGAGAAAGAGGGAATAAAGAACAAGAAGAGGGTTTCGTTCGCGTGAGGAATGGACGGTGATGGGATCATATCTATGTTCACTCGTCTACGCACTCTATGCTTCTATGAGTGTCTATCGATTGTGCGGTCGTCACTTCCACACTCTGCACGGGAAGTCATAATCCTGGGATGTGCATCTTCCGCCGCATGGGCTCAAAGACGGGTTTCAAAGGCTCTCGCTCTGCGCGGGATATTTGACCCTCGAGTTGAGCGCCGCTGACGTCTGTCTTGGAGATGGAGTCCAATTCGATGTCGTTGGCCATGGCCTGGAACAAAGCTGTCGACTGAAGAAGGATCAGCTGAAGGGGGACAGGCCACACTTTAGGCGGGAAACACGTACAGCTCTCTCAAACCACCGTCTGCCACCGAGCTCGAACCAACTCAAATGACCACCACCCGGGGTCGTACAAAGCACGCCGTACGGAGTCTGCTTGACTTCTTCTCGCGGCAGTGCTTCGCTCGCGGTTACCTGCCCTCCATCAGCTTCGAAGCATCGGGGGAAAGGCGAAAGGGTGGCTTACCGGGTCGTCTTCAGCGTGAATGGCCAGAAATGGTATTCTGATGGCCATCACAGAATCCACCGAAGAAGCATCACGGTAATATGCTCCTTCCGTGGGATACCCCCAGGTCGGACCTTGGACGTAACGGTCGAATTCGTGGAGGTACTTAATCCTCCGCACGGCGTCAACGTTGATCTTGGGGTTCTTCGAGATTTGGTCGACGTGCTGCTCGAAAAGTTTCTTCATGCTCTTGCCCATACTGCCAGAGTAGGCGTTGCGGTTAAACCAGGTCCTCTGGAGGGCTAGGTTACCGGCCATAAGATCCCAAGGGTTGGAGAGGATGATGGCCGCTTTCAAGGGGCACTCACTACCCTCTTCTGCTAGGTACTGAGATCATCAGCAGGCGCACGGGGAGGGATAGCATAGAATGATGTGCCTACGTTCGTCATGATGTTGGCACCGAGACTGAAGCCCATGCCAAACAGTGGACGGTTGGGGAATGTCTTCCTAAGCCACTGGACTACCTGCTTCACGTCCCAAGTGGCCCGTGCATTGTACAGCACACTGGTGGTGATTTTCGTCCCAGAGCAGCCTCGCGAGATCACCACACATGCCTCCCACCCACCATCTCCTGCTAGAGGAGCAAGCGCATGGCGGAGGTAGAGCTCATGCGACCCTCCACTTAAACCATGTAGCATCACTACCATTGGCTTACTATCCAACGAACCAATATCTTGAAACTCCTGCTCAGTGAAATAGCTAGTGCGTGGTGGCAGACCGGGGTCGTGCTTGTCGTTGGGCGCAGTGACGAAATCAACAGAGAATTGACCTGTATACACAGGATCTTCGTTCTCAAAGATCCGGCGCTTGTAGTATACCGGGACGGACTGTTTCGTCAAAGTCGTCCAAATCGTCTGCAAGTGGCCGTTGAACAGAAACGGATTGAGTCGGCATGGTGGGATGAGTGTTTTGCATAAATCCGCAAATGAGGTGGCCTTGCCGTCTTTCGTCTTCAGGACTAGTGATTTCGGAGAATGCCAGTATCGTGGTTTGACCATTCTGAGCGCGTGGCTTGGAACGAGGGCAACAGCAGCCAGGACCGTGGCGCCAACGAATGTGGTAAGGAATGGATGGTCCTGCGCTTGATGGACAAATGTTTGGAGAAAGTCCATGATGCTTCTGCCGCAAACTTGGCCGTCCTACGCCATCCTCATGGTATCGATAAACAGCTAGTAAGAGGAGAAGCTATCGATCTAAAGGACTTCTCAATTCGGTTTCCTGTGGATGACACGCGCGTTAACATGCATTCGCTACTGTACCTCCCCAAGTATGCAGCAACCTAGGCAACCTGTCGTGACAGTCAACTGTGTAAGGGGACTCGTATGACGACAAATCGGGCTAGGCTTTCTTGGCAATACTAGTGCAGCCCTAACCGCGGAGAGGGCCGAACGAGCGTGATGTGATATTGCTTTCAAACACCGCTGTCAAAAGGGGTGCATGCGAAGGTAGATGGCATGTGCTGGGTCGAACGAGCTGGAGAGTTACGGGTAGGGAGCAGATGACGTGCAAACACACCTGGCAACTGTGTGAGGTCCTGTGAGGCTTGGACGCGTGCTGGGCAGTGAGAGAATAAAGAGAGCGTCAAGGAAACAAGGCGCCTCAGCTTGCAATTCCACCTCCAACATGGATCACAACTACCCTTACAACAATGCCAATTGGAATGGCGGCTTCACGTACCAATCCAACGGTAACTACTCTCAACCTGGATACGCAGTCAATCCGTATCCGCAGGAGCCTTCCAATCCCAACTCCCAGCCTTACCATCCATCATCGTATCCGCAGTCTGTCCAGCAAAACTATCCTCAGTATTACAATAATCAAGCACAGCATTATCAGTTCCAGTTCCAGCAGCCTTCACACCATTTCTATCAGAGTCCTCCCCAACCCCAGCCAATACTGCCTCCAGTGCTCCCCCAGTCCGACAAAGAAGTCATCGTGCCTCGTAATCCCCTTCACTCTGCCCCACCGAAGCAGCAGTTTCAACAGCCTCAACAACCTCAGCAGCCTCAACAGTCTCAACAGCTTCGGGCTAGCTATCAAGCCCAGTATCAGGCACAAGGGGAAGTGCCCTCTTCGCCGTACCAGTGGACTCCGCAACAAAAGCAGCAACAGCAGCAGCAGCAGCAGCAATATCACCATGTATCACAATCACCTCAAGATCACATGAGACAAGCCGAGCAGCCGCGAAGGGTGATTGAAGTACCCAAACCTACCATACTGCAGGACAAGTTAGTCAATCGCAGCTCGCACCAGACCTCCACCTCTGCCACGGCCACTCCTCAGAGATCTCCTCAACAGAGCCGCAACGGCGCCTTTCAATCAGTCGAGGTCAAAGTCAAGAGCCCTCAGATAGCATCAAGACAACCCCCTCCTGTCCCGGCCATGGAGTTCGACGAACCCGAACCAGATTATCCCACTCTCCTTTGTGTCCTTGCTGACGACTACCTCGATGAAGCCCGCAAACAGCCTGCTCTAACCGAAAGATATTATACCTTGATCTCCAAGGCTCTCGGCTGCCTTGAGTCGGTCCTTGCCAACTTCAAGCTGCCTCCTCTGCAGGAAGCACAGATCTCTTTGCGCTACTCCCGAATACTGTATGACGAAACCGAAAATCACGACGAAGCTGAGACGGCCCTGACGAAATCAATAGAGCTATGTGAACGACACAAATTTGTCGATCTGAAATACGAGATGCAGCTTCTTCTTTCCAAGGTCCTTTATGAATCCAAGCCCAAAGCCGCTCTAAGAGATATCCAGAGGATGATCGAGGACATCGAAGCCTACCGCCACACTGTTTGGCTGTATATCTTTCGCTTTCAGCACGCGATATTTTCATTGGCATCGTCCGCTCCTGGCGAGTTCCACAGCGCTATCGTCCAGCTGGAGAAGATCGCTGGTCTGGCCAAGCAGAATTCGGACGCCGGGGTTCTTGCTTTTGCAGCGACGCTAGAAGCTCTCCTACACCTGTCGAGCCCAAGCCATGAAGCGGTCACGGCCACTCAAAATGCTTTAGCGAAGGCCAGGGCTATGCAATTAAATGCAGACGTCGAGTCTAACCCACAGATGACCATCCTGCTGGAGTTCATCGACCTTGCATGTAGTGTACGAGAGTCCAACATTGCACAAAGCAACGCCAAGCGGAAAGGCATGGTTGAGGTTCTCGACCAGATAGCCAAAGACGGCAACTGGAGAGCCGACGGCTCGATCTATATCCCATTGTCGAAGCAGACTGTCGCAGGAATCGATCTGCAAGCACATAAACATGTGATCGAGAGAAACGGGAAGTATTATATTGTGTTCTCGTGGCTGGGAATGGAGGAAGTCGAGGCTCTAGCGTACTTGTTCTCTGCCGACAGCTCAGCGTACAAGAACGGCATAGATGGTGGAAAGGCGGAGATCTTTACGACGGAAGGCTTATCTGGGGTTCGAGCGCTGGCAAAGCCTAGTCTCACCGCGGGTTACCGACAATCGGAGAGAGTCCACGCCTTCCAGAAGCTCTTGGAAGCCGAGTTCTTGTTACTGCTCAGCTTCCTGCAGTGCTCGAAAGGTCAATACAACGCGGCGAACAAATCCCTGGGCGAAGTTAGCACGATCTCCGAAGCCATTGGTGACGCTTTCCCCCTCAACATGAGATATGCGATGCTCTACCTAAAGGGAGTTATCCTCCAAGGAACTGGAGACCTCGTTGCCGCCCTCCAGGTCTACCAGTCGCCTCTCTTCAACCTCACGCCACAACAATCTTCATCTTCGGCTGTTTCAAGCGTATCAAACCGAAAAACGAGCTCATGGTTTCCAGACTCAGACGTTACGCGCAACTTCTCCATCCTGGCAGCGATGAACCAGGCATTTATCATCCAAGCTCCCAACCACCCACAACATAACCGCCTGTCATCTATGATCAAAAGCCTCGACGGCGCAGTCCAAACATGCGGAAACAAATACATCCAAGCCCATTTCTCCCTCCTCGTCGCTGTCCTCTCCGGCACGACCCTTACGGTGAAGCAATACCTCAAGTCCGCCATGGAGGCCGGCAAAGCCATCGGCAGCGCCCAGACCACGGCCCTCGCGCTGATCTACATGCAAGAGAAACTGTTCAAGGGCGTGGTTGACGAGCAGGCGCTCAAGTGCGCGAAGGCGGCGAGCCAGCAGACCCGGAGGTGGGGCTCGCCGATGTGGATGCACGTCACTGCGGGTTTGGAGGCCCAGGCGCTCGATATCAACGGGTACGAAAATGAGGCAAGGAGAAGGAAACAGGAGGGCGAGGCCGGGTGGGAGACGTTGCCAGAGGCTATCAAGAGCGCTTCAGCTGTGGGCAGCGGCATGGCCGTCGGGTCTTGAGTTCCTTCCCCAGCATCTCCTCAGGGAAGAGGGCGTGTAACACTATTCAGGGTAAGGATGATTTGATGACCGATTTTGTCTTCCTAATATTATGTCGAACGTCCTTAGACCGGGAGTGGCTCGTGCATGACGGTAACTCCACACTTCTGAAAAGCAAAACCATTCGAAGCCTACGAAGGGCCTGTACGAAGACGAGGTGGATTGACCATCGAAACACTGCGACGGCGAATCGTATTTGTGACCATCGTTCTGATCTGTACTCTGGATGGTCCTCACGAACTTCGCGAGCTCGTCGGCATGTATTCCTAAAAGTGGAACGAAGCTAGAAAACTAACATGTAACAACGCATATTCTTCTTCAAAGAAACACCGGGTTTGGTGACCAGCCTGGACGGCAGCCGGTTTTGTGCTTCGAACAAGCTCATCGACTCAGGAGTACATGGACGGGACAATCTCAGCTCATGGAGCCCAAGTACGAGCAATCAGCTTGCATCAGCTGGGGTGCAGCAAAGAGCGATTTTCTGCCGCTCGAGCAAAGAGGTGCTCGCTTAGCGTCTCATAGACTACTGTAGCAGCAAAGCAGGAACCCAAGTCCGAGCACATGTTAGACTCTCAACCACCCAGACTCTCGGGCGTCATTGGCTCATGAGCCGTCTCTCCATCGATGTTTACGGTCCCTCCCTCAACGTTGTCGTTGCTTGTCATTTGACAAGGGGACGCCTTTTCTTCGCCTTTGTCATTGCGGCCTGTTGCTCTCGTCGTGCTGCCTTTGCTGCCTTGGATGCCGTATCCTTCGCTCGCCTTTTTGCCTTGCGCGCCATCCGTATTGCCCGCCTGTTCTCGTGCCTGTACTGTGCTCGTGCCTGGACTCTGGCCAGAGACTCGGGGGTCCTCTTGAGTTTCTCTGACGGTGTCAGCCCAATCACCCCCATGAGCAGATAACTCACTGAGTCTTGATGGTTTGGTCCCCTCAATAGTAGCCACGGCACCAGCATCCGTAGCAGCACCAGCGGTCAGTTGACGTTGATTTTGATTCTGGATTGATAGGCTCTGATTCAGACTGAGACTCCGGTTAATTTGGGCTTGCAGATCGTCCAAGGTGGTGCCGCCATCGTCATCGGAACTTACTCCATCGTCCATTTCGACTTCTACTGGCTTGTATTGTGGCAGATGTTTTTCGAATACCGGCATTGGAGATTCTCTTGGCGTCTGTAGCTGCTGCGGTTGTGGTTGTGGTTGATACGACGACTCTCGGTCACCATTGCTCGGGTCCGGTGTGGGAGACGATGCACGGTCTCCGGCGTTCTGTAGTGCTTTCTGATCTACGGTTTCATCCACAACACCGGGTGCTTGCCGTTTTCCAGTTTGCCATTCTCGTATCAACCTGGACACGTCCACCTGCCACGTGAGTTCTTCCAGCTTCTGCTGTACAGACTGGACAATAGCTTCTTCGGTAAGCCGCCAGGCTAATTTCGCTTGTAACCCAGTTTTGGGCTCGTTGTTGAGGAATTCTGGGATTTGCAGCAGATTGTGGGGTTGTGCCAGAGCTTTAATTTGGCTGTCGTCCACAAGCACAGTATTGCTTTGATCCCAGCGCTTGCCCGGGTCTGCCTTCATCTGGATGGCCTCATCTTGCCAGACCGGCTCCAGTCTCTTGTAGACCTGAACCTTATTGTAATACTGCTCCTGCGTCAAGCCCAATTTGTCCCTGGCCCACACAGCGGCCAATGCCGCCCGTTGATCTGGACGAAAGAACTTCTCCACCATGGCAGCGCAGTTCTGAGGCCTCGTCGAAGTGTATACCATGACCACATGATTGCGAAATAGATAATCCAGTAAGGTAGGAACACCAGGCCTCACAATGATGTTCTTAGGCCTGCTCTTGTTCGGTCTAACAAGTACAGTGCCATTGAGATCGAGGATGACCAAGAGTTTTTGTGGTCTGTCTCTGGTGGCAGAGCTGGGCGCAGCATTTCTCTTGTACTCTCCCGTGGGGCGTGGGGCCTCGTCGGCAGGATCCTGACTAGGGTACCGAGAGGTTTTCTGAGCTGCCGGGACTCTTGGGAGGGCAGAGTTACCCGAAGTCCTGTTTGGCTCGATAAAATCGTCTGCGACACCAGTACTGAACGGGACAGTCTGATCCGGTCTCCTATTGCGGAGTGGGTAGCGGTCGTTTCTCGTTTCTGGCGGAGTTTGCACAGTCGGTTCTGGTAACTGCCGAGCTTTAGGTCGACGACGTGGATCCTGCGTTTGAGCCCGAGGTAGACTCTGCCAGTTGTTCCTTGCCTGCTGTATGACCTGTCTCTCAACCGTGCCATTTGACACTCTATAAGGTTTGTTAACTCGATATGAAGGATACCGAGCGTAGCTGTGAACTAACCTTAGCGGCTGGTATGGCTTGAAATGCGAATGTTCGACGGGTGCCGAGGGTCGGGTATACGGGTTCATTGCTTGTGGAGCGAGAGGGTATGGCTGTTGGCCAAGTGGGGCTGGAGCGTATATTTGTTGCCCTTGCGGTGCCCCTAGGCTACCATTGTGCCCTGGCGGAGTCCAACCAGGAAGATGCTGCTGGCCGCTGCCGAAAAACGTGGGACGAGACTGGAAGAAAGGCTGAAAATCAGCGGCTGTCTGAAGATTGTTTGTGCCGTCTCTGTAAGATCTCCAAGCATCCACTGCAGCATATATGTCAACTCTGTCCTGGCAGTACCGGTAGCAGTCATAGTAGTCACCTTGTTGGACCTGAGCCGATCGATGTGGTAACGAGAAGTTGCCCGCATCTCTGTTGAGTGGCAGCTGGTTTGTTGCGTCCGTTTGCGGGTTCACTTGCTGCTGACCATGGCGCGCATGTGGCGCCGCTTTGGCGCCGCCTTTCTTCTTACCCATGGCGAAGAGCGCGCGAGTATGAGGCGGCGAAGGGGGAGAGTAAAGAGGTGTTCGGAGAAGGTGGGATTTGCGGTGCCACTGAGAGTGAAGTGTTAGTTAGTAGCCACAGTGAGATGAATCGGAAAGACTTGAGGGTGAGGCGGACTTTTGTTGGCAGAGTGCGGCAGAGGGAAGGTTCCCTGCGCAGCAATGCCAGATTGAGAGCGCGTTGAGTGGCTCGCGAAGGACTAGCGACAACTTCGCAGCAATGTGAAGGTGAAGTTTACGCAAACACGCAGGCAGACCTCGACCGAAATCTTAAAAGAGGCCGAGAAAGCAGCATGGTTGCGGGGATGTCCCTGCCTGTTTCCGCATAGTGTGTCAAATAAGCTTATCTGCGTTAAGGTTAACAATTTTCGCGAAGTAACCCCGGGTTCTTGCCGCTCTTTCGAAAAGTTTCGGACTCGAGTGCGTCTGTCTGAGACTCGAATTCTACCAAGGCAGTCAGTATTTCCGCAACAGACCCGATGGCGCCACTCCGGCTTGCGGATCGACCTGTCCGACCAAGGCATGAATACGAAGAGGACGAAGAGCTTGAGCTGTCTGACGAGGATGTCAGCGACGAGGAACAATTGGAGGGGACGGACTCGGCTGAAAGCGATTCGCAGTCAGAAGACAAGGACACAGCTCTGTCATCCGACGCAGATGGAGACGACGACGAGGACACGCAAGATGAGCAACCCTCATTGGCAGATATAAGTTTTGGTGCTCTCGCAAGAGCACAAGAGACGTTTAACCCCAAGCCTCGAAAACGGAAATTCGCAGAGACTGGGGAAACACCCGCGGCACACGATGACGGCCGGGACGGAGACGAGCCATTCGACACCCGCAGGCGAGCGAAGGAAGCACGGCTCGACGCTCCGAAACGAACATCCAAACACGCGCCGACTGTCGAGTCCGCTCGAAAACCCGTCTCCCGCAAAAGAACGATATTTGAGCCTCCACCGTCGGCAAAGTCGCGAGACCCCCGTTTCGATCCCACCGTCATGTCCACCAACCGCGCTCCCGGCGCCGCGGAGAAGGCCAACAAGAACTACTCGTTCCTGTCGCAGTACCAAGCAGAAGAGATATTGCAACTGAAAACACAGATTAAGAAGGCCAAGGACCCTGATGTGGTCGCCGATCTCAAACGACAGGTCATGTCGATGGAATCGAAGGTGCGGAACGCGCAGTCCAGACAGCGAGAAGCCGAGATCCGGAAGAAACACAAGGAGAAGGAGAAGGAGGCGCTGCGGTCCGGCCAGAAATCCAAACCCTATTTCTTGAAGGAAGCAGACGTCAAGAGACTCGCCAAACAAGAAAGACTCGAGAGCATGGGCAAGAAAGCCCGTGACAAGGCTGAAAAGAGACGCCTGAAGAGGGAGAAGGGTAAAGAAGCACGAGACATGCCGAAAGTGCGACGAGAGCGGTAGCCAAGTGCGACGCCATTGCAGATGCTCCTACACAGTTACCGCAAGACCTGTCTCCTACGGTTTCAATTGCATATCAACCACCAACTTCCCGCCAACCCCCTTGTGATAGTCCTCCACCAGACCGTTCAACTGCTCAAGCGGGTACGTCCGAATCCTCGCCCTGACACCGTGCTTGGCCGCAAAATCCACCATCGCCTGCAACTGGCGATTCCTCCCGGTCAAGACGCCCACCAACTTGATGTGCCGAAAGACGAGATCCCCGGGCTTGAACTTCCAGCCGTCCTTGGGGAAACTCACCGCGACGCAAATGCCGTGGTTCTTCAGCACGGCCATGCCGAAGTCAAACGCCGCCTGCGACTCCGGCAGGATGATGGACGAGTCGCAGCCCTTTTCGCCCTCGAGGCCCTGCGCGGCCACGCCGAAGATGCGTTTCTTGGCGTCGTCCACCGACTCCTTGAGCGCATCCACGACGTGGACCCTCTTGCCGTCCTCGCCGAGCTCCTTGACCACCTCGTCCAGCATCCCCATCGCCGGCGTAGTATCCACGGCGACGACGTTCCACCCCAGCTTCGCGGCGAACTGCACGCCCAGATGGCCAAGCCCGCCCCCGGCGCCCAAGATCGCGACGTACTTGCCCTCTCCATTCCCTTTACCTTCGGCCGTCTGCACACCCGCGGCCTCGAGCGAGTTCCAGACCGTCACGCCCGCACACATCAACGGCGCGATGTCCACGGCTCTCATCCCCCCAGCCTCCGGCACCCTCGCAACCTGCCGGCTATCAACGAGACACCACTCCTGAAAACCCCCATCTCTCGTCATCCCGAGGTTTCCGGCGCGTGTACACCAGACGCCATAGCCGGGCATATCCCCGTCGTTGTGCACGCACTCGGAACATTCTCCACACGGGTTGAACGCCCGTCCAGGCACGCCGACCAGATCTCCCTTCTTCAAGCCCCTTTTCTCCGCGACTTTCTCCGCATCGGGACCGAGCGAGTCGATTATGCCGGAGAATTCATGGCTTCCAATGCGGGGCAGGCCCTGTTGCATGGCCCCGGTGACGAAGACGGCATCTGTGTGGCAGTATGACGCGGCCTGGACGCGGATGAGGAGCTCATAGCCCTGTGGTGCCGGAGGCGCAGGGTGGTCTGTCTTGAAGGTATAGGGTTTGTTGAACGCCTCCAAGATTTGGGCGCGCATTTTGATGGCGGGAATCGAAATCGAGTGGCTGGTCTTTGAAGAGCAAGAATAGGGAGACGCGCTGCCGCTGCCGCTGGTGGTGGTGTCGGTAGTAGTGATGTCTCTGTGATGCGACCGAACAATCCTGCAGCCGTAGCCGTAGCCGTTGCCGTAAGCGTTACCTTTACCTATAAAAGCTGCCTGATTGCGCTTCCCAGCCGCTCGACCGTCCTCGAATGTCTGCGAGAAACAGTGCCTCGACTTAAAAGGACTTCTCCCGGTGGTCGCAAAAGATAACGTCTCTCCTGCCTGTCCTGCCCGTCCTGCTCGTCCTAGGGATCCCGGCGAGCGACTCCCAACTCGACGCACCCCCAGCCGTAGCAGGAGACCTATTGCGTCCGTAATTCCTTACCGCACGTTCTGCGCGCTGCTGGTACTATTCTTCCCCACCTCGGGGCACTCACTGGCCGAGACGATTTTTTACCGGGGGTGTGGTGGTGGGAGAATGTCACACGCTCGATGTCGTAGCGACGACTTTGCTTTCGATTGAACCCGGTGAGATTCAACCGCCCGTTGTATTGTGAGGAGGAGGAGGAGAAGAAGAAAGAGCCAGGAGAAACACACACACACACACAAACAACGGACAGGGAAGCCGATGGTGGAAGAAAGAGAGAGAGAGAGAGAGAGACTCGGTATCTTCGCGTTGGAGAAAAAGGACTCATCAGCCTCGCGACGACGGGTGGGGGATTGGAGATCTCCAAGTTGGAGTACGAGTACAGACACGGGCAGGACGAGTAGACGGCCACGATAAGTGATGAGGAGTGCCACTGCGTGGACAGAGCCCGGGTCAGACTCGGGCAAAGAGGCGCGACAGGACTGGCTTGGACGTCTGGCGTGTTCCATAAATCACTTATACATGGAACGATGTTCTTACCAGGGCGAGTAGAACAGATCCTGGTCGGACAGCGAATGGCGCTCCTATTAAGAATGAACAAGACGTTTCGGAACATAAGAGTCGATTTTCCTGCCTGTCATTCCTAATCATGTTGGTATACCCTTTTCCACGATCCACCAAGTACGAAACCAATGCGTGGAAATCATCAGCCTGTCCTTGATAGAGTGAGAAGACCTGTCCACCCATGAACTCTTCCCAAAATCCCGCGCATCCCGCACATCCCACCCCGTTCATCGCTACCTGAAGTCGGTGAGTGCTATTAAGCAATAGTCCCAGTCCAGCCAGTCCTTGTTCGTCATTATAGGGGCGATCCTCTTTTTGAAAATTCGTCAGCTAGGAAATCGACGCAACATCCAAAATGCATTTGCCTCTCGCCAGCAGGCTAACCAGCCCCATATCCCGATGCACCTGCTCGCGAGCCCGTAAGCTCATGGCACCATCAAAACGCCTTGCATCGCGGAAACTAAAACCAAGATAGACAGAGATAATGAAAGGCATCAAATACAAGTCCAGTTCAAGAATGGAAGAGATCCCAAGCTCTCGAGCACAGACTCAGAAACTCCTCCTTCTTCGCTCTTTGAGTAGCAGGGCTGTCTCTACCTTCACCAAAGGGACCGTGGTATCGGATTCGGTCTGGCCCAGAACCCAAAGGTGGACTGCTGCCCTCTTCATATTCGTTACGACTCCTCCGTCTGCTGGTGGGATGATTGTTGGGCTGATACTTGTGTGGGGTGAGATTATCCCGGTGCCCTGGGTGTGGCGAAGGCGGCGTTGGAGGTTGGTGGCCCCCGTAATGGACAATCTTCGGCAACAGGTCCTCTCGACCTCCCGTCATCTCGTGAACAGCCTCTTCAGCAGATCTGTAATCCCTAGGTCGATCGAAGCTGGGAGGCTGAGGCTGAGAGGTTGGATGAGCGGTCTGCGGAGGGAACCCAGGGGATGGCAGAGGAGGGCCATGCATTTGCGATGGAGTCGAGTTTGCATGGAGGAAGGGTGGACGAGCCGCACCCGAGTTGAGTTCATTGGGTCCGAAGACGTCTGCAATAGGAGGCAGCCGATTGTTAGTTTGAATCGCAGGCATGTGTGAGATGTTAGCGTGCTGTGCGTTCGCAGGAGGCTGGTTGTTGAGCTGTCGAGAATGTGGTGGAGGCTCGTGCCGGCCAGTGAAGGTCTGGTTCAATGGTGCAGATTGGATCACGCGTTCATTGGCGAAGCGCTCAGCAGCAGGCGGTACGATGGATAGACCAGGTGGCGGTCTCTTCTTGGAACCGGCCGCGATCATTTTGCCAGATGTTGGGCCAGCAGTTTCACTGGTTTTTCCCGAGTCCGGCCCATCGCCTCGAGCAGATTTGAGTAGTCTTGCCTGGATGATCGACCGTTGTTGGTCCCGGACGGATATACTTCGCTCCAATTGTTCTCGCATCGCAGGGTCCTGAGTCTGAAACCCCGGCGACAAGCAGGCCAAACCGACATCGTGCAATACCAGGCCGTCCCGTGCCGTCAAGGGCGTTGCGGAAGGTCGTGAGTTGAGGCCATTAGAAATCGACGTGTTCGTATTCAGATCCAGTTTTTTCGGCCTGTGACGGGTGCTGGGTTGGAGCGAAGGAGATGCTGGAGGCTCCTTCTTCACCACGATCTTGGGGTTTCCGCCGCTCCTTCTGCAGTTACGAAAATGGTCAGTTGACGGTGACTTAGCGTGTACAGCCCAGGGCGGTACCTACGATCTTGGAGATCTTTTCCCGTCACCCGATGCTCTCTCATTCACGTTCATCCCGTTGTTCGCTTCTGGTGTAGTCATAAACTCCGAAGTTCTGGAGACGGGCGTCGCATTGATCGAAGGAGCCAAAGGCGGATAGCTTCTTGGGCTTGGGTTTCGATCCAGAGGTGGCAGTGGCGCAACCACCGCTGGAGCGACAGCGGTCGACATGGCAAGGCTGGGTGTCGAAGCTGGAGCAAAGCCGGGCGGTAGAGTACTATCGTTGTCCGGCGCACACCCGCGCGACTCCAATCGCAACTAAAATAATTCTTCAATGTAGACTCGATTCCAGCCTCCAAGCGCTTGGTCAGTGTCGGTGTTATAGGTCTCTGGGAAATTGTGGAGGCTAAACGAGTGGCCTCGCCAGGAACAGCGCGAGATCGAGGACAGCGATTTGACGACAAGTCGAACACCGCCCTGCGTGAAAGCGAGCGACCGTTATAGCGACAAAAGTGATCGAAAGACTCGGTGGGTGAGTTTTGTGCAAAGGCGGGTTGGACGGGTGCAGGATGAGCAAGCAACGAGCGGCTAGGTCGTGCTGAAGACGAACCTCGCAGTTGTCAGGGCAGGGTGATGGTGAACTGATGAATGAGGGAAAGGGAAAAGAAGGATGCGAAGAAAGGTAAAGGCGGGCTGCAGGAGGGGTGCGAAGGGCAAGGGAAGGAGCAAATGAAACACGCGGGAGAGACAAGACAGGCTCGAGTCTCGCCAGTCCCCTGGTCTCGACGAAGTGGGCTGCCCCTAGAGATTCAGAATTGGGAACAGAAGATGTGAGGTGCAGGCTTCTAGTCCACTCTGATGCTAGTCCGAGGCCAGGGACGTGTCAAACAAAGCTGCTGGTGGCTTCGGTGGCACTGGCGTTCCCGGCCTGTTGAATCTTTCTTCAGCCTGCCATGTGTCTGGAGAGGGTGGGCTGCTCGGGCTTGGAGTCCTTTTCGTCAGAGCCCATTAGCCGAGTCGGGCCTAGCGATGAATAACCCAGAGTCGCCGTGTTACAGGCTTCCAGGGCTCCCGGCTTAGGGCCCCGGGGGGTGCGTGCATCTCACAGGCACGCCGAGCAGAGGCCAACAAGCCCGAGCCACGCTGTTCGTGGGCTCGATGGCCGGGATTCATGATTTTGCCTGTTGATCGCTGCGGCTGCTCAACATTTTCCCATTCTGAAACTCAAATGCATACATCATGACTCCGTGGTCTGCTATCGCTATCGTTTCGAACTTCGTTAGTTGTTCTTTAGCGAAGCCAACACGCGGAAGCGCAACCAATCGTGCGTGACGACCAACCCGTCGGACGCGACACTTAGGCGACCTTCTGAGAGCACTAAGGTTCAGTCGCGCTCCTTGGGCCTCTCGCCTTCCGCAGGCTGCGGCAAATCGTGTTTCATCTCGCCATAGTTTGCGTCAATCTCCCCCAGAAGTCGTGCTACGGAGGACTTGTGTCCGGAGTACGAGTATGAGCTTTGGAGAAGGAGGTTTCTTCAACCAACCGGTTCGTGAACGTTGCACTATTCTGGCGACCTGCCACGGATGCGCACGAATACATTTATGGCAATCAACAGCGTCTTCGCCTTCGTATGAGCAAGCAGGGAGAAACTAGTAGCCAGCTGCATGAAATACGCCGCAGAAAGTGGGTGACCCGGAATGTCGGATTCGGGCGGCTGTCCAACATCAGCCTCTTGTTGATGCATGTCACACGTTGCAATCGGACAAGAGGCCTGAAAACATACCTCGTATTGGATGGGGTCTCAGTTTCGTGCAGCTTACCGCCCGCCAAAACTAGCCTAGATGCAGTCCTTATTGGTGCTTGCAACCTTCCAAGCCCTACCAGAAGTCGAAGCGACGGTTACTCAGTGTGCATTACTACGTTTCCAAGATGCATCCGCAGGCTGAGTGAAGAGCCGGCGGCCCTTCTTCGCACAAAAGGACGCTTAGTTCAGCGGCTTCACCGGCGAGCTGTGACTCGATGTCCTGCCAAACTGCCCGGCCCGTAGAATTCACCAGAGACAGGATCTTGGGCGGAGTGATAACATGGAGGAGCCGGTGGTGCGCAAGAGGGCTCTGAAACGCGCTTAGTGGTCGATCCTGGTGCAGTGGATGATCATTCTGCTGAAGAACTGACCAGAAACACCAACACCGCCATCAGCTGATGATGGTGCTGGGCCGCTTACGTGCCGAGGATACAGATAGCCCGGCCTTTCGAGAGATGTCAACCAACTTGTACGTACCGTTTACTGGGTAGACTCAAAACCTCCAGCGTCATTGTCGTGTGGGTTCGCTCATCATACCAGAGATGTATCGAAGTGTTTCTCCTCTGCGGAGGATCAACCATTCAATATCAGGTCTTGACTCAAGACGAGTACTTCTGCTCACACAATGATGTCGCTAGTTTCAGGTCTGTCTGGTTCCCGAATCTCGGGGGACCAGCTGGAGCCACGAGGCAGCCCAACTCTGTCGTGCAGATGAGCGAATGACGGCACACTTTGAAACGCTGGTGGGATTGATCTCTTAGCGGCCAAGGCGCCCCTGTCTCTGCTGCATGCTGGGAATCTAATCCCTAAATGGGCCTTTATCGATATCATGTTGGGACGATATCGACTCGGCCTGAACATGAGACCCGGATTGCGTCTTTGCGACGCCCACTTGGTCTTATGTACTGCGCTTCACGCGCAGCCTGTCGCGTAGCACAACCGCATTCGATAAGCACACGCATGAGATACAGTAGTCTACCATGCTGTTGACGTCTTCTTGCCGATGATGTATGTACACAGCAGGGAATGTGGTGACATCGCATTGAAGTTGTCCTTGGAGCTTCGACCTAGTCCACATTAAATCACGAGGGTCCTGTTGGCAATCCAGCACGAGCTCACACTAGCCACTTCATGCTCCCCCAGAAACAACGACCCTGGAAAGAATCCGTCCGACTTTTCCTTTCGGTGGGAAAGCCACTTAGATTTCTAGTGCCCACGCACATCGATCCTTTTCAGATAGTCAAGCATTAAGTGCATCCCCACGATGACCCCTGCGCTCGCAGCAGATCGAATTGGTGCCTGGGTCTGCAACAACAATCGGACGCCAATATAAAGCGATGAGAAGCCGACCTTAGGTCCAATCGACAAGGACGAAACCTCTTCCCATATGATTGACAGTCTGTGGCATCTTTTTGGAAGAGAGGAGAGCCGTTGATGAAAGAGAGTATAAGTATAGGCCAAGAGGGAGCTAGCTGGCACACATCTGCTTCCGTTATGGTCGGTGCAGCACCGCTGCCCTTGCAAGTTGGTTTCTAGCATTGATTCCGTCCAAGTAGATGGCTGCGATCTACGGACCTCGTGGGATTGAACATTCTCAAGACCCGTGTCAACCCTGAATCAGGGAAATCCCACACTTCGCATCAATTTATCCGCTTGCCAAAAGTTCTTCCTCTCTATTTATCATCATTGATCCTGCGTTGGACGATGCCATTCGAGCCTTCTCAAGCGAGAAGCTGGAGGAAAGTTAATCCGAGAGGCTAGAGTCCCCGGTTCAAAGCTAGACCCTTTTCGGACCACTTGCCCTTTCCAATGTCTCTCTCCAGCGGCTTCAAATCTTTTCTCCCCACGATCTTTTGATTTTGTACCATAACTCGACCGTCAAGATGTCAGACGAAGACCCAAACTCCCAAGAGGCAACAGAAAGGAGATGGGAAGAGGCCGAGGAACTGTGGTTGGGCGGCGCAAAGAAGTTAGTCGTGGTAGGTGAATTGGGAAATTTTGCTTTGGAGGCGACAGAGGAGGGCGACTGCTCGACGCGGAGACTGACGACTCGACCTATAGCTTCCCGGGGCTTCTTCGCACGCTGCGTCTTTTCAGATTGAGAAGGAAGATCACACGCTTGGGAATGCGCTGCGGTATTTCGTCAACAAGAAGTATGGTCTTCTCGGAGGTCCAGATCTGCCGGCTTGGCTGATCGATAGTGTAACAGTCCCGACGTCGAATTCTGCGGTTATACCATTCCGCACCCCTCGGAGACGAAGATGAACATTCGAATACAGACATGGGGTAAGCGACAAAGCTTGTGATTATACGAGCAAAATCTCTCAGCTGGAGGGGCCACATAACTGACTGCAGTGCAGAGGATACCAAGACAACAGCAACTGACGCACTAAGGAAGGGACTGGAAGATATGATCGAGGCATGCGACGTAATCTCGGAGAAGTTCCATGACGCACGGGACGGGTTCGACCCTCAGCCGTCATGACGGTTCCGATGGCATCACTCTGGATGGCTGGGCATTGTATTGTTTGCATTGCGGTGGCGCTTGGAAGTGCCTGTCTCCTTGTCTGTCTTTTTCAGGCTATGTACATTTTGTTTCGATCTGCGTCGGGGTGGATTGTCGCTTCAGTTTCGTCCCTGAAAAAGGTAACAAACACGAATTAGCCATGGAGAACAGCGACCGCGGGTGTTCATGTAGATGGGTATGCGAGCACATACCTCAAGGAAGCCCTGTATGAAGTTCTTGGGCAACCTTGCATTCTCGTCTTCATCCTTCCTGAAGTACTTCATAACATGGGAGGTCTGCTTCCAATAGTTCATCAATTCCTAACGTGGACAGCCAGTGATCAGTGTCTGTATTATTACAGCCCAAGTCTGTCCAAGATCTTTACCCACCTGAAATTCCGCATGGCTTTGTTGTAATAGCACATCGACCGCTGACAGGTTGTTGACGTATCTGTGCTTCTCAAACTCTTCTCTGACTTTCGTTCGGATGCGGGAGACGGGCATGTTAAGGGAGTATAGTTGTTGGATTTCGGGGCCCTGTGTGCATTCGGCTCCTTAGCAATGCCTCCTTTCATAATCGGGACACAACCGGTGCCTTGCAACGTACAGCGCGCAGCCATTCTCTGTAGCCCTTCAGCACTCTTCGTCGCGCGTCTGCCCAATTGATTGCTGTGGATTGGTCAGTGCCGGTCCCGAAACCGTGAGATCTCTGCCTATTGTGTGGACGTACACGACCGTGACCGCTGTGCTAGATAGGTGGGATTGATGACCATGGTGGAGTGCGGCGCTCACATAGAGCTAGGACAGGATTGTGGGAAGCTTGCGCGCGGTCGGAGGTGAGGAGCGAGGGTTGATGTCGAAGTGGAAGTTCCTCGAGTGGAGCTCGGCCGCAGCTAGTTGGCGTCACTTCTCCGACCTCGAA